GGAGTCACTGTGCACTTACTCCTCATGTAGGATCTCTGTCCTTATGTGCTGTACATTGTGATTTAATGCTATAACTAGTACTGATCAGTATTTATCACTTTGTGTTTCTATGTGGGTGCAAACTGTTGAAATCTTTACTTAATATATGCTAAACTGATCTTCTGTATATAAAGAGAATTGAAAATGAATCTTGATGTGAATGGAAGGGGGGAGGGAGTGGGAAAGGGGAGGGTTGTGGGTGGGAGGGAAGTTATGAGGGGGGAAGCCATTGTAATCCATAAGCTGTACTTTGGAAATTTATATTAATTAAATAAAAGTTAAAAAATAAAACCAAAAAAATAAAAGAATAAAAGAAAGTCACATTGACAATTATCAAACTAAAGAGCAAATAAAAATAAATTGTATCTCTAGAAAAAAAACATTCATGTTTGTTAAAAATCCATCTGAATTTAGAATTGTGATTACTAGGGGCTGAGACAGGTGGGAGGACAGGGGATAGAGGGAGGTTTATTAACATGCACTAAAACTGTTCAATGGAAGTAATGAATTCTAGTGCTCCACAGTACCATGGAGCCACTATAGATCACAATAATATATTATATCCTATATGAGGAACTAGAAAAGAGAGCTTAGGCTTCAAACATAAAGAAAAAATTAGGAAACGGAAATGTTAATTATGCTACTTACCTGACCAGTTTATACCATATATATAAGTTGAAATACTGCACTGTACCCCATAAAAATATACCATTATTACATATTAATTAAAAATATTTTTAAAAGGAAAAGTTTATGAAGGATGCATGTTATGAAAAACTACATATGGATTTCAAAATTTTTACATTAAAATAAACTTAATTTTTAATTCTCTCTTAAATGAATTATTTGAAGTTCCCTCAAACACAATTTAAAATTTTCTAGTAGTCAGTCTCACTTTTTAAAAAGAAAAATTGAATTTAAAGTGTAGTTTAATCCAATGTATCCAAAATATTATTTCAGCACGTGTTCATTATGAAAATATTAATGAGTCATTTTTATAATCAAACTGAGCTTTTGAATATTTCAAATGCTCAATAACCACATTTCAGATGTTCACTAGCCACATGTGACTAGGTAGTGTTATATCGGATAGTATAATTCTAAAATAAGCTCTCAATTCTGGGTACCAAAAGAAATGAAAGCAAAATGCATTCCAAACAGAATACTCAGATCTGTAAACTGCCATAAGAACAAAATATGGTAAATGTGAAGTTAGCATGGAGATGTATAATTCTATGAGAAGAAGATAGGAATTGTTTATGACAGCCATATTCAAATACTTGAAACACTGTTACAGAAAAGTGATGATGCATTTGTATGCTAGTATTCCCTAGTTTAATTCAAAAGGTAAAATCTATAGAGAAGCAGATTCTAGATTTGACATCGAATGCCCCTCCAAGTCTAATTACAGTAAAATAGATGATTCACCATGCGGTACATTGATTGCCTTAGTGTCTCCAATTATTCATCCATCCCTCTCCATATTTCATCATAGACCAGGCCCCCACCACTAGATCAGGCATTCTGTCTCTCCTCTTCCTCTGAGCCTAGCCACATGATTTACTTTACTAATGGGAAATTAATATTATGATGCAAAAGGAGAATTTTCAAAGCACTCAGGCATTTGCACTTCTATTTTTGCCATCTTCCACAATCATGAAAAGATTATGCCTATATTTTCCCAAAAGGCCATCTTATATAACCTGACATCTAAGCAAGTAAATACATCCAACAGCCTCCCTTCAGCCTAACAGATGCCTGGTGGATGGCAGATATATTTGAGCCAAACAAGATCAAACAAGCTCAGTCATATCCAGCCCAGATCACCTGAACTCTGCAAACACATGAGCTAAATTAATGCATCTTGAATGCCACTGAGGTTTTGAGGTTGTCTATTACACAACATTATTGCATAATGATAGCTTATAAAGCAGTAACACAACTGGGCATTTTTCACTAGTCAGGGCCTTCTTCATCCCTGGAAGATACGTTACATATTCAAGGACATTATTTTTCCCCAGAATTACATGAATTGCAGGTTTATTTTTGTGCCAAATGATGGTCTACAGCATAACTGTCAAAACAAAGCTTACTTCTTCCTTATCTAATGCCAACAGACCTGAATTGTAAAAGTAAGCACGGGAAAGGCCTCCCATTGAAATATGGGATATCATATTTATACGTTATTACCTGATAATGTTTCACCTGGATGTAGCCAGAGATTAGAAAATTCAATAAAGCACTGTTACCTGAGCTGCTGTGAAGTTTGCCAAGAAATAGTTTCCATTTTCATAGGTATCTGCAAGCAAGAGAAAAAAAAAAAAGAGTAAGCGACTCCTCATTGTTTCAACTGTGGCAGATCATTTCATTTTGGTCAGAAAACATCTCAGCAGGGTCACAGTTACTGATCAGGACGATCACTGAGAAGTACTGAAGCTAGCAGCTGAGGAATATTTCACTTCCAGTTAATGTGAAAGGGGGTATTTTGAGGTGGGGTTCAGGATGTTGCAAGCAGGAGAAAGTAAACCGTAGTTACAATATGAAGGTTGCTGGTTGATTATTCTGCACTGACATGGCAGGTGCTTGGCCATGAATGCTCACATAGTTATGACGACAAAGCTCCAAGTAGAGGAGAGTGGTTAGGAATGCACGCCAAATTGACATGGACTCAAGTCTCAGCTCTTGAATTTAATGGCGTTCATCCTCAGGCAAGCTACTTACCATTTTACACTCTGTAGAAGGGAGACAGTAATAGTACCTAGTTAACGGCAATAAGGTACATAGCACTCTGCTCGTGCAGAGTACATACTCAGAATACGTTGTACAGTCTCATGATCAAAGTCACATCAACTTTATCTACGTTCTTCTCTTTCTCCTCTTATCTCCTTCTCCCATGCAACCTAAGAGCCAGGCATTCCTGTCTCTGTAGAATTTACTCCATCAGTCATTTCCTAGACTCCCCTGGCTACAAGGATGTTCCAGGGCACTGTGGGTCCGACAAATCCTTCACTTGACTCTCTATACCAAAGCCACCGTTGTGCTACGTTTAATTGTTGCAAGTCTCTAAATGGAGACACTTGCTTCTCATGTATCTATACTCAGCTCATAATTCAGTTCTGCATTCCAATACTCCAGCTTGTGTTTCCCTTTTTACGAATCTGATCCTTTTAAAGTCATCAATGATGTAGCACATTCAAATTAAATATCTACTCATGTCATTCAGGATATTTAGACCTCTTAGTTGTTAACACATCTCGCCCTTCAAATGTAGTAGCCCCACCATATCGACAAGGGATAAATTCTAAGAGCTGAACCCATGATAGTGTCAAACCCCACGTGTATGATGATTTTTCCTACATGTACATACATATGTAAAGTTTATAAATGAAGAAATTAGCAACAATAATAAAATAGAACAATTCTAACAATGTCCTACAATGAAAGTTTGCAACTTGAGATCCTCATTAAGTAAAATGAAGGTTCCTTGAACACAAACACTGCAATGCTGCAGCCGTCACTCTGGTAACAAAGACAGCTACTAAGTGATTAGCAGCGAGTCGTGCATACAGCAGACGTGCTGGGCAAAGGAGTGGCTTATTCCTGGCTGCCCAGGAGCGGGACAGGCTGAGGTCTATCACACTACTGTAAAGAGTATGGAGTTTAAACTTAGCAATTGTTTGTTTCTGGATTTTCCATTTAATATTTTTGAACCATGGTTGATAGTCAGTAACTAAAACCACAAAAAGCAAAAGCAGAGATTAGGGGCTGCTGCACTCCTTAGCTGATGTCTCTTTTACTCATCCTCCTGGTGTGGCTCCTGTAACTCCTATTTCTTAAATGTCAGTATTGCTTCATATTCTGGTCTTAGTCCTTGTCAACATCCTATCTCTATTCAGTGTTCCAACATATTCTCTCCCTGAACAAACTAACATTCTTCAAAATTTTCTAAATTAACACCACTATATAGAAATATATTTTGAAATTTTGCCTTAGCTAGAAAATGTAACTTAAGCAAACACTGCAGCCTCACTTAACAACTAATGAATAACTTTATTTATTTATTTATTTTTATTTATTTACTTTTTGACAGGCAGAGTGGACAGTGAGAGAGAGAGACAGAGAGAAAGGTCTTCCTTTTTTTCTGTTGGTTCACCCCCCAATGGCCGCTGCGGCCAGCACACTGCGCTGATCAGAAGCCAGGAGCCAGGTGCTTCCTCCTGGTCTTCCATGTGGGTGCAGGGCCCAAGGACCTGGCCCATCTTCCACTACATTCCCGGGCCACAGCAGAGAGCTGGACTGGAAAAGGAGCAACCGGGACAGAATCCAGCACCCCGAGCGAGACTAGAACCAGGTGTGCTGGTGCCACAGGTGGAGGATTAGCCTATTGAGCCACGGCGCCAGGCCATGAATAACTTTAAAACAATGATATTCCATTAACATAGTTATTTAAAATTATTCTTGAACTAGCCATTACACTGCCTTATATAATTAAGGAAAAGTTAAGCAAGTAACAAATCTGTTAATAGAACACTTAAATTAAATATATGTTTACACTGTACTGGTTAAGTTTGAATTTCTAAATCTGTTTTAGTAAAAAGGAGAAACACTTTCTTCAAAAGATTTTGGAGGTTACAGGGACTGAGACCAAATAAATATTTGTATTGGAATTTAAAATTTTGCAGGTAATGGCTACAAATTTTCAAAATACACTTGTTTATTTTTTTAACTTTTGCTTAATAAATATAAATTTCCAAAGTACAGTTTATGGATTACAGTGGCTTCCCCCCCCATAACTTCCCTCCCACCTGCAACCCTCCCATCTCCCGCTTTCTCTCCCCTTCCATTTACATCAAGATTCATTTTCAATTCTCTTTATATACAGAAGATTGATTTAGTATATATTAAGTAAAGATTTCAACAGTTTGCGACACAAAGTGTAAAGTACTGTTTGAGTACTAGTTATACCGTTAATTCACATTGTACAACACATCAAGGACAGAGATCCTACATGAGGAGTAAGTGCACAGTGACTCCTGTTGTTGACTTAACAAATTGACACTCTTGTTTATGGCATCAGTAATCTCCCTAGGTTCTTGTCATGAGTTGCCAAGGCTATGGAAGCCTTTTGTGTTCGCCCACTTCGATCTTATTTAGACAAGGTCATAGTCAAAGTGGAAGTTCTCTCCTCCCTTCAGAGAAAGGTACCTCCTTCTTTGATGGCCCGTTCTTTCCACTGGGATCTCACTCACAGAGATCTTTCATTTAGATTTTTTTTTTTTTTTGCCAGGGTGTCTTGGCTAATTTTTTTTAAATAGAGGCTTGGTTTGATGCACTAACTGCAGCATTATTAGCTCACTCTGACATCACTCATCTAGGCCTAATTAGCTTCAGATAAGCACAAGGAGTCTGTTTCCCCCTAAAACATGGATCCTAAATGATTGGTCACTTAGACTCTGGGCATTTTACAGCAACTAGAGACATGGTTGGTGCACCTCAATGGTGTGTGCTTTGACATCAAGTCAGGAAGGCAGGTGAAGGATGCAGCTAGACATCCCACAATAAATACCAACAATAAAGAATTAGTACATAGAATATACTAATAACAACTATATTATACTAATATGAGATGTTAATAATAGGAGAAGCTGGGTATAGGGTGCATGGGAACTCTCTCTCTCTCTCATCAATACTGCTCAGGTTTTCAAAAATATGCTTTAAAAGAAGGCCCTTTTGGATCACATAAGTAAGACCAAGTGTCTGGTAATAACAATAGAAAGAATTAAAAAGGAGAGAATGATCCAACATGGGAAGCAGGCCACACAGCAGACTCAGAGAATGACAAATGCCCTAAATACCACTCTGACCTCAGAACCAGCCCTTAAGGCATTCAGATCTGGCTAAATATCTCATGAGAACATTTCAGGCATGGAAAGCCAAGACACTGTGGCAAAAAATTATCTACATGAAGGATCCCTGTGAGTGAGATCCCAGTGGAAAGAAGGGGCCATCAAAGAAGGAGGTACCTTTCTCTGAAGGGAGGAGAGAACTTCCACTTTGCTTATGGCCCTGTCTAAATACTGATAGAGTTTGTAGACTCAAAAGGCTTCCATAGCCTTGGCAGCTCATGTCAAGAGCCTCAGGTGACCACTGATGTCATAAATAAGAGTGTCAATCGTTAAATCAACAACAGGAGTCACTGTGCACCTGCTCCCCATGTAGGGCCTCTGTCCTTCATGAGTCGTACTATGAGAATTAATGGTAAAACTTGTCTTCAAACAGTACTTTATACTTTGTATGTCTGTTTGGGTGCCAACTGTTGAAAATGAATCTTAATGAAGAATGGGATGGGAGAGGGAGTAGGAGGTGGGATGGTTTAGGGGTAGGAGGGCAGGAATGGGGGGAAGAACCACTATATTCCTAAAGCTGTACCTATGAAATTTATGTTTATTAAATAAAAGCTTTCTAAAATAAAACAAGAAAAAAAAGAAGCAGAGTAGCCGGTTGGGCACTGACTTATTTTGTTGAATTAATTCAATAACTTCCTAAATGGTCCTTGGCTGCAATGGTGGACAAATCAAATGCACTTCTCAGAAGGACACCAATGGGTCTCACGAAAGACAAACATGACCCTTATGTAACTTTTATTTTCATGATAATAAAACACACCAGAATATTCTGGGGATAAAAAAGGCCCTTTCCTGATTACTACAGGCTGGGAGGGATCTTGGATTAAAAATAGAGGAGAAGCTGGGTGTGGCTCATCACTTGTGAGAAATAAACTAACATGGGATTTAATGATTTCATAATATACTAATAACAAATATATTACACTAATATAAGATGTTAATAATAGGAGAAGCCGGGTATAGGGTACATGGGGCTCGCTCGCTCTCTCTCTCTCTCTCTCTCACCCTCCTTCTCTCTTTCCCTTCCCGTCTCTGCATTTTAAATACATAAATAAATCTTAAAAGAAAAAAGAAAACATCCCGTATCAGAGTATGCATTTGGCCTAACAGTTGATACGCCACATCCCACGGAGGAGTACCTGGGTTTGAATTCTAATTCCAGCTTCCTGCTACTGTGTACTCCGGTAGTGAGCAAGCGGTGACTCAGTGGCTGGGTCTCTGTCACCCATGTGAGAGACCTAGATTGAGGTCCTAGCTCTTAGCTTCAGCCTGGTCCAGCAGTAATCTCACAGGTATTCAGGGGAGTGACTCATTGGTTAGGAGCACTCTCTCTCTCCCTCTCTGCCTCTCTAACAGTAGTCTTAAAATTAATACTGTTAATTTTATAAAAGAAAACCTGTGTAGAGGGTAATTATAGAGAATTAGATACATCATGATGCAGCAACAGAACATGATCACCACAATGATGCTTATGAACACTGCACAATGACAACTAGACATGCTTCCGCCATGACAGGTGAAAATAAGCAGTGTTCACCCATTCAACACAGTTTCACCTGTACAAACCATAAACACTTTCTTAAGTGATATAAAGCAAAAGGCAGTATAGCAAAAATATAAAGGTGATTGTATTTTTTCTAGTTTTCTATCTTTACAAATTTTAAAGAGAATACTTTATCCTTAAAATGAAAGAAATTATCAAGAAAAAATCCTTTAGAAATATCATTAGTCAAAAATAAACTATAACTTCTGCAAATGTGTCATCCAGCAACACTAGAACGTGCTCTCCGAGGGATAAGTGGTGAACAGGGAGGGTTGGTAACAGTGTGTCAGTATCTAAGAAATGTCGCAGGAAGAGGCTGTTCTGACTATAATGACAAAGCCAAATTATCTAAGGTAGAACGGGTATGTCTTTGATTGGGAAAAGAAACATACAAAGTAACATGAGGTGTCCTTTGGTAAACATTTAATTGCATGGATGAGTCACTGAGAAATTTTCCAACTGTAATTTGTGTCTTGAGTAGGCCTTCGTGGAGGAGAATGATGCCTGGTATAGATGGCTGGCCCAAACAACAGAGCCTCGTCTGTGTCCCCTCGAGGATGAGTTAACTGTCAGCCCGACATCCGCAACCATCCTGCTTTGTCAGAGGGAGACGGTGACACGGAGCTCCACAGCACTGGGCAGGTCCCTGGTCTAAAACACACGGGGCCATACCTGGTCCATGCTTGTCATAGTCCAAAAGCTGTAAAACATCCCTCAATACCTTTGCCTTGCTGGCAGTGACAGAAACAAATAAGCACTCAGTTCTTGCCAGTGACGTGGCGAGCCTCTGGGGTTTGCCTTTCTGAGGGTGACAAGGACGCTGGAAACTGCATACTCACCGATGCTTTGTCCATCATCCCAGAACAGCTCACCCTCAGCTTCCCCGTTGTCATCCAATGCAACAATTAATCCCATAAATTTTTGCCGACTGTCATATAAAAATGAGATATTTTTCTTTATATTGTAGGTTGTAAAAGCGAAGAACAGGCTGTTAAAAATATTACTTATCCAGAAATAAAGGTAATATATTAAATAAGTGCATAAAATTCTAAAAATAGGTAAGGTGAGATTAAATATGACACTTAAAATGTAATAGAGAAACATTTAAATATTTGATAACATGTTTGGTTTAACTTTAGCCTTCAAACATCAAATACACATACTTCACAAATGTGCAAATTATAAGATATATGAATTCCTTAGGAAGAAAACCCAATAGACAAAGAGCACTTCAGTAGGTTTACTACAGACAAAATCCAAAGACCTGGCCTGGCTTTCACAACCTTCACGAACTGATCCTAACCCATGTGGGCTCTATGTATTTCACCCACTCCTTTTGCTATGTTCTAGTTAAACTGAATGGATTACTATTCCCCCAGATCAACTAATCTCTTACCTTTGGTTCTTTAAATGTGCCATAATATCTCTCATCTGCAATCTTTATACCTTCATCCTTTTCATTATTCAACACCCAGCTCAAAGCTCCATTCATATAAAAACCAAGAATACAGCCTTATTCAAGGACAAAGTTCATCTTTCTCCTCTTGAGTTGTTTCTGTCTTATGTGCCTCTTTACACATAACATGCTCTCCTTAATGAGTGAACATATTCATGCATCCATTCATTCAATGAATATGTATTTAGTGTCTCATATATATATGAAACCTAGTTCATGTGTAACTAGTTATAGACATAAATACCTGTAAATACTATTTCATATATATCAAACATGAAATTATACATATGAAGTATTACATTACTCATATTTCATATGTATTTCATATAATTAGATGAATAACCACTCTATATGTATATATGAAGTGGTATAATGTGCACATGCGTAAGAGTGTATAAAATCTCGCCTTGGATTTGGAATGACCACTGAATCTTCTGGGGATCCATTAGAAACCAAGCAGTTGAGTCATATTCCCTGTTTGCTTAGGGTATAAAGAGAAACACGCTTTGCCTGAAGGAAAATTTTGCCTGATAGATCAAAGATCTCCTCAAATCTGACTTCATGTTCATCTGCCAAGAGCACTCACGGAATGTAACCAACACTTGTCTACAAGTTGTTTATTCACGCACAGAGCCCAGGTAGACACAACACCACTTGCAAAGCTGTCTCTCGACGAAGTGAACACTTCAGACCCAACTCCCCTGCTCACCTGGAGTGAGTGTTAACTGCAGGTTCTTGCCAAGGCAGGATGTAGCCTCCTCTGACATGAAGATTGATGTGGTCAAGGGGAGCCTGCAGGATTCTCCACTCGCCTGTCGAGTTGTTTCCAGACTCCTAGAAGGGAGGACGGAGGCAAGGACTGAAGGCAGGTGAGCAGACGACATGACCGCGCGCGTTATGATGAGCCCTTCCTTTACAATGAAGCACCTTGGGAAGTTGCAACTCTGCAGTCCTAAGGAGAAAGCACCCGGTTTTTGTATTTGCTTAAAACTCTGAAAATCTTGCCTTTTCTCTGTGTCTGTAGAAAAGTCTGGTGTCACTGTGATACAGGTGCTCAGACTGTATCTACTGATGCTTTTGTGGATACCTGCATTTAAGTAAACCTTGCGTGAAAGGCAAGGCATACATAGAGAAAAAGTGGAGGAAGTACATTCTCAGGGGAGAGTCAGAGAGAAAACCGCAGTGCAAGTCCCAGGGAAGGAAGGGGCGGCTGGATCTGTTTGGAAGTCGCGGCCATGCAGGACGGGCGCAGACACAACACACGACTCCAGCAGCCGAGAGCCAGAGAAAATGCCGCTTTGAAGAGTGAGATGAGATCAGACTGTTGCAGCTCTTGCCACTGGTGATATAGCCCAAAGGAAGGTTTGGTGTGAATCTGGCCTGGAGTCCTAAGGGTATAGGGTACCCGCTAACCTAGAATTAAAAAAAAGGTACAGGCCGGCGCCGCGGCTCACTAGGCTAATCCTCCGCCTAGCGGCGCCGGCACACCGGGTTCTAGTCCCGGTCGGGGCGCCGGATTCTGTCCGGTTGCCCCTCTTCCCAAGACCAGGCCCTTCTGCTTGTGGCCCGGAGTGCAGTGGAAGGATGGCCCAGGTGCTTGGGCCCCTGCACCCCATGGGAGACCAAGAAAAAGCCACCTGGCTCCTGGCTCCTGCCATCGATCAGCGCGGTGCGCCGGCCGCAGCGCGTCGGCCGCGCGCCATTGAGGGTGACCAACGCAAAAGAAGACCTTTCTCTCTGTCTCTCTCTCTCACTGTCCACTCTGCTGTCTAAATTCAGAACAAAAAACAAAAGGGTACAGTTTCTCTCTCCCCAACCCCGCAAGGCACCCAGAAACTGGCTGAGAGAGGGCAGGCACCATTTTGAACATACACAGCAGCTGCAGAAATTCGTGTGTGAGTACCAAGCAACTGGCCAGCACAAAATGCCAACTTGACAGAGTAGCAGTGGCAGCAGCTCCGATGGGTGCACTGGGAAATCAGCCGAGAGAAGGCAACATTGTGAAACAAGTAGGGATTGTGGCCAGCAGTTCTTGTGCAGGTGGATTCTACTAGAAGAAAAAATTTGCATTCCCCACTGACTTTGAGTCTTGCCGGGAAGACTGACAAGGGGCTGGGCACCCACGTAGGACTGTGAGGTGCCCCTGGCCTCTCAGCATATCACAGGTTCCAGGGCTCAAACCACCCAGACAGAGCACCCATAGGCAGCTGGCTGTGGGGACATGTCTGCCTCTCTGTGGACAGGACAGGCTAGGTAGGCAGAGAGGGTCCTCTACACCCCATGGCTAAGGGAACCTTATGTGCTGGAACTGTGGGAACTCTGTTACTGCAAGAGAAGGTGCAGGGTGTAGCTGGGTCTCTGGGCAATCACACACTCAAGCTCCCCGATTGCCTGGGGTGTGTCATTGCAATGGGACCCATGTCTACACTGAGGATAGCACCGATCTTTGTGTACTTCATGCAGCAGTGTAGATAAGTATTGCACCCACTGTGATGCAGCACCTGGGCGTTGATCACTTTGGAAGGGAGGAGGTGAGGTTATGCCAACACAGGTGCTTATTCCCTCCTGCCTACTAAAAAGAAGAGATTTACCACACCCAACCTGGGTGTCACCCTGGATACTCACCCCTCCCTGTACCACTGACCAGAGCTCCCTGGCCAAACCCAGCACACACCTCTGGGTATTCACTGAAAGAACAGAAACTTCACTAAGTCACAGAGCCATAGTTCAAAGACAGAAGCCATCAGAGGAAAAAGCCAACAAGTATCTCAACAAATATCTAAAAATAAACACAGAAATTCAAGAAAAAAGAATAAGGAAGACAACATGACCCCTCGAGAGAACACAACACTTCAATATTAGAATGTGAAGATGAAGAGATTAATGAAATTCCTGAAACAGAACTCAAAAGATTAATCATAGGGAATGAGAAGCAAATTCATGAATTAAAGAAATTCATACATCACATGAATGAAAAATTTCCCAAGAAGTTGAGATTGCGAAGAGAAATCAAAATGATATATTAGAAATGAAAATTTCAGTGTGTCAAGTAAAAAATACAGTTGAAAGCCTTAACAACAGAATTCATTAAGTAGAAGAAAATCTGAGTTAGAAGAAAATTGATGAAAAGTTTTCAGAACAAAAAATAAAGAGAGAGAGAGAGAGAAAGACATTAGAATAATTAAAAACAGTGTTGGAGATTTCTGGGATACTATCAAATGACCCAACATAGGAGACTTAGGATTTCCTGATGGTGTGGGAAGAGCGAATGAATCAGAAATCCTATTCAGTGGAATAATTACAGAAGATTTCCCTAATTTGGAGGAAGAAAAAATGTCCAAGAGAAAAAGGCACGAAAACTGCTTATAGACATGACCAAAAACTTCACCGTGACACAGTGTAGTCATACTTTCAACAGCAAAACATAACAAAAGTTTATAAATTGTGCACAAGACAAATGCCAGATTACTTTCAGAGAATATACCATTGGCCCAACTAGCCAAAAAATAAATAAATAAATAAATAAATAAATAAAAAGAGGGAGAAGAACCAAATCAATGATATCAGAATTGAAAAAGGAAATGTAACATCAGATAACTACAGAAATAAAAAGAATCATCAGGAATTACTGCAAAGAGCTATATGCTAACAAATCAGAAAATCTAGAAGAAATGAATAGATTCCTGGACATACACAACATACCTAAATTAAGTCATGAAGATACAGAACACCTAAAAGACCAATAACCAAGAAGGAGGTTAAGTCAGTAATAGACTCTCCCAACAAAGGAAAGCCCAGGACCCAGTGGCTTCACTGCTGAATTCTACCAGACTTTCAAAGAATAAACAATTCCAATTCTTCTCAAGATTTTTAAGACAACTGAAATGGAGGGGATCCTCCCAAACTCCTTCTGTGAGGCCAGCATCACCTAAATTCCTTAACCAGAAAAAGCAGCAACAGAAAAAGAGATCTATAGACCAGTATCCCAGATGAATATAGATGCAAGAATCCTCAACAAAATACCAGTTGTTGAATGTGAACAACACATCAGAAAGATCATTTACAAGGATCAAATGGAATCTATTCTGATATGCAGGGATGGTTCAAGATTCGCAACTCAGTGTGATACATCCCATTAACAAACTGAAGATAACCATACGGTTATCTCAGTAGATGCAGAGAAAGCATTTGATAAAAGACAACACGCTTTCACGATGAAAACCTTAAGCAAACTGGGTATAGAAGGAACATTTCTCAACCCAATAAAGGCAATTTATGACAAACCAACAGCCAGCATCTTATTCAATGTGGAAAAGCTGGAAGCATTTCCTCTAATATCCCTAACCAGAAAAGGATGCCCACTTTCACCACTGCTATTCAATATAGTCCTGGAAATTTTGGCCAGGGCCATTAGGCAAGAAAAAGAAATAAAGGGATACAAACTGGAAAGAAGGAAGTCCAACTATCCCTATTCGCAGATGATATGATTCTATATATAGCGGATCCAAAATACTCCACTAAGAGACTATTGGAATTCATAAAAGAGTTTGGTGAATTGGCAGCATATGAAATTAATACATAAAAAATCAATGTCCTTTGTATCCACAGACAATGTCATGCAGAGAAAGAACTTCTCAGATGAAGTCCATTCACAATAGCTACAAAAAATTGAATGCCTTGGAAGGAATTTAACCAAGGTGGTCAAAGATTAAACATTAAAGAAAGAAATAGAGGAAGACACACAAAAAATGGGAAAAAAATCTTCCGTGTTGGTGTCTTGGAAGAATTAATATCATCCAAATGTATATACTGCCCAAAGTAATTTACAGATTCAATGTAATACCAATGAAATTACCATGAAGTTCTTCTCAGATCTAGAATGAATGATGATAGCACAAGAGATCTTGAATAGCTAAAGCAATCTTATACAACAAAAACAACGCAGGTGGCATCCTAATACCTGATTTAAAGACATACTACAGGGCAGGCAGTTATAACCAAGAGTGCCTGGTATTAGAAAAAAATTAGATGTGTAGGCCAATGGATAGAATAGAAAGTCCAGAAACAAACCCATGTATTTAACCAACATATCTTTGACAAAGGAGCTAACACCAATCTCTTGAGCATGGACAGCCTCTTCAACAAATGGTGCTGGGAACACTTGGATCTCCACATGCAGATGTATGAAGCATGAGCCCTACCTTACATCTTACACAAAAATCCACTCAAAATGTATGAAGGACCTAAATCCATGACCTAGTATCACCAAATTATCAGAGATTATTAGAGATCATTGGTGAAAGTCTGTAAGACATTGGCATAGCAAAAGAGCTCTTGGACAAGACCCCAGAAGCACAGGCAATCAAAGCCAAAATAGAAACATGGGATGGCATCAAGCTGGGAAGCTTTTACACCGCAAAAGAAACACCCGGGGCCGGCGCTGTGGCATAGTGGATAAAGCTGCCGCCTGCAGTGCCGGCATCCCATATGGATTCGGAGTTGAGTCCCGGCTGCTCCACTTCTGATCCAGCTCTCTGCTGTGGCCTGGAAAAAGCAGTGGAGGATGGCCCAAGTCCTTGGGCCCCTGCACCCATGTGGGAGACCTGGAAGAAGCTCCTGGCTCCTGGCCTCCTGTCAGTGCAGCTGCAGCTGTTGCAGCCAATTTGGAAGTGAACCAGTGGATGGAAGACCTCTCTCTCTCTCTCTCTCTCTCTGCCTCTGCCTCTCTGTGTGTAACTCTGACTTTTAAATAAATAAATAAACCTAAAAAAAAAAGAAACGCCTGCAAAGTGAAGAGCCAACCACAGATAAGAGAAAATATTTGCAAACTATGAAATTGATCAAGGATCATTATTCAGAATCCAAAAAGAGCCCAAGAAAGTCAACAACAACAGAATAAACAATCCAATTAAGAAATGGGCCACAGACACATGAAAAAATTTTCAGGACCACTGGCCATTAGTAAAAAGCAAATCAAAACCACAAAGAGGTTTCACTTCATCCCAGTTAGAATAGCTCTCATACAGAAATCCACAAATAATAAATGCTGCCAAGGAGGTGGGGGGAAGGTACTCTAATCCACTGTTGGTGGAAATGTAAACTGATTCAGCCTTTGTGGAAGACAGTGTGGAGATAACTCAGATCTCTGAATACAGACCTACCATGTGATCCAGCATCCCTCTCCTGGGAATTTACCCACAGCAAATGAGATCAGCAAATGAAAGAGTTATCTGTACCCTCATGTTCACTGTCCCTCAATTCACAATAGCTAAGATATGGAATCAACCAAGATGTCTATCAACTGATGACTGGAAAAAGAACTTATGGTGTAAACACACCATGGAATACTACTCAGCAATAAAAAAAATGAAATCCTGTTATTTGCAATAAAATAGATGTAACTTAAAACCATTATACTTAGAGAAATAAACCATTCCCCAAAAGACAGATACCTTATGTTTTCCCTGATCTATGTTAACTAACAGAGTACCTAAAATGTAATGTATTGCAGTGAAACTGACATTTTGAGATTCGATGACCATTTACAGCCCTTGTCTCTACTGTTGAGCAAGTGCTTTTTTCTTTACACTATTTGTTGACCTCTTTACTTAGTGCAGAGTTAATCTTACAAGTAGAAAGTAAACTGAAATAGATCTTCATAAAAATTAAGAGTGTGAATAGGAGAGGGAGGAGGAAGAAGGGTAGGAACAGGGTGGGATGTGGGGAGCAACTGAGACCAGACTAAGTTACTGGAATTAAGACTTATTCTATGCATCTGCTCTCCCACAATATGGTGCTGGGGAGGAGTAAACTTCTACGCAGCTGCCTCTCACCAATTTGACTGATGAGCTGCAGGAGCTGATCCTGCTCCTGATTGGAGGAGAGCAGTGTGCTCGGCATGTGGGTAGCAGAGCATGGATTGGTGGAAGAGGACTATAAAGGAGGAGAGAGACAACATGCACCAGGAACATCTGAAGGAATACCTGAGCAGCCCCCGAGAGAGCCGGCCGGCGGTGTGCCGCTCCTCCGCGGAAGCGGGGAAAGTGGCAGGGGGTGCCGCCCCTCCACAGTCAGCAGCCAACCCGGGAAGGACCAGCAGCAAACCCGGGAAGGGCCGGGCAGACAAAAGAACAGTGCAGGGTCCTGTGTCGTTCCTCCGCGAATGGGGGAGCGACAGTGGGAGGGAAGGTAATGTGTGATGTATCACTATGTTCCTAAATATGTATATATGAAATACATGAAATTTTTATACCTTAAATAAAATTTAAAAAATTGCCAAGGCTTAGAAGGTTGAAAATTACTTTCTTAGAACATATGTTCCTGGAAGTCAGTAGAGAGTGCCAGATTAATCCGGTTTTAACAAACCATGCATTTGTTCATTCTTACCGTGCTGTAGTCATACCAAAGGGCTTGAGGGAAATAGGCACGGATCGCAAAAGTGTTCTGAAACATAAAATCAAACATCATTATGAATATTCCAGGAAGGAAATAGTGTAATTTCAATTTTTAAGACACTTTCTCTAGAGTAAGGCAAAGAGGGAATTTTATTAGCAATTTAAGAATGTACAAGATTTTATTAAGGATGATCCAGAAGAATTCTTATTAAAACACACAACAGGGGCAGGTGCCGTGGCACAGTAGGTTAATCCTCCACCTGCGGCACTGGCATCCCACATGTGCGCTGGTTCAAGACCCGGCTGCTCCACTCCGATCCAGCTCTCTGCTATGGCCTGGGAAAGCAGTAGAAGATGGCCCAAGTCCTTGGGCCCCTGCTCCCACGTGGGAGACCCAGAAGAAGCTCCTGGCTCCTGGCTTCGGATCGACGCAGCTCCAGCCGTTGCAGCTATTTGGGGAGTGAACCAGCAGAAGGAAGACCTTTCTTTCTCTCTGTCTCTCCCTCTCACTGTCTGTAACTCTACCTCTCAAATAATAAAATCTTAAAAAAAAAAAAAAAAACAAGAAATAATTTTTTAAAAATTACTGTAAAACCATACAAGATGACAAATTTCTAAAAATAGCAATCAACTAGTGGTGTGAAACTTTCATTGGAGAGGATCTCAGAAAAAGGAAAAGTTTTCCTTTAGGGGTAGTAGGAAGGCATTCACCGGAAACAACACAGGATGATCTAAAAACACTTCTCCTGTACCTTACCGTTAGTGATTGGAGGGTTTCTGATCTACTGCAAAAACTCACACTTTCCAGCACAGGGCTGATAAGGATGGCAGGGCCCCACATGAACTGTTGGTCTATATCCCACGTTGTGCTGTCGTTTGTAAACCTGAAAAGGTAAGCGTGAAATCTTTATCCCTGAACTCCTACAACCTTCGCAGAGGAGTGCTACAAGGGAGAGAGTCTCTACTCACTCGTGGAGAAGAGGTCGGATGACAGTGCTGCCCTCCACGTGAGCCTTGTACATCAGCGTGTAGAGATAAGGCAGCAAGGAGTATCTGATCTGCAGGGCTTTTTGTGAGGCCATCTCAAAGGTTGAGTTCCATGCCACAGGATCTTGTCTCTAAGTTAACAAAGAGCACAGAACCGACTGGTTTTCCTTCACTACACCCTGGTGATGTCAGGAAGGATCAGTGAGCATTTCCTCCACACACATCTCCCCACCGCTTCTCCCTTCAGGTCTGGCCACCCCTTTCCCTGCAAAAGCTCTCAGAACTAGAGCTTCTTGGTTCTTCTTTGTTATTGATTTCTGTGTCTCCTGCCCAGGTCCAGCCTTAGCCCTGTGTATGTGTGGCACAATCAATCATTCTTTATGAAGCACTGACATTTCATCAATGGATTTGAATAAAATATAAATGCGATTTGCTTAAAAGAATGGATTTTTACATTTTAGTTCCATGGGGGAGACATAATAAATTCTCTCCTCATGGGTATTAACACCCCAGGAGGTGAGAAAAAGCATACTCAAAAATTGTCAATAACTCTGAGGTTCTAAACTTGGTGGATATTCTAGAAAACGGAGGTCCCAATGATTTGTATGACCTTTCTCAGGGAGGAAGTAGAATGACCTTGTGGGTTCAAAATAAGCTGTGCTGGGAGGTTGCGAAGCACCTGCTGCAGGAACTGCTGACTCACCCTCGTCCCGATGGTGTTGTGGTTCCTGGAAAATGGATAAAAGGCCCCCAGCTGCATCCAGCGAATGCACATCTCATATTCAGCATCTCCAAAGAACCCACAGATGTCTGCTCCTGTCTGAGAAGATGCAAAAATCAGAGCATGGGGTGGGACTCCAGTGGGTTGTAGACACACTGAAATGTGACTGGGTAATTAGTGATGGCCTCTGTTTGACTTACATAAGGTATTCCAAAGAGACTGAACTCCATCATACCTGCAATGAGAAGATATGGCTGTGTGGAATATGGAAACACTTTGGGGAAGACAGACCTGGCTTTTCCTTGCCCTGTTAGAAAGCCTTGGGAATTCATGATGAAAATATTGAAAGGTGGGTATAAATTAAAACATCCCTAGAAAAGTCCAATCTTGATGATGATCTAGATACAGAGGGCCCTAGGAAGAACATCACACACCAATGATAGACTTCCCCAGCTGGTCCCACGCCGCTGTGTTCTCCCCCAGCCAGTGTCCACCCCAGCGGCCAGAAGAGGGGAACGTGGAGCGGGTGATGACGATCCCTCGCTGTCCCGTCACCTCCTGCACGGCTCTGGGTGGAGAGGAACAAGGAGGTGAACTGAAGGTGGACACGAGCCTGGACAGTCATAGAGCTGCATCACAGAGAGAACTTGCAGCTTGCTGTGTGGGGTGGCAGAGCTGTTCCACTCAGAGTCAAATGCTTTCCTGCCCAGAAAACATCTGCTGACGAACAGTGGGGCCAAAGTCCCAACCAAAGTCTCAGCAGGACAACCGGAGGAAGACTGATCTCTGCTACATGATTTCATTCTTAAAGAAAAGTCCAGTTAGATAGTTATCTGGGGCTGAGGAGTAGAACTGCGATTTAATGGAACCTTTCTCCTCTGCTGGAATTAGGCTCGTCACGTTCGTGTGTACTATCTCACAAAAAGAGCTACTTCCTCTTCATGAGGAAGACTTCCTTATATTGCTTTTACTGTTGGGATACTAAGGCTCAGAGAAGTTAGATCACTTGTTTTAGTCATTGGAAGAGAAAGGAGGCAGAGCCAGGATCCAAATGAAAGTCTATACGACCATAGCCCTTTCGTGATATTCACTCTCCCATGCAGGATATTTTTTGCACACATGGGCAAATATTCAAAAAAGACATTTAAATCTCATTTGATTGAAGAGAAATTGTCTACACGTATCTCCAGTCAGAAAATAGACAACTCTTTAGGAGAAAAAATCAACGGAACAAAAGAGAACATCTATTAAATGACTCTAGTATGTATACAATCCAAATTTTTGTTAAAGGAAGCATTACAAATCAATAAATACAGATGCACTATCCAATAAATGAAGCCAGGAAAAGAGCTACTTACTATAAGGAAAACTGCTCCACTTAGCTCACTTCCAATATTTCACACCAAAAGAAATCCAGAAGTGGATGAAGATACTACATACACACACATACTCTTATTATAGCAAACAAAAAAAAATACAATCTGATTTCTACAGGGAAATGGAATTTTGGAGAATAAAAGCAATAAACAAAACACAGTGAGGGAGGAGGTATAGATTTAACCACATACAGATTGGAAGTATGTTTATATATACATGCATACATATGTGTGTGTATGTATATGTGTGCATATGTGGTGAAGGAATAGGGGTGGAAGACCACTTAGATTTTTATAAGAATCTAGGTGAGAGGCAGTGAAGACCTTGAATAAGGCAGAGGTCTAGCATAAGGGAGAATGTGAGTAGAATAAGCATGAATGTGAACAAAGCAGCGAATGACTATCTCAGCCCAGTTCCATTCACATCAATAAAGAACTCACGAGCGCCAGCAAGGCCCTTTGCAAGACTCTTAATTCAGACTTCTGGGTTCACAGGTGAGGAATCAGACCTCCAGGAACGGAGGGTAATATGGGAAAGAAGTTAGCTCACCTTGCGACATATTAAATTTGAGTTGTTAGTAAGATGTCTGCTAGGAAATATTTATTAGACACTGGGAAATGTGATCTCAGGGCCACACTTCCTTCTTTTTCTATGTCCTGTTTATTCTGGCTAATAAATAATAATTAAAATAGGCAAAGGATTTCCTATCTTTCTTAAGATATTATGGCCCTGGTAAGTACCAGATATTTTTACCACCAAGAAAGGTTACATTTATTCTTTGTATGTCAGGCACAGAAGATTAAACTAATGTAACTGCTAAATTTTCCACTGGATACTTGCTTGCCAGGATTGTTCATTCAAATCTAGCAATCCTAGCTCTTCCATTATTCTGTAAGGAGTGACTCTCTGGTGCTTCAGGCACAATTATCTAAATAGCAGCCTATCTCCTCCATGTGGGAGCCAATGGGCTTTGACTGTAGAGCAAGATGTAGGTATCCAACTCCAACATGCAAATCTACAGAGACAAGTCAGCATTTGTTAGAGTGACAAAAGGGAATTGCAATGTACGATGAACGTTAAAACCACGTGTTTGTGACTTCCCTGTCCTTTGAGGAAGTCATTCTAAACAAAACATTCTTGAAACAAAACAAAAAATGTCTATGGGGCGACAGGAATATGACATCTGTGGGAATTCTGGACTTGAAGTTCAAGAGAGAAGGTTGTGCTGGGGCCATAGATTGGAGAGTCATCTGCATTCAGAAAGTGTTTAAACTCTTCAGTGTGTGGGTGCTGATCCAAGAGAGGGCTGCACGGGGTGAAAGAGAGATGACTGAACGCCACCCTAGGAGTAACACACAGGAGACTGGACCGGGAAGGGACACCTGCCAGGGAGCTGGTGAAACAGTGGTCAGAGAAGCAAATGCACAAATAACCTGAATCAACACAGGAAGGCACAGTTGAGACCCTGAGGAGAAAGCAAAAGCACAGAGCTTACGTAGCAGGGCATATTGTGGACCTCAAAGCCAGCAGAGGGAGAGGCCAGCATGCAAATCCACACACTGATCCCATGTGTACTGAGCTCTCACATCAGCATAGCACTCAGGGGCACACAAAGAGGAAGCGGCCGTCGGTCAGTGCTTGAACAGAGTTGCAGATAAGACACAGTCCTTACCCTGCACAAGGTGCTTAGAGGAGGTAACTTAAAATGTGGGCCACAGTGTAAGCTTGGGAGTTAAGAGAAAAGGGGATTAGGAGAGACAGAGTCATCCGAGAGGTTTTCATGGAGGAAATGGGTTCAAGCAGGACTTTAGATTGCAGGTATTGCTTCTGGCCTAGAAAAAGCAGAAGACAGCCTAAGTGTTTGGGGCTCTTATATCCACACGGGACATCCAAATGAAACTCCTGGCTGCTGACTTTGGCCTGGTCCATCAGGGGAGTGAACCAGGGGATGGAAGATTTTTTTAAAAGATTTATTTATTTATTTATTTGAAAGTCAGAGTTATGCTGAAGAGAGAAGGAGAGGCAGAGAGAAGGAGATAGAGAGAGAGAGAGAGAGATCTTCCATCTGCTGGCTCACTTCCCAGTTGGCCACAATGGCTGAGCCAGGCTGAAGCCAGGAGCCAGGAACATCATCCAAATCTCTACATTGAGGGTAGGAGCCCAGATGTTTTAACCATCTTCTGTTGCTTTTCCCAAGTCATTAGCAGGGAGCTGGATTGCAAGTGGAGCATCCAAGACATAAACCAACACCCATATGGGAGGCCAGCATCTCAGATGGCTTTAACCACTATGCTACATTGCTGCCTCCAAGTTCGTAAGTGTTAAATGTTTATAGCACTGGGGCCAGCGCTGTGGTACAGCGGGTTAAAGCACCAGTCTGCAGTGCTGGCATCCCATATAGGAGTTGGTTTGAGTGCCAACTGCTCCAGTTCCAATCCAGTTCCCTGCTAGCATGCCTGGGAAAGTAGTGGAGGATGACCCAAGTGCTTGGGCCCCTGTGCCCATGTAGGAGACCTGGATGAAGCTCTTGGCTCCTGGTTTCAGATAGGGTCAGTTCAGCTCTGGCCATTGTGGCCATTTGAGGAGTGAACCAGCAGATGCAAGACCTCTCTCTCTCTGCCTCTGCCTCTCTGTGATTCTGCCTTTCAAATAAATCAATCTTTAAAAAATGTTTATAGCATCACTATTTAAAATAGCCAAGAAGTGAAAACAACAACCTGAATTTTCACCAACTGATGGATGTATAAAGAAAATATAGCATCTTTATGCAATGGAACATTATTGATCTGTAAAAAGAAACGAAATACTGATGCATGCTAAGAGATAAATCTTTTTTTTTTTTTTTTGACAGGCAGAGTGGACAGTGAGAGAGAGAGACAGAGAGAAAGGTCTTCCTTTTGCCGTTGGTTCACCCTCCATTGGCCGCCGCGGCCAGCGCGCTGCGGCCGGCGCACCGCGCTGATCCGATGGCAGGAGCCAGGAGCCAGGTGCTTTTCCTGGTCTCCCATGGGGTGCAGGGCCCAAGCACCTGGGCCATCCTCCACTGCACTCCCGGGCCACAGCAGAGGGCTGGCCTGGAAGAGGGGCAACCGGGACAGAATCCGGTGCCCCGACTGGGACTAGAACCCGGTGTGCCGGCGCCGCAAGGCGGAGGATTAGCCTAGTGAGCCGCGGCGCCGGCCCAAGAGATAAATCTTGAAAACACGCCGCACACACACACAATACTCAGGCACAAAAGACCACACGCTGTGTGATTTCATTCAGATGAAATATCCAGAATAATAATCCATATATACAGAAGGTAGATTAGTAGTGACTTGAGTTTAGGACATGGAAAAAAAATATGAGAATGACTGCTAATGGATCAGGATTTTCCTTTGGAGATGGTGAAAATTGTCTTAACATTTTACAGATGACTGCACAACTCTATGAATATACAAAAAACCACCAACTGCGCAGCTCAAATAGGTGACTTTAGCAATCTACTTGACAAATAGGCTCAGTTGTTGTACCTGCTTGGGGAATCTTGCATGGAATTTGTACATACATCCATTTAATCAGAATAACGCTGATAGGAGCACAACAGAAGTCTAACAAGAGAAAAAGCAACAATGTGTACAGTTATCTTTGCTACCAGTGATGAAAACACTCACTCGTAGGTGGGTCTGGTCTGGGACCACCCGTACAGGCTGTGCACGTCGTAGTGCCGCACTCGGGAGCCGTCTGGCAGGATCTGCTCACTCTCCATGCACAGGGTCTTGCTGCTCAGGCCCGTGCCCCTGGACTCCAGGTCTGAACAGAAATGATCCATTATTTCCCAAGCAACTTGATTTGCACATTGTTTAGAAATGCCTATCATTTTAGCATTTCTCTATTTCAATCAATAACTTTGAAACCAATAACAGGTCCAATTTCCCAAGTTTTTAGCTCTACAAAATCAACATCATGTGACTTTATAGCCAAAGATGGACAGGGTATAGAACTGGGGAAAACACCCTTCCTTTTGTTCCAACTCTTGGTTTATAGAGTACTAGCAGATTTGTCACTGGAATAAATCCTTGTTGTCAGGACTGTGGCATCCACTAGATGGTAATGTCCTCAAGGGAAAAGATCTTATTTTTAATCAACTTGGTATGAAAATGTGTAAATCTTTCTGAGTCGTCAGCACTTGCTTGATACTTAAATATTAAATCAGAGAGGAAGAAGAGCACTAACGAGTGACTTAGCGAGCCATGGGCAGGCAGCATAGCAGTGACCCTCAAGGAACTTGGAGTCTAGATTCTGTCCCCCAAATTACTGGTGCACCACTTCTATAAAGTGAGTCACCTCCCTCCTTGGGGTCCTGCAAGATGTAAAGACCCAGCTTTCTGAGAATCCTGTGATTCCAACATCCTATTTCTGTTTGTGTCAGAGTACAAATGGGGAACATCCTTTATGAAGTATCTGCTGACATGAGAGAGTTCATGGACTAGATTTTATTACATGATCAAAAGAACCTCTCTCATTCTCTCTCTTTCTTTCCTTTGTGTGTGCATATGTGTTTGCATACAGAAGTCTTTAAAATTTCAACAGTCAGCTTACAATGATCAAAGTAATCAAATGTACCAATCACCATGTAGGGCCTTTCACAATCCTGTCATTATTTTTGTGTTTGATTAGTAATTTATTTATTCATTATTTACTAGTAATTTTTATTAGTAGTACATTTTTTATTTGAGATAATTCAATTTGGGGTTTTATGTCATGATTAACAATACATTCTATATCAAAAATTAGACTTTGCTTTGACAGTAAAGAGGAAAGTTTCAAGGTGTTTGATTAGGGAAGTAATTTGAGGAAGTTATCATGTTACATACATGGCACATAGGGTGGATTATTAAGAATATCATTTCGGCAGCCATTGACAGATCCATCCACAAAGTTTGATGGCTCGTTCATGTCCTGAAATGAGTGAGCAAAAACAGTTCTGTGATGTGAGGGGCAGTAGAGCATTGGCTATTTAGGCCACTGACCTCAGGGAAATGAACGTGTCATAATTGAAGCCCTCGGTCCTCCAAGTGGCTTCAATTACTCTCTTCAATTCCTAGCAGTGACCAAAATGGACTCTAAGAATATCCGTGTCAGATTAGGTGGAGTGGTACACTCTTCAGACTACCTGGTATTTTTAAATTTAGGAAGATTATTTCACAGTGAGAAAAAGGCTGAGATAATCCTGGAGCCTGGATCCAGGAAATCTCTTGAAACATGCCCACTCAGGAAGCCAGTCTTCGTTTCTCCACGCGTGGATTGTTCACTCCATCTTTATCCAGTGGTGACTATTGTCTTCCTCTACACTTTGTTACTCTGACAGCTTAGAATAATTCTGTTATCAGCCTAGACTATGCACAGGAAAGGCAATTCACTTTCTGCTGCAGATAGATCCCCAAAAACTTGTGTATAACATATGCAAATCTGGAAACAAAATCAAATTTGGAGTAAATTCTTTTTAGAAGAAAAGAGTAAGAGCTCCTGAAGGGATGGTCATTGCTTCCCCTATCAAGGGAAAGGTTACAATTTTGTATGTTGGACTATGGTAAGTAGGACACAACCCTGGTCAAGGCAAGTATTGGATAAGTGTTCATTATTTTGAGTTATCCAGCTGTAGCATTCCCTCTTGCAGAAATTTCCTGCAAAAATACCCTGGAGTTACTAGTAACTGCTGTGATCAGTGCCACCCACATCTCTTCACTGATTCTGCTGTTTGGTTGATTAATGTACTTTCATATTCTACCTTCTGCCTATCTCTCCTGAACAATCAAATGTCAGGGAGTCCCCAGGACTGCCCATTACCTTATAGGTTTGTCTCTGGATGAATATCAAGCTTATGCCAGCTCAGTCCATCTTTGAGCAGTTCCTCAGAGTTGGCCCAGAACTTGTTTAAGATTTCAGGCCACTGGGCAATCAGGAAGGCAATCAAAATATTGATATGCTTTCAAACAACAGAAAAGCACAAACACATGTGCCTTGGACACATGTTCTAGACCTAAAAAATCCCTGCTGTAAGTTGGCTCTAAGGCCAACAGCCTGTGTAACACGTGTCTAAACAGGTCTCTGAAGCCATCCCCTGAAAGCATTCTGCGTCAGTCCCATAGTGAGTGTCTACCTCTCTGATGGCTGTCCTGTGGGTCCCAGCTCTGCCCTCTACTGTAGAAAGGGTTCTCAGGCTGCCTCACTAATTGGCCAACAGGGGATGCTGGTGAGAGACTGGAGGATGAGAGGTAAGAGGACCCCGGGAATTTTTCCTCTCTCTCATGCTCTGGCATCTGCAGCAGTGGCACAGCTCCTCCACTGGCTCTAACTCCCCCGAGATAAAGTATGGCTAGGTAGACCACAGTAATTATAGCATTGCCTGGTCTCAACACCCAGATTCTGTAACAATCTCCCTTCTTTTGGTCCCTTGTGGTCCAGCTCCCTGCTTTGCCAGTCTCTGGATTGCCACTCCACATTTTCACTACCAACAATTCCAAAGAAAAGCAATTAAGGGTGCACTTACAATCCTCAACCCATCAAATTTCAAGCTCTTCTCTGGCTCCTGAGGGTTTGTGTAGAGCTCTTGTATTTCTTTCTTCCACCACGCAGCTGTGCTATTTCTCAGGAAATCAGGAAAAGCAACGTGGGCCCTGGACCACTGTAAGAGTAACACACACGCTCAGGGTGGGGCCCCAGCCTCCCTGGGAGGGAGAATCCGAGGACCAGGAAGGAGAGAGGAACAGGTATGTGTGTCTGTCCAGTTCAGTTTCGGAAGTAACCCGAGGTCTGCTGTAACACGGAGTTTAGTGGACACAGAGACTGGGGAAGGCTGATTTCATTATTTTCTTGGAAGAAGGTTAAATAGCTTTAAAGTCCCTTTTAAACATAGGATTTCCTGTAAGACTAGACATTAAATCATAGTAACTGGAAATTAACAATCAATGTCGAAACAGTTGAACTTTAGAAATACAAATGCTTTTTCTAGACTGGCTAAATGAACTGAAGGAGAATCCCTCATCCAGGCAAGAGTGAGCTGCAGAGAGTAGGGGTGCTGATGCCAGGCTGGTGTGGTAGCAAAGGTGAGTTTAAGGCCAGTACTGCTTTCAACTGGCTTGTATTTTCTTTTGTATGTAGATAATTCATTAAAATCCAGTACTTTCATAAAGAATGTCCCTCTAGTGAAAACATTCTAGACTTTTTCATTCTTTTCCAAGCAATGCTGGATTCAAATCAATTGCAATGCATTAAATGGCATATGTATGAGTGGGTTCCATCAGTAAGTTCCTTCTATACATTTTATTTTAGCTGTTTGTTGAGTTTTTCATAGGAGGTACTTTTTCTGCCAAGAAATTACCAGCAAACAAGGACACTCAAGTTAGAGCTGCTTAGTAAAGCTAAGACACTTATCCATTAGGATAAAACAGATACAACTCAACTCGCTTAGAGGAAGGTAGACAAAAATCCATGTACAATTGTATTCTAACCTGAGCTTCATTGTCAAGAGATCCATTCACATTTACATTGGGCAGCTCTGGCCAAACCTGGAGAAAAAGAACAAAAAGTTAAAGCTTTAAAAGTCATCACATAGAGATGAGATTTCATGATAGACTCTGAAGATATGTATCTTCATAAAATGCTGGGAGATTTTGTCACATATTAAATTATAAAGGCTGAATATACGAAATTATTTTAAGTGAAAGTAAGTTATGTTGAGGTCTCTTTATTCATTCTGTACATTTTTAAACTTTCATTTTTGAAATTAACATTAGCTAAATTTGTTTTAAACATATCTTTTTAAAATTACTTTCAACTGTCTGGTCTACCTGTCACAAACCTATAGTAAAATTCCCTATAAAGGGGCTTGCGCTGTGGCGCAGCAGGTTAAAGCCCTGGCCTGAAGCACTGGCATCCCATGTAGGTGCCTCTTCTAGTCCCGGCTGCTCTACTTCCGATCCAGCTCTCTGCTGTGGCCTGGGAAAGTAGCAGAAGATGCCCCAAGTCCTTGGGCCCCTGCACCTACATGGGAGACCCAGAAGAAGCTCCTGGCTCCTGGGTTTGGATTGGCGCAGCTCCGGCCATTGCGGCCATCTGGGAAGTGAACCAACAGATTGAAGCCCTCTGTCTCTGTCTCTACTTCTCTCTGTAACTCTGTTTTTCAAATAAATAAAATAAATATTTTTAAAAATCCCCTTTATAGCTAAATGTGAAGGATTACTCTAAATAAGATTGATTTCCATCAATTGCCCATGAACTTAGCCAAAATACTATGACTTATTGGAGACCCCAAGAATATATAGTGTTACAAAGCTATACTGTCATACTATCTAGCAAGTCCATCTATAATTACAGGAAATTAACTATGTACACTAATTAACTAATACAATTAGCAAACCTTTATTGAACACTGACTATATGCTCTTCCAGTATTTTTATCTGCTGAGATTTAGGTAATCAGTTGTGCTTGTTTTCTAAGAGTTCATAGATGGTTATATACATAAGTGCTGAACTGTATGTCATAATCTCTTAGGGAAATGAAACAGAAAAGGGAAAAATAGGAGGAGCTACGATAGCTGCTGAATGCTTCATAACAGGTATGATTTAAGCTGGTCTTCAAGTATAGATATTATCTGAGTAAGCCGAAAAGGCAACATTGAAAGTGAGCATGGCGTATACCCAGAACAATAGTAAGTAGCATAGCATAATAAAGAACAGAGTTTGAATTAGGTTTGAGTCAGGTTCAAGAGCTACTATTACCTAGAGTTAGGAGGTCCCCCCAAAATGTTATTGTATCACACATATGAAATCAGCACTTTGACCACAGAAAAGGGTTTAAAAAGACAAGAGAAATGGGGGACTCTACACGACGTAGTGATTTATTTAGATGCAGAAGCTAATTAATCATCCCAAGTCGAGGATGAATGTGCTTTGAGTGTGGGTGGCTGGAAGACGTAGATTTCAAAATCCCTCCCAGAGGGACTCTTAATGTTTGTTAAGTGGAATCTGTAAGGGATGACGGTATTTGAATATTCCCAGGCAATAAGAGCACTCAAAAATAGCCTGGGAGATTAGACCCATTACCTTGGCTTTGTTATTGTTTGTTGAGCTACTTGGTATCAGGCAGATTGTCTTCAATCATAGTTTATTAATTGCCCAACATATTTTCCAAGGTTTTATTAAGAGACTGTTTTAGTCAATACAAGGTAATGTTAATTAAATATAGGCGCCACCCCCCAAGCCATACCTTTCCCCAGACAATGTCACTCGTGTCAGGCCATGTGATAAACACATCATTTTCTTGTCCTCTAGTGAACGTGAGGTACTGTGTCTCATTACCAGAAATGGCTGGGTCCTGTGGTGAAAGGACATCAAACCACCAGTGTGAGAAAAACATCTACAAGGAAGTTCCTCCCCCAAAATTAATGAATCCTGGTGTCACAAATGACGAATCGCAGTACCAGTAAAATAAAATTCAAAAGCCATGGATAACTTATCTTATGTCTACTGGGTGTGCCACCCTAAGGAATTGAAACAGGTGGGTGCCACAGTTACCCAAAATATGATGTGCAACCATTATGAAGCACCATCTCTTTGAAAGGTATCTGTGTCAACAAATAGAGTCTTTATATTTTACAGAAAGTAACCAACCAAAGACAGAACCAATGAAAGAAAATGAAAATCCTACAGAAATTGAAATATGACACAGCATGAGTGATTTTGTCAATGACATAAAAATCTATGTTGACAGTGAGTTGAAAGATAAAAGAATATATTGGCGTTACTCCATAAAAATCATGGAAGAAAAAAAGGGTACTGATATTTGGAAACAACTCCTGGAGATAAACCAGGTTAATAAGACATTACCCTCAAGCACATTTAAAAAATGTATTCCATTGTCAGAATGCAGTAGCACTTTCCTTTAGAAAGTGAGACTTTACTATATTCTGTGACCTAACTTGTCCAGCCAAATCAATATTTCTTCTTCAGTGTGTCTTTTACCTGCTCCAATTAGTCTGTGTGATACAAAAGTATTTACGAAACATCAAAGTTTTAATTCATAGGTAAGTCTGTCTAGGGACAACATTTTTTGAAATCCATGCACAGATTTTTCATTTTTCATGAACTTTTTGGATACCTTGCAGAGTATGCAGTTTCACAATTTTGAATTGCCACCAAGTTTTTTTAAATGTTAGCTGTCTTTCACTAGATTAAAAAAAATTTACATTCCTGAGAAAAAGAACATTGTATTCACTAATTTAGGATATACATACACACACATAACTTTTAGAACAGTGATTTTTCAAATAGCCAGTTCTATCCAAATATTTGAATAAATGAATCAATGAAAAAGAAGTCAGCAAGTAATACTAATTTTGGAAGGTAGAGGGAGAATCATTTGCAGGTAACTGCTTCTGTATTTACCAAGATCAATCTTCCAATGTAAAATAATAAACTAGTATTCTAAATATTAACTCAATTCTTTATGAGTTTAAGTAAGGAGAGATAAGTTCCTTGATGGTAACCATGGCTGAGTGATGACCTACATAAGGGGTTTGTAATGCCCGAAGGCAAACAGACAGCACAGCTCTTCCTTCTGAGAAAGAACTAAGTGAGAAGCTCTCTGTTGGTGGTGTTATATTCACTGTCCTAAGGGAAGAGTAGGAAAAAGTTATGGATTCCGGCAGCTGGTGCTGTGGCACACAGGTTAAGCTGTCATCTGCAATGCCCACGTCGTATATGAGCACCTGTTCAAGTCCTGGCTGCTCCACTCCGTATCCAGCTCCCTACTAATGCTCCTGGGAAAGCAATGGAAGATGACCCAAGTGCGTGGTCCCCTGCTACACACAAGGGAGATCTGGAATGGAATTCTAGGCTCCTAACTTCAGCCCAGCCCAGTCCTGACCTTTGGCCACCATTTGGGTAGAGAACCAATGGATGTGAGATCTCTGTCTCTCAGTCTCTCTCTGTAACTTCACCCTTCAAACAAATAAACCTTTTTTTTAAAGTTACCTTCAAGTGACACAAGTTACAAAATTAAATATTATAAATTATATATTTATTATATATTTATATATAAATTATATATTATAAATTATATATATTATAAATTATAAATTATATATAATTACATATATAAATTATATATATTATAAATTGTCATATTTTAAAAACTACTTATAGTTATATTCCTTTATTCACTTCTTGAAACCTTATAGAAAAGTACAGGTTTACAGGTTGCAGAATATGTGCAAAGAGGTCTCCTTCATCCAGTTTCCCTCAATGGTACTATTTTTGAACCATGACTATAGAACTGGAATCTAATCCACCTCGATACCCACCAGAGTAAGTATGAATCTCATGCCATCTTCCTTCATTTGCTCCATCAGCAGACTCAGGTTTTGAAAGCTGGGGCTGAGGGTGAAGTCCAGTTTCCGGTCCATGTAATCCATGTCTACATGTTGGACGTCCTGAGGGGAGAAACAAGCAAGATATCTGGGATCCTGCTCTGTCAGGACCGGGTCCTGGGCCCCCTTAACCTCTCACCTTATTACCTCTCCACACTGGATTTTCAATTGTGCTCACTGGGTTTTCTTCCTGATTCCTGCCTGCGGCTCATCTGCCCCACGCTTTCTCCCTCTGCTCCACCAGCTGGAACTCTCTCCTGCTTCCTTCCCTCAATTCATTCCCACTCTTCAAATCTCAAATGCCAGGGACCTAGCAAAGTGCTAATGGAAACATGCAAGGGCATTTCTAAGAGATGTCTCTTAGAAACACAAAACACTTGTATGCGTTTGTTTTTCCTATAGTAATCTTACTGAATTTAATCATATTTAGAAGTTCATTATTTTATAGCTTTCCAGAATATATATCACATATATATGGAATATATACATATAGCTTCCAGAATATATGCATATATATATAATAATGCATGATGTATAAAAATCACATAAAACATATTTTGGAATATATATATTTTGGAAAACTATAAAATAATATTCGATTATAAAATTTTCTATTATAGCTTTACAGAATATATATTTATCCTAGAATGTATATATATATATATATATTCTAGAGAGTTATAAGATAATGTGTAATATATAAAATTACAGACATGTAAAGCAACCCAGCTTACTACACATGAAGCTCACCCAGTTTGTGATTGTGGATCTGTAGCTAAAGTGGTTTAAGACTTAGAAAAAGAAAGATTCTTCCTTTTAGACAAAGGTGATAATCTCCTGACATGACCTTAAGACTGAATAACCATTATTTGGAGAAACAGAGACTTGTGCATAAGGCAAAACTTAGAAGAAAATGAACCAACATATTATTAGCATTGATTGTGTTGGCAAAGTAATCTATGGATTTTTTTCAGTTTGAAATTTTCTGATATTTTCTAATTTCTGTATAATAAGTACACAGAGTAAGACTGTATATCTTGAGAAAAAAAGTTATCCCTGCATACATATGTCAAACTATGCTTGACAAGAGCATCGTAGCACTTGATTTTATTCTCATCTACAGATCACTAGTCACCCTCCACCACCTCAGGAGGGGAATTCAAAGTGGAGAAAGGGAATGAGTGATGCAAGTCTGGTAACTGTAAGACAGAGACCAAGCTGCTTGTGGAATTCTGCTTGTTGACAGTAACTGACCATATTTCTTGAGGCTTTTCTGGGTGCTATATTGTCACTGTAGGATTTGAAGAAGTGTGTATGTGTTTTAGAAAGTGAATGTTTAGATTCATCCATTTGCTTTCATTGTCACCTCACATCCATCTCTCCAAAATCTCCCTTACGAGTCCCCAGAGTGATGGCTAACGCCCAGCCACGGCTACTGCATCCCTGCCAAGAGGCAGTGAACATCAATATCCTCCAATCACATCCCTTGCTGCTGAAAGACCTATGCAACTCTCAGCTTTGAGTCGGATTTGAAAGGTAGCAGGAAACAAGAAGCAATGTATTCCATACAACACTGGTTCCATAGCTACATTTTGTTCCTTCTGAGTAGCCACAGCAGTAGTGTCTCTATGAAGCTGTTATATACAATTAGCTATACATTCGCATAACTAATGAAGCCGCAGGCTGAGTGAGGGTGTCATACATAAGGAATTTGGGCTGCCACCATTGCATCATACAAACTGGCGATTTCAGCAACATTCTGGTATCCGTAGCGACTCAGCTGGAATCCCAAGGCCCAGTATGGAGTCATTGCTGGCCGACCGATCAACTAGAATAAAAAGAAAAATGGATCCAGGAAGATTTCTTAAGTAAGGAAAGGTATCTGGCTTATACTTGAAGCAACTTGAGTATTTCTATTGAGTACTACCTGATGCAAGATGCTCAGCTCAAGAGAAACAAGTCAAATAAATGCAGAACAACCGTGGAGACGGGGAATGAATTAAAAAAAAAAAAATGTAGTTGAAGCTTCCTGATAGTCTACAGCCTCTGCTAGAAAAACCGGGGACTGGATGATTATTACTGATGAGAGATTCTTGCGCTATTTAGCAAATAATCCAGAGACACGTAGGATGCTAACATGCAAGGATGGCCCTATAACCCTAAAATCTGACTTTTAGGAAAGATAACAATGATAACCCAAGAATAATAATAATAATAAAAACTTGGCTTATCTCACTGCTAAGAAAATAACAATAATACCAAATAAAAATCAGTGCACAGAATCACTTCCAACCTCAGTGTATTGCTGAGTTACAAGTTCAGGGGTTGGCCCTAAAACGATATAGAAGTCCAAAGTCCCTCCTGTGGTGCGGTACGTCAGGGCAGGAGTGGGCTGCAGTGTTATATCTGTAACAAAATTTTAAAAATAAAATACATGAGGAGCATTCCTGGAGCTGTCAATCACCCAGATGGGGGAACCTGCCCTAAAATTCGCTGGTTTCACTCTTGTTCTTTAATGCCCACCTCCTTTAGAAAGTCTTGCCTCGGCCAGTGGAATCAGAGACGGATTTACAGGCACCCCAAACATCACTTTGTGAAATGAGCCAAAATGTCAGTAAAATAAGGTTACACAAGGGTAGGGGCCGTGTTTCATCACAATTCTATACCTAACACCTGGTTTAGAATTTTCAGTAAATCCGGATTAAATGCACGAAGGAATGGAAGCTCCATGAATTTGTCCCATTTTCCTTGCCCTTAAGATTGTCTATTACTGCTGACGTCCTGGGTCCCACAGAGCATTCACAGGCATTTGTGAAGGTGCAGGAGAATGCGCCTAGTCTCACCCATGGCGTTGCTGTTCAGCAGGAGCACTCCGTGGGCACTGCCATCCTCCTCCAGGCCCATGTAGTAGGGGTGCACACCATAGGAATTCTTCTTGTACTGGTAGTAAAAATCATAAGGGCAATAAAAATGAGAAAATTGTTTCCACATAATAACCCAACAGTAATCTTGTCCCCAGTGTTAAAGATTCAGCTCAATATCACGTTTTCTTGACTCTCCCTCTCACCCAAAATAAAAGCTGTGTCCTCCTCCTCCAAGCCTCTTTACTTCCTAATACACCATTCTTTCATATCACTGATTGCGCCATGCCACCATTATTTCTGCACTGATCTGTCTTTCTAGCCTATAAGCCTCTGGAGAACACAGGGAGTGTCTTATGAAACATGTACCTAAGCACTTAGCAACTGGATGACACATAAGATATGTTAAATAAAGGTTTGTGAAATCAATAAAATGCATAGTTCACAGGGCAAAATACATGCCTTTAAAGGATAAAGGAGCATGACCTGTTGTGGCCTCTGTGGCTGAGAGCAGGGTTCATCTAAACAAGGAAAAACCGAGGAATCGGGTTCCAGAAGAATTAAAATACGTTTACTAACTTTACTCCTCCGTACTCACCGCCGGGGGCTCATCGCGAGCAAACATTCCCCACGTATGCCAGCTCATGTTTCTTCTGAAAGCTGTGTGCTCGGTCTCCCCAAAGCCATAGATGTACTGTGAGGGGAGGCGAGTGGAAATGGAGAGGAACTGGTCGTTGAAGGTGAAGCCGGGCAGCTGAGAGTCCCAACTGCAACACAAAGGCAGAACTCCATGCTGAGCTGTAGAACACAGGCCAGAGCAAACGTGCAACCCCTAAATTGATTCAGAAACCTCGTGAACTACGGAAAATCTGGACCTAGCTTCAAATGTTGTAAAGTGATTCAGGTCTTAAACGTGGCCATGACTCAGCACCAGCGTTGTGTGTTTGCATTTTTATTCTGTGGTTTGTGAGACTCAGAGCTCCTCTTCTAGGTCATGGCCTCCTTGAGGACAAGAACTATGTCCCATTCAGCTCTTTATCTCCGGCTCTCAGTGCTCAGCATAGCAGCCTGAATAAATGTATGTATAGGTGAGAGAGGTCTAAAAAACGTTTCCAGTAGAAAAGTGTGCATTTTTTAGGACAACCTCTCTGGGTTTGCCAAAGCACTTTTTAGTGAAGGCAGTGACGCAGAGAAAATCAGACACCGTGAAAAAGAGCAGCAGCTGGACCCAGAAAAACGCACATTTGACTGTCTCCACTGGGGTGGGCATCTCAGACCTTCAGCCCCAGGATGAAGGGCGAGAGATGACAACGCTTTCCAAGCTTAACACGGTGAAAAGTCTTTCCGTCTAAAGTGTCCACAGAAGCCAACATCTTGAGAAGTCATTTCTCTTCTTGCTGACTTCTGCCTCTCTTTGTGGTCATGCAGTTACTATTTGCTAATGAGGCCCAATGAAGAACTGCTTTGTACCTTAGGTTATCTGGTGTGTTATAACATCATTTTCTGTTCTCCCTAACAAGAACAACAAACACACATGTGTTTTTCTTTCTCTGAAATCAAACAATATTTGATTAGTTTTTCAAAGAGTCAATTATTCTTGAGTTAATGACTCATAGAAAAATAAATTCCCTATTGATGAAGGGGGAAATTGATATACTCGAGCAAACACACACATAATTACATAGTCTCAGATTAATACTGCAGGTGAGCTAATTAGAACCACTATAATTAAATCTAGAACCACTTAAATGGCCGTCAAATAAAAAGTGCTTACATTACAGTGCTGGATCTTTTGCGTCGAATCTGAATTCCAAAAGGATTGGTCTGAATCGTGACATCATACAGGCGGTTTTCAGGGGAGCCAACCGGCGAGGGAGGGGTATTTAGGGGTACTGGTACTTCGTATCTTTTATTAGTGGGATCGTAGATCTGGCAAGGAGAGAGAAGAAAACTTTCTTTAACAGAAAACTTTTATTTAATAAATATAAATTTCCAAAGTACAACTTTTGGATTATAGCAGTTCTTCCCCCCATAACCACTCTCCCATCTGCAAACCATCCCATCTCCTACTCCCTCTCCCATCCCATTGAAAGAAGAAAACTTTACGATGGAGACTCTGACCTAAAACCTCTCAAGTGTTTTGGTCCATTTGAACCACAGCAAGATGCATCAAATATCGCTAAATAGATGTGAGGTCTACCTGCCCATTCTGCCTGATACAGATCCTGACCTTGAATAATGTCTTAGTAACACCCATTCAGAGCCAGGGGAAACCTTCCAGTAAAGAACATGTGCTCCAAATGTGTAGAATCTTGAGGACGGAGTGTATGTGTGATTTTATGTGTGTGTTAAAGTGTGTGGTATGTGAGCATGCAACTGAATAAAATCATGCATGTGAACACATGTGTGTCAGGAATCAGAGAACTGGGTTTTCACGGGGACTCTGAGATTGTCTTACTATTTAAGCTTCTATAAACGTCACAGCCTTTCCATCTAGAGGTTCCTGTTTGGTATCCACCAGCTGTTCTGAGTTACCTGACAGGATTGGTACGGGGAATAATGCAAAGGGTGAGAAGCGTTGTGCAAAGACACAGGCGTCATCACTGTGACCCATCACCCTCTCCCCCACACTATTATTAGCACATCGATGCTTGGGTAAAGTTTCTCAAATTGTTATTTCTCAGACAAAAGGCAACATCCATAAGTAAATTTTGACTTCAATATTAACTATTTTAGAGTTCCGGCAAGATGGCGGAATAGGAAGGGAGCACACTGATAGTCTGGGGAGAGATAGTTTAATAAAAGTGGAGATACTGCAGGTTCAAGGAAGAGTAGGGGAGGAAACAGCAGAAGAAACTCTTCCGGAACACGTGACTCACAGCGGACCTGCGTGGAGAGCATGGGAGCCCACAGTTCGGGACACCAGCGGCAGACTCAACACACCAGCGCTGGAACGTGAGGTGAGCCGAACCTCAATAGCCCGAGACACCGGCAGGCAAGCAGAGAGAGGAGACTAGAGGGAACGACCCCCAGGGCGGGGGGGACTTCACCAAGCTAACTGGAAGAGAGAGAGAGGGAAAAAAAAAAAGGTGACTGGTGTGGACACGGGTTTCTCTCTCTCCGCTCACCTCTCAAGGGCGAGCAAGACAAAGAGCAGGCACCATCTTGGACATACGTCATAAGCAGAGCGACCTCAGGTCTGCACCAGCCCTGAGCCTAGCAGCAAAACCTGACTCTGGGCGGGGCGAATTAACAGGAGATTAGGATATTTGTGGTGCTACTGAACTGAGACTGTGAAAAAAGAGACGGTGGGGGAGAGAATTCACGGAATTCACGTGAGCACTCTCCAGAGACGCTAAAATTCCGTAACTTTGGCAACCCAGTGGGAGGCTGAAGGAGAATTTGAGCCCACTCTGAGGGCCAAACAGATTCCCTGTGTGGTCCTTGGGAAAGAGCTTCTGATCTCTGGCTCCTGTGGGTATATCATTTGCCTGCTAACTACCTCCAACTTCGTTCAGCTGTGCGGAATTACTTCCCTTTTGAATCAAAAAAAAAAAAAAGAAAGAGAGAGAGAGAGATTTACCACGCCTAACCTGGGAGTGTCACCTTTGGCACACCAAACAGAGCTCGCAGGCCACACCCATCTCAAGCCCTAAGGCTCCATCAAAAACAGATAGTCCACTTAATCTAAAGTCATAGTATAACAAGAAAAAGCACCACAGTGAAGAAACCAAATATCTCCAATATGCCAAATAACAAACGCAAAAACCAAGGTAATAAAAACAAGGAAGTCACCATGAAGCCCTCAAATGAAAAAGACACCCCAATTCAAGATTATGAAGATGATGAGATAGAAGAAATGCAAGAAGCAGATCTCAAAAAATTGATAAGAACATTAAGAAGTTCTCAAAAACAAATTCTGGAACTACACAAATCCTTAATGGACAAGACAGAAAATCTCTCTCGTGAAAATGAAATATTAAGGAGGAATCAAAATGAAACGAAACAACTAGTACAACAGGAAACTGTGATAGTGACTGAAGTGAAGAATTCAATAGATCAAATGAAAAACACAATAGAGAGCCTTACAAACAGAATGGGTGAAGCAGAAGAGAGAATATCGGACTTAGAAGACAGAGAACAGGAAAGGATACAGTCAGACCAAAGAAAAGAAGAGGAAATTAGGAATCTAAAACATATTGTCGGGAATCTTCAGGATACTATTAAAAAACCCAACATTCGGGTTCTAGGAGTTCCTGAAGGCATGGAGAGGGAGAAAGGATTAGAAGGCCTTTTTAGTGAGATATTAGCAGAAAATTTCCCAGGTTTGGAGAAGGACAGAGAAATCCTAGTACAGGAAGCTCACAGAACCCCTAATAAACACGACCAAAAGAGATCCTCACCACGACACGTTGTAATTAAACTCTCCACAGTGAAACATAAAGAAAAGATCCTCAAATGTGCAAGAGAGAAACGTCAGATTACTCTCAGAGGATCTCCAATCAGACTCACAGCTGACTTCTCATCAGAAACTCTAAAAGCTAGGAGGGAATGGCAAGATATAGTCCAGGTACTAAGAGAGAAAAACTGCCAGCCCAGAATATTATATCCTGCAAAGCTATCATTTGTGAATGAAGGTGAAATAAAGACTTTTCATTGCAAACAGAAATTGAAAGAATTTGTTGCCACTCGTCCAGCCCTGCAAAAGATGCTTAAAGATGTGTTACACACAGAAACACAGAAACACGGTCATCAATATGAAAGAAGGTAAAGGAAGGAAACCAAGGAAGGAAACCTCACAGCAAAAGACCACAGGGAATTCAAAGCATATATTAGAACTTATCTTTGGCAAATGGCAGGGCAAAGTTACCACTTATGATTAGTCACTTTGAACGTGAATGGCCTGAACTGTCCAGTTAAAAGACACCGATTGGCTGATTGGGTTAAGGAACAAAACCCATCTATTTGCTGCTTACAAGAAACACATCTTTCCAACAAAGATCCATACAGACTGAAAGTGAAAGGCTGGAAAAAGATATACCATGCCAACAGAAATGAAAAAAGAGCGGGCGTAGCCATCTTAATATCGGACAACATAAACTTTACCACAAAAACTGTTAAGAGAGACAAAGAGGGACACTATATCATGATTAAGGGATCAATTCAACAGGAAGATATAACAATTATCAATGTATATGCACCTAATTACAGGGCACCAGTTTATCTAAAAGATTTATTAACGGACTTAAAGGGAGACTTAGACCCCAATACAGTAGTACTGGGGGACTTCAATACTCCACTCTCAGAAATAGACAGATCATCCAGAAAGAAGATCAACAAGGATACAGTAGATTTAAATGACACTATAGCCCAAATGGATCTAACAGATATATACAGAACTTTCAATCCTACAGCTAAAGATTTTACATTCTTCTCAGCAGTACATGGAACCTTCTATAGGATTGACCACATACTAGGCCATAAAGCAAGTCTCAGCAAATTCAAAAGAATTAGAATCATACCATGCAGCTTCTCAGACCATAAAGGAATGAAGTTGGAAATTAGCAACTCAGGAATCCCTAGAGCATACGCAAACACATGGAGATTGAACAACATGCTCCTGAATGAACAATGGGTCATAGAAGAAATCAAAAGAGAAATCAAAAACTTTCTGGAAGTAAATGAGGATAACAGCACAACATACCAAAACTTATGGGACGCAGCAAAAGCAGTGTTAAGAGGAAAGTTTATATCAATAGGTGCCTACATCAAGAAATTGGAAAGGCACCAAATAGATGAGCTTTCAATTCACCTCAAGGATCTAGAAAACCTACAGCAAACTAGACCCAAATCTAGTAGGAGAAGAGAAATAATTAAAATCAGAGAAGAAATCAACAGGATTGAATCAAGAAAAACATTACAAAAAATCAGCCAAACGAAGAGCTGGTTTTTTGAAAAAATAAACAAAATTGACACCCCATTGGCCCAACTAACTAAAAAAAGAAGAGAAAAGACCCAAATCAATAAAATCAGAGATGAAAAAGGAAATGTAACAACAGACACCACAGAAATAAAAAGAATCATCAGAAATTACTACAAGGACTTGTATGCCAGCAAACAGGGAAACCTATCAGAAATGGATAGATTCCTGGACACATGCAACCTGCCTAAATTGAACCAGGAAGACATCAAAAACCTAAACAGACCCATAACTGAGACAGAAATTGAAACAGTAATAAAGGCCCTCCCAACAAAGAAAAGCCCAGGACCAGATGGATTCACTGCTGAATTCTACCAGACGTTTAAAGAAGAACTGACTCCAATTCTTCTCAAACTATTCAGAACAATCGAAGAAGAGGGAGTCCTCCCAAATTCTTTCTATGAAGCCAGCATCACCTTAATTCCTAAGCCAAAGAAAGATGCAGCACTGAAAGAGAATTACAGACCAATATCCCTGATGAACATAGATGCAAAAATCCTCAATAAAATTCTCGCCAATAGAATGCAGCAACACATCAGAAAGATCATTCACGTAGACCAAGTGGGATTTATCCCTGGTATGCAGGGATGGTTTAATGTGCGCAAGACAATCAATGTGATACACCACATTAACAGACTGCAGAAGAAAAACCATATGATTATCTCAATAGATGCCGAGAAAGCATTTGATAAAATACAACACCCGTTCATGATGAAAACTCTAAGCAAACTGGGTTTGGAAGGAACATTCCTCAATACAATCAAAGCAATCTATGAAAAACCCACAGCCAACATCCTATTGAATGGGGAAAAGTTGGAAGCATTTCCACTGAGATCTGGTACCAGACAGGGATGCCCACTCTCACCACTGCTATTCAATATAGTTCTGGAGGTTCTAGCCAGAGCTATTAGGCAAGAAAAAGAAATTAAAGGGATACAAATTAGGAAGGAAGAACTCAAACTATCCCTCTTTGCAGATGACATGATTCTTTATTTAGGGGACCCAAAGAACTCTACTAAGAGACTATTGGAACTCATAGAAGAGTTTGGCAAAGTAGCAGGGTATAAAATCAATGCACAAAAATCAACAGCCTTTGTATACACAGACAATGCCATGGCTGAGGAAGAACTGCTAAGATCAATCCCATTCACAATAGCTACAAAAACAATCAAATACCTTGGAATAAACTTAACCAAGGACGTTAAAGATCTCTATGATGAGAATTACAAAACCTTAAAGAAAGAAATAGAAGAGGATACCAAGAAATGGAAAAATCTTCCATGCTCATGGATTGGAAGAATCAACATCATCAAAATGTCCATTCTCCCAAAAGCAATTTATAAATTCAATGCAATACCAATCAAGATACCGAAGACCTTCTTCTCAGATCTGGAAAAATGGTGCTGAAATTCATATGGAGGCACAAGAGACCTCGAATAGCTAAAGCAATCTTGTACAACAAAAACAAAGCCGGAGGCATCACAATACCAGATTTCAGGACATACTACAGGGCAGTTGTAATCAAAACAGCATGGTACTGGTACAGAAACAGATGGATAGACCAATGGAACAGAATTGAAATACCAGAAATCAACCCAAACATCTACAGCCTATATTTGATCAAGGATCTAAAACTAATTCCTGGAGCAAGGACAGTCTATTCAATAAATGGTGCTGGGAAAATTGGATTTCCACGTGCAGAATCATGAAGCAAGACCCCTACCTTACACCTTACACAAAAATCCACTCAACATGGATTAAAGACCTAAATCTACAACCTGACACCATCAAGTTACTAGAGAACATTGGAGAAACCCTTCAAGATATTGGCACAGGCAAAGAGTTTCTGGAAAACACCCGGGAGGCACAGGCAGTCAAAGCCAAAATCAACTATTGGGATTGCATCAAATTGAGAAGTTTCTGTACTGCAAAAGAAACAGTCAGGAGAGTGAAGAGACAACCGACAGAATGGGAAAAAATATTTGCAAACTATGCAACAGATAAAGGGTTAAGAACCAGAATCTACAAAGAGATCAAGAAACTCCACAAAAACAAAACCAACAACCCACTTAAGAGATGGGCCAAGGACCTCAATAGACATTTTTCAAAAGAGGAAATCCAAATGGCCAACAGGCACAGGAAAAAATGTTCAAGGTCATTGGCAATCAGGGAAATGCAAATCAAAACCACAATGAGGTTTCACCTCACCCCGGTTAGAATGGCTCACATGCAGAAATCTACCAACAACAGATGCTGGCGAGGATGTGGGGAAAAAGGGACATTAACCCACTGTTGGTGGGAATGCAAACTGGTCAAGCCACTATGGAAGTCAGTCTGGAGATTCCTCAGAAACCTGAAGATAACCCTACCATTCGACCCAGTCATCCCACTCCTTGGAATTTACCCAAAGGAATTTAAATTGGCAAACAAAAAAGAGGTCTGCACCCTAATGTTTATTGCAGCTCAATTCACAATAGCTAAGACCTGGAACCAACCTAAATGCCCATCAACGATAGACTGGATAAAGAAATTATGGGATATGTACTCTTTAGAATACTATACTGCAGTAAGAAACAACGAAATCCAGTCATTTGCAACAAAATGGAGGAATCTGGAACACATCATGCTGAGTGAAATAAGCCAGTCCCAAAGGGACAAATACCATATGTTCTCCCTGATCGGTGACGACTGACTGAACACCAAGAGGGAAACCTGTTGGAGTGAGGTGGACACTATGGGAAACGGTGGCTTGATCAGCATAGCCCTGACTGTTAATGAACAACTTAATACATTATCCCTCTTAGTAGTTTTTTTTATCTGTTCTACTTAATATGACTGGTTTAGTTCTGTAATTGATGCACAGTTATTCTTAAGTGTTAAAAATTAACTGAAATGTGATCCCTGTTGAACATGGGAGTGGGAATGGGAGAGGGAAGAGATGTATAATTTGGGACATGCTCAGGCTGACTTGCCCCAAGTGATGGAGTTGGAAGCATACCAGGGGATTCCAATTCAATCCCATCGAGGTGGCATGTACCAATGCCATCTCACTGTTCCAGGTGATCAATTTCAGTTCACAGTTGGTCATGGTGGAGGGACTGGGAGTCAAAGGGAGCACATAGACAAGTCTAGTACCTGCTAACGCTAACCGATGGAGTAAATAAAGGGGAGAGTGATCCAACATGGGAAGTGAGATACTCAGCAGACTCATAGAATGGCGGATGTCCTAAATAGCACTCTGGCCTCAGAATCAGCCCTAAAGGCACTCGGATCTGGCTGAAAAGCCCATGAAAGTATTTCAGGCATGGAAAGCCAAGACACTCTGGCAAAAGATCTCTGTGAGTGAGATCCCAGTGGAAAGAACAGGTCTTCAAAGAAGGAGGTATCTTTCTCTGAAGGGAGGAGAGCCTCCACTTTGACTATGACCTTGTCTAAACAAGATAAGAGTCGGAGAACTCAGAGGGCTTCCATAGCCTTGGAAACTCATGACTGGAGCATAGGGAGATTACTGATGCCATAGACAGGAGTGTCAATTGGTAAAGTCAACAACAGGAGTCACTGTGCACTTACTCCTCATGTAGGATCTCTATCCTTAATGTGCTGTACATTGAGATTTAATGCTATAATGAGTACTCAAACAATATATTTCACTTTGTGTTTCTATGGGGGTGCAAACTGTTGAAATCCTTACTTAATGCATACTAAACTGATCCTCTGTAAAAAAAAAAAAAAAAAAAGAAAAAGAAATTATCAATTCCCAACTTGACTCTCACTGGGATTAAACATGACAATAGGTCTGCTCTGATTTCATCATCATTTAAAAAAAAATCATCTATTATTTTTCACTTTATGTTTCTGTGTGGGAGCAAACTGTTGAAATCCTTACTTAATGTATACTAAGCTGATCTTCTGTATATTAAGATAATTGAAAATGAATCTTGATGTGAATGGAAGGGGAGAGGGAGTGGGAAAGGGGAGGGTTGTGGGTAGGAAGGACGGTATGGGGGGGAAGCCATTGTAATCCATAAGTCGTACTTTGGAAATTTATATTCATTAAATAAAAGTTTAAAAAAAATTAACTATTTTAATACATTCATTAAATATGGGGCCAACATTGTGGCATAGTGGGTTAAGCTGCTGCTTGGATACCTGTGTCCCATATCAGAGTGCCAGTTTGGGTCCCTGTTACTCCACTTCTGATCCAGTTCTCTACTAGTGTGCCTGGGAAGCAGCAGACAATGGTTCAAGTACTTAAGTTCCTGTCACTCATGTGGGAAACCCAGATGGAGTTCTGGGCTCCTGGCTTTGGCTTAGTCTCACCTCAGCTGTTGTAGTCATTTGGGGAATTACCCGGCAATGGAAGCTTTTTCTGTCTCTCTGTCTCTCTCTCTCTGTCTCTCTGTCTCTCTCTCTCTCTCTCTCATCATTCTGCCTTTAAATAAAAACTTTAAAATAAATACCACTTGGTTTTTTTCAAATATAATTTTGGAAAAACTCCTAGTAGAAAACATGTGTGGCTCACTGAATTTCTAGCAGATGGAGCAGAGCAGTTGGGCTCAAAGTGTAGCCCATGGACTTGCAGCATCAGCAGCACCTGGGGACTTGTCAGAGCTACAGATTCCCAGGCTGGGTCCCACCCAGAGCTATGGAAACGGAAACCCTGAGAGTGAGGTCCAGCAGTGTGGGTTATAAGATCTACAGGTGATTCTGTTGCACGTTAAAGTCTGAGAACCACTGCTAGAGAAATAATTATGGTACTGGAAGTAAGTGAATACCTCTGCTATGTGTTTATAACAAAGCTGACTCATTTTTCTCAGGGAAAAGGGATTGTTCCTTGAGGATTCTGACTTAAAGTGCTATTGTAGAAAATTCACAATCCTGGTGGATCAAGGTCACATCCCCACTCTACTTTCCACTAACTTTCTTACCTTTTCCTCTCCAGGCCTCGGCTTCTGCATTGGTAAAACAAGGGATTTGGAGTAAAAGTCTTGCAAGCTCTCACACCCATCCAGAGCTGCGAGTTAAGACTTCATATGGACAACCAGAATCTGCAACACAGAATTACCTTGACCTGCAGCATGTATTCTGTGTGGTAGGTCACAGTCAGCACGAGGTTGCTGATCTTTGCAGAGAGAGAAGCAGGATCCGCGGTGGTAGCTGCTTCAGGCTGGGGATGCACAGCTCCCAGTGGCAACGGCAGAGCCAGCTCCACCGCTCGAGCCAATTCTGGGGCCTCCAAGAGGGTAAGGTCTGTAGTGATGCCCGTGGACAGGTACTGAACGTTACTGGCGGCGTAGTTAGGGGTGGTGTCATAGAAGCAGGTGGGCACACCAGGAGTAGTTGTGTGCTGGAACAGCAGAAGGGGTTCGTGGTCAGCTCCTGTTAACACGCTTTGAGGCTCCATTTACTGGAGAAGTTGGCTGACACAGACAAGTCTCAGACATCATGCCCATTGCTGTGGGTTGAATTGTGTTAAGCCCTAACCCCTGGTACTTGCCAGTGTGACTGTCTGAAAATAGGGTCTTTGCAGATGATTCATTGTGATGAGCTCATTAAGGCTGGCCCTGATCAATATCCACATTAAGCGGAGAAATTTGAACAGACACGGAGGCACACCAGGGAAAATGCCAGGTGAGCATGGAGGCAGCTCTCAGGGTGATGCATCAACAAGGCAAGAAAGGCCACACGCACGCAGCCAGCAACCACCAGAGATCCATGGAGAATCAAACAGAGTCTGCCTCATGGCTCTTGAAGAACTCAACCCTCCCAACACCTTGAGCTCAGATTGCTAGACTCCAATAGCTGGGAGGGAAAAAATGTCCGTTCTTCTAAGCCATCCAGTTCATGATGCTTTGTTATGGAAGCCATAGCAAAAAAAAAAAAAAAAAAGCACCCATTTTTAAAAACACAGGTACACGCAGACAATTAGTGATGTGGCAGCAGCAGCCTCATCTGGAGACTGCAACCCCCAGGCAGGCTTTGCTCCCACTGTCCTGATCGTTCCGCATGACATCGACGAGCCATCACTTATTTTGCCTCACTTTCACTTGCTCTATTGCTCAAATGGAGAGAAACGGCCTTGCCTCACCCTTCCTGCTTTGGAATTCCCAAGTGAGGAAAAAGAAGGTTTTCAAATATTCAGTGCACAATGCATATCCAATGTATCTACCTTTGTGAAAAATGAGTGATGTGGTTGTGAGATCTGAATAACGTGGTTGGAGTGGCAATGAGAAAAGCAATAATCTTCTGACTCAGTTTCTGGGAGAAATACTGATCCCATATCATGCAGAGTTGGGAAATGTGTGTTGGCAGTGTTGTGATAACCATTCAAGCCACCAATACTTGACAAGTGCTTTCTAGGTGCCAATTACTGGTGGTGCAGTTTCTACAATTTCATGATCAATATGGTAATCCGCTCTCATCATTACCTCCCAAAGACACCCCCGCAACCTGCAATTCTCCTCGGAGACAGCAGGATCCTCAGGGTAGCAGTTGAACTTTTCTAGATCATTGACTGGAAGAGCCCACTCGATGGAGAATTCCTGTCCCAGTACCAGGCCCTGGAGATTAGTGATGGTCACCACCTGCGGAAACAGAGAGGCAACCCCAGTGACAGAGCAGGTGCAGCAGAAGCAGCTGGGTAAAGCCTTTGCCTGTGGTCTGTCAGTCCTTCCTCCTGTCCCACTTTGTCATGGGATATTTGGGAATTGGCTCCCTCCTGACCTTTATCGTCTCTGGGAGTCAACTCAGAAGCAGGAGATGGGAAGAGATTTGATTCTGTTAAGGACACAGACCACCGATGGGGCTCTCACCATTAGGCTTACTGTCCTCTGGGTATCCTGCTTATTCAGTTTAATAGTGGTGGTGGTTAGGCCGGCGCCATGGCTCACTAGGCTAATCCTCTGCCTTGCGGCGCCGGCACACCAGGTTCTAGTCCTGGTTGGGGCACCAGATTCTGTCCCGGTTGCCCCTCTTCCAGGCCAGCTTTTTGCTGTGGCCCGGGAGTGCAGTGGAGGATGGCCCAAGTGCTTGGGCCCTGCACCCACATGGGAGACCAGGAGAAGCACCTGGCTCCTGCCATCGGATCAGCGTGGTGCGCCGGCTGCAGCGCGCCGGCCGTGACGGCCATTGGAGGGTGAACCAACGGCAAAGGAAGGCCTTTCTCTCTGTCTCTCTCTCTATCACTGTCCACTCTGCCTGAAAAAAAAAAATAGCGGTGGTGGCTAGAACGACAGCTCAGCTTTGCTGTGCATGCATGTGCACTAAGTAATCTGATGGCCACTTTACGAGCACTATGTCCAGCAACCCTATCAAGTGATTTCAAGCTGTGAATACCATGGATATCTCCATGTTGTAGAACAGAGGCACAGGGAAGTTAAACACCTTGCCCAAGCCCTCACAGCTAACCTATGGTAAATATAGGACTGGAGCTTCATTTTGCCTAACTCTAGAACCAAGGTATTTCCTTATGCATTGTGCATTGTCACGTTAGCAGGGAGCTGATCTGAGGAATAGTGAATTTCCCAGCACTTGAAATAATCAACTAACAATGTAAAGGAATCACTCAATAATTTCTCCTGATGTTTTATTTTACTCTTATTTTCTGTAGTGGTATAAAAATAGCTTAAAGCATGAAGGGAAAATACCACATGTGTCTTACAGAGGATCTTTAACTTCAACAAGAGGGCAAATGTGTAAATACCCTCCAGACGTAGGCCCAAGTATTGGACTATGCTCACTCTGTCCATCTAGGCTCAGTTATAAAAGAGCTCTCAGCTGGCGCCATGGCTCACTAGGCTAATCCTCTGCCTGCGGCGCCGGCACACCGGCTTCTAGTCCCGGTCGGGATGCCAGATTCTGTCCCGGTTGCCCCTCTTCCAGGCCAGCTCTCTGCTGTGGCCAGGGAGTGCAGTGGAGGATGGCCCCAGTGCTTGGGCCCTGTACCTGCGTGGGAGACCAGGAGAAGCACCTGGCTCCTGCCATCGGATCAGCGCGGTGCGCCGGCCGCGGCAGCCATTGGAGGGTGAACCAACGGCAAAGGAAGGCCTTTCTCTCTGTCTCTCTCTCTCACTGTCCACTCTGCCTGTCAAAAAAAAAAAAAAGAGCTCTCTTCTCTTAGGGTCCCGGCCATCACTAACTTTTTCAAAGTCCTGTCGCAAACCAAGCTGAAGGGTCTGTATTGAGCATATTTCTTCTGCCCCCTCCCCGTAACCTGGGGGATCTCTCCACTTATCCTTGTGACTGCCCAAAGACAAAAGAGAAGGGAAGGCCAAGGTCAGACTCTCTTCCCACCTTTGTTGAAGCACTGTAGGTGACACTTGAAATGGAGGTGACAGCATTATTAAATATGACACTAAAATTAGTTGGCTCCTTGTCCATTCCCAAGATTTTGATATCTGTAAACATGAGGCTGTCAGGGTCCTCGTAATTATTATTTAGAATCTTGGCCTGTAGACGGTTCTGAAAAGAAAAATCGTCTGGTTAGAAAGCAGATGAATCAACCACCCTCATACCACCCAACATTTTCTGAGCTCTAAGGCATTCTTTTCTTGCTCTCATTCTAGAATATTTCCAGAGGGGCTGTTTCTGTGGCACAGTGGGATAAGCTGCCACCACTACTGGCATCCCATATCAGAGTGCCTGTTGGAGCCCGGGTCATCGGCTTCCCATCCAGCGTCACGCTAATGCACCTGGGAAAGCAGAATAAGGTGGTTCAAGTACTTGGGTCCCTGCCACCCCTGTGGGAGATCAGGATGGATTTCCTCACTCTGGTTTCTTTTTTTTTTTTTTTTTTTTAACAGGCAGAGTGGACAGTGAGAGAGAGACAGAGAGAAAGGTCTTCCTTTTTGCTGTTGGTTCACCCCCCAATGGCCGCTGCTGCTGGAGCGTTGTGCTGATCTGAAAGCAGGAGCCAGGTGCTTCTCCTGGTCTCCCATGGGGTGCAGGGCCCAAGCACTTGGGCCATCCTCCATTGCACTCCCGGGCCACAGCAGAGAGCTGGCCTGGAAGAGGGGCAACTGGGACAGAATCTGGCGCCCCGACCGGGACTAGAACCCGGTGTGCCGGCGCCGCTAGGCGGAGGATTAGCCTATTGAGCCATGGCTCTGGCCCTCACTCTGGTTTCAACCTGACCCAGCCCTGGCGCTTCTAGCCACTTGGAACAACCTCTCCCCACCCCTCCTTCTCTCTTTCTCTATAACTCTGCCTTCAAAATATATGTATAAAAGATAAAACTATAAATTTCTTGGGGAAAAATGGAGAAAATATTCAGGATCTATGGATAGACAAAGAGCTCTGACTTGACACCAAGTAGCAGAATCCATAAAAGAAAATATTAATAAATTATACCTATAAAAGATTTTGCCAATAGCAAACAGTCAGATGGTACATAGGCATCTGAAAAGATGGTGAACATCATTAGACATCAGAGAAAGACAGATTAAAGCTCACTGAGTTATAACTACACGCCTGTCAGAATAAGACAAAGCAGGTGACAGCAAATGCTACTGGTGATGCTGACAAACTGGATCACACATGGTGCTGGCACCCTGGAAACAGTGAGGGAGCTTCTTCCAAAACTAATGTACCACCATAAGACCCAGCAACTGTACTCTCGGGCAACTGCCCAGAGGAATAAAAACCTGCGTTCACACCAAAACCTGCACATGAATGCCGTAATTTTCTTTTGTTTGTAATAGTCCATGGCTACAAATGTGTCAACTGATCTTTATCAAGTGAATAATTAAACAGAAGGTAGCACATCTATACCTTGGAACACTATTCAGCAATTAGAAGAAACAAACTATTGTTATATACAGTAAGCTGGGATGAATTTTGAGAGAATTCTGCTGAAAGAAAAAGACCCCAAAGGTTTCATACTGGATGGTTCCATTTGCATAATATTCTTGAGAAGACAAAATCACAGAAATGGAGACCAGATGAACAGTTGTCAAGGGCGAAGACAGGGATGGGGCAGGAAGCAAGTGAGTGGGGCTTGAAAAGGACAAGAGGAGAGATCTTATGTAGATGGAGTTGCTCTCTGTTTTGATACCATCAAAGCCCATATCCTGGTTGTGCAATTTTACCAGTTTCATAAGATGTTACCATTAGGGGGAATTGGGTGAAGAGCACAGGGGACCCCTGGCTATTTCTTACAACTGAACGGACATCTTTAACTAACTCAAAATAAACCGTTTAATTTAGAAAATGGCATGAATTCAAGTGAGAACTGAAGGAGATTTCCACTAAAGAAATCTCTGCTAATCTGCTAATACATGAATGAGACTTCTGCATCTTCCAGACTTTCAAAGCCATCACTTGAAGACTGCGCCCAGAGCCAAATTTTAGGGGCCAGGAGGAAAGCTGTTTTGGAAGAATCTCAAAAAGAGACCCAACCACTCATCACAATGCCCTCATCCTATATACATTTGCATCACTCAAGAATACACCCTTGGAATCCAGAACTCATTATGTAAAGCACAAAGACAATGATGTGTTTTTTCCTCCAGAAACACAAAATAAAATAAAAGCAAATTCTGCATAGAACTCTTATTGATTTCTACAGGCTTTTTTATCTGGTGCAGATTCACTCTTACCATAACTTGAATCTCTTCTCTACCTATTCCACATGACCAAGCATCTATAATACACTAAGAACTTGATTGTAAAAATTAAAAGAAAAATAAGAAAAGGAGGAGGAGTGAGGGTAGGGTGGGAAGCACAGTTGTTCTCTTAAAACTATATATATGGAATACATGAAGTTTATTTCATTTATATAAATAAAAAAGTAAAATAAAATATTTTTAAAAATATCACAGAGAAAATACGCATATGTTTTTAAAAACAGTACTTACAGAGGTAACAGAGAAGTCATACAGAATGTATTTCCTTTCAGTTACAGCATCTGAAAGAGAAAGACCAAGGAGTTACCACAGGAGCAGTGGAGCCATGTTCTCTGCATCTGGAATCCCTATGCCATCTAGTTCTGCTCATCCAAGTTCTGCTCATTTTGTCAACCAAACCCCACACAGAAGTTTCCTGGACCACTTTCTCTGAACTGGCACGTTGTAGTACCACTTTACTGGAATTTAAAACATTTCTACTTGCATTATATTTATCTACACACATTATAATCATATTGATAAACCATAAGCTAATCACAGGAGATATTTGTGTCATTCATCTTCATATCCATTGCATATAATACTCAAAATCAGGTTAATATTAATGTATTATAATTATACGCAGGGCAGGATTTTCATAAAATCACATCAGCTTATATGAAGTATTTAAATAAAAATTTTATAGTAGAATAACACTAAGCATATTAGATTCTTCTGCTTCAATAACAATCAAAGCAGTACTTTAGAAAGTTATTATCCAAATGCAATGCTTGTTATTAACATTCATACAAAAAATGCAATACTACGATGTCTGTTGCTTTGGTGGAGATGCATTTGTAGCCTATTTGAATTTGTGGCGCTAGCAGAATTTTCAGAATGAGTTCTAACCCTTGATTCTATGCCACAGAAATAAATAACAACCATGATGGAGTTAATATCATATTAGGCAACCCATGGTAACCAGTTTTCTCTGAGAACCACAGAGATGGAGCCATGAGGAAACCCACCTTTAGATTCACCATCATCCCAGTACAGCTCCCCCTTTGCCTCTCGCTTGTAGTCCAAGGCGATGATGAGCCCCAGTGGATTCTTCCGGCTGTAAGGGAGAAATTCGCAGTTTCAGAGAATGAAGAAGAGATGGAACCAGGTGAAACCAGCCTCCTTCATGTCCTAAAGACAGATAAACCCAGATCTGCCCTAAAGCAGGGTAGTAGAAGCATGGAAGTTGAGCGTGGGCAGGCCACAGAGTTGGCAGTGAATGAACAATGAAAACACTGGAACAAGGAGACAGTTCCTGATGAAAACTGGGTTTGTGATCAAACAATAATCCTAACCACTGGGGTGTTGCCTGTGCCTTGCACACTTCTAAAGGCACTACCTATATTGTCACTTAAATAAATTCAACCTTCAGCATAGCTGGCTGAACTATCATCATCCCCAGAGTTGCCCAAGGAAAGCAAATTTGTTATTCAATGTGTCTATCTCCAGAGTCTGAGCTCTTGATCTCTAAGCAATGCTGACTTTCACCTGACAACCTTTATATCCTATTTAACCTGCATCCTCTCATACATTACGGGAATCTACCTGGGGACAATTTATGGACAAAGAGGAGTCCTTAAAGTGATGATTTTGACAATTCCTATAATCTAATTAATTAATACCAAAGTGAAGAACTATGGGAATGTTAAAGAAATAAGACTACTTTTATCCCTCCTATGGGAGGACCAAGATGTTAGTTGTGGACCAGCTCTGAAAGGAGGAGAGGGGGAGTCTGATTGGAAATATTTTCCCTTGGTTTATCCTCTCTTAATCTCTATTTGCCTTTCCCATAATGCCTTGCCCCATCACAGCACCAGAGCATTCACACCTTAGAAGAGTGAGACGCTTACCTGGACTCTGTATTTACGTCTGGCTGCTGGGTGGGAAATATGTAGCCTCCTCGAAGGTGAAGTCCCATGCTATCACCTGGGAGTAGCATATCTACCAACTGTTTCCTCCATTGCATGGCCACTCCCTAATCAACCAAAGGAAAACAGATCACATGGTCACCCTGGGTGAGAAGAGACCTGAGGGATTATCTATTTCAGCTGTCTCATATTAAAGAAGAGAAAAATGAACACCCTCCAAAACGGAAGCCACTTGCCCAAAGCACACAGGTAGGACAGAGCAGAGACTTCAACATCCCCTTTTCTTTATATAACACCATGCTGAGGTTCTGCCAGTGGGCTTTCATTCTCTTGGTTATCACAGCCAATGTCCCATGACTGCTCCTGAAAGCTGCACAGTAACCAGTCTGATATAATCAATTTCCAGTTATTTAAATTATTTCATTGTACTCTTTGAAATGTCTCCTGTTATGGTTCGAATGTCTGTGTCCACCCAACGTTCATCAGTTGGGATCCATTACTCAATGTGGCAGTATGAAGTAGTAGGGCCTTTAAGAAAATGATTAAGTCATGAGAGGTAAGTGAGAAGACACCATCAAGGAAGCAGAGTGAGCCCTCACCAGGCAGTGTACCTGCAGAATAGTGAGCAATACATTTCTTTTTTTTTTCTTTCTTTTTTTTTTTTTTTTTTTTTTTTGACAGGCAGAGTGGACAGTGAGAGAGAGACAGAGAGAAAGGTCTTCCTTTGCCGTTGGTTCACCCTCCAATGGCTGCCGCGGCCAGCGCGCTGCGGCCGGCGCACCATGCTGATCCGATGGCAGGAGCCAGGTGCTTCTCCTGGTCTCCCATGGGGTGCAGGGCCCAAGCACTTGGGCCATCCTCCACTGCACTCCCAGGCCACAGCAGAGAGCTGGCCTGGAAGAGGGGCAACCGGGACAGAATCCGGCGCCCCGACCGGGACTAGAACCTGGTGTGCCAGCGCCACAGGTGGAGGATTAGCCTAGTGAGCTGTGGCGCCAGCCGAGCAAAACATCTCTATCATTTAAAAAATTACAGTGTAATTTTATTATACCATCGTAATGGACACCTCACAGAAAAATACCCACAATTAACTAAATATGAAACCTGTACTATTAACCTTCCCATGCTCCCACGACTTCCATCTTAGAATAACTGCCCTGTTACAAAAAGGGCTGCTTCACTTACTGTCTCATAATCGTACCAGATGTCATCTGGTATGTACGCTTTCACTTGGTCCACACCCTAGGGAAACAATGAGTAACATTAGCATACCCCTTTACAGTTTACAAAGTGCCTTCACACGTCACCGCATGTGTTTATCTGAACAATCCTGAGACGGTTGAGACCTTCCTGTTCTACAAATGGAAACTCAGAAACCGCAAGCAGCTCACTCTAAGCAGAGCTGTACCCAGAAATCAAATCTGTCTTGCTTCAATGCTCCTATACTTTCTAAAAGAAGTAGAAAAACTTCATTTACTGAGGCAGTCATATAACCTGAGAGCTGGGAGATGGGCCAGTCATGTCCCCAGGCCAGCCCTCCACCAGGTAGGTGGAAGAGTGGGTTAGCAAGACCTGCCATCCGAGGGTGTGGCTGCAACAGGCTCAGAGTTTTCAGAGGAGTCCACTGGTGACCGTTGATATTTATAAGCTGAGCAGCATCCTGACCTTGCCTCACATGTCCCCAGTTACTCTCGCCCCAGGTCACACGTGGATGGACGCCCCTGCCCTTCACACATGGACTTCAGAGTAGGACTCTCTCCTTGTCCAGCACCCTTTCCTCCCTGTACCGCTTCACATGGTCTTCTCTTCCAACCCTCCTCTGGACAAGGGGAAACGGACAGAGGGCCATACCAATGCACTGAAAGTCCGTGTCAAAACCACAACCACATGTCTAAGAACCCAGGCTTTAAGGCAATTTTGCAACATAGAAAATGTTTTGTGTGGTAGACTAGAGAGACCAACAACTACTATTTTTCTAATTATCAAACTTTTATAATTGCTCTTATTTATGGTCATATTCAGATAAAAATGCAGTCGTGGAACCCCAAGACTCCAGCTTATTCAGCTATAGAACCACGAGGACAAGTACAACATGCCACCCTGCTACTTAGTTATGAACATACTTCATATAAGACAGGTGTGATGAGGAGCCCAGGCCCCCATAAGAACTGCTCATGGACATCCCATGTGGCTGGGTCCTGGTAGAACCTATAAAACAGAGGGCATGGTGAGGCAACTGAAGTCTCTCCCATAGGAAAGCAGAACATTACAAGGCAAGAAGGCCCCAACTAATCTCGTTACCACCAACAAGGTAATGTGAGATTATGATCTGAAGGGGAGCCTTTGAGGATCAGAGGACTCACTCATGTACCAGGGGCCTTGCCACCGTCTCCCCCAGCGTGTGAGCACGGTAGAAGAGGGTGTAGAGATAGGGCAGCAGGGTGTAGCGAATGTTCAGGTAATGTCTGCTGGAATTCAACAGCAAGGAGTCATCACCAAAGGCAGCAGGGTCCTGGTCCTAGAACAAAGTGGAATCAACAGCTGAATGTTTCTTTCCATTATTGTTTACAAGTTTCCTATGATGAGAAGTTTTGTACCGTGGAAGTAGCTATGGTCTCCAACTTGGAAAACATCAAAACACCTCCAGAGCGGAGAGCATCTTGGTCCTATTCCTTTACTTCATAGAAGAGAAAACAGCGTCAATGCTGACACAACTTTCCCAGTGGAGGACTGCAAGCAGGTGCCAGTTCACTGTGACACATGACTTTCAAGGGCAGCCTGTGTCCACCTCGGTGTGATAAAGAAGCCCTATAGAGGCAGCTGTGAAGACAGAGGGGCTCCCATGCTCCCTGTTCTCTCCAGAGCTGCTCCAATTTATGTATTATGGTTTCTTGTAGTATTGTTTGGGAAGTAATAATTTTAAGTTGTACTAGTATTATTTTTTTAATCCAATACCTTAAGCCACGTTGCCAACCACCATGAGCTATAATCTCTTTACCTGTCTATGAATTTTTCTGAATTTGCAACTCAGATTATATGTTTAGAAAGGAAATCAATTCTGGACTCAGAGACAGAAATTTTTCATCAACAACCAGCATTCATTCGGTTCATTTTCCTTGTAATAACAGAAGATGTGAGAACAATGCATGTGAAAGACTTGGCACCCCGTACTGCCTGACTGAGAACGAAATTTGGATAAAATAGCCAAGTTTATTCCTTTTCCTTTCTCTGCTCCCTAAGATTCCCATTTCCTCCCAAGGAATAAAACTACCCATGGAGACTACTCCATGCCCCCTGCACAGGACTCACGAAAACCCTGAGGCCAACATCGAAGAAATAACAATCCACAGCCTCCATCACCCGGGATCCACCTGGGAGTATGGAGCACACGGTCCACGAGGGGGACCATGACTGAACACTGGAAATGTGGCTAGTGAAACTGGGGGACTGCACTCTTCCTTGCATTTGATTGCAATTATTTTAACTGCAAGTCTTAAGAAGGAATGAATGTAATTTTTCTTCCATTAACTACAACTTCATTATTTCGGTAGGATTACATTTCATCTCAGCTGCCAGACATCTGGCATACAAATTCAATCATTCTGCAAATATAAAATGCATGCTGAATTCTGAAGACTTTGTAGAAAGAAAAGGAGATAAAATAGTTCATTAATAGTAACCTCTGTTAAGCACAGGTTGAAATGCCAGTGTTCTGAATGTACTGAGTTACATATATGAGTTTTCAGATGTGAAAAGTACTGTTGCCTCATTTAACGTATTGAAATTTACAGTGACTCTTATGATAATTCTATCATACAGAGCTTGTGTGGAGGAGAGGAATTCAGCACTTCAACCAACCTCCTGGTGCTGTGTGTTCTGATCTACGGAAGTCCTTTTAAGATATCCCATCATGAAAAGGACCAGCCCAACCTACGCCAGTCACCTACTTAGACACTCAAAAATAGTTCATCTCTCTCTAGACTACAAATAGCTAGGAAAGTCCATGGGCGAAATGCTTTGAAGGCTTAGATGTCAATCCTTCCAGGTTAGAGACATCATCATACAAAGTCAAAAGCCAGAGCCAAAATTATTATCAAGAATTCACCCTGATGAGCTTAGGAGCTAAACCACTCAATAAGCAATATCTCAGTTACGGATTATTGCATTAAATAAAATATATCCCATCTTTCTTGCTCCTACCATGAGCGTAAACATCTCTTTAAGGGGGACACTGAACCCAATTAATGTACTTTTACATCAAAAATACTATTATAGATAGAATAGGATAAAAGTGCTCAAGTTATGAGATATAGTGGGGGAGGTCTCCCAAATCATTCATAAAAAGATAGAATATTGTTACATACTGGAAAAAAATCAGACCACTTGTCTTCCCCTCCCTAAATTTTTCTTCCTCTCACCCCTGTCCACACCTCTGAAGTAAAATACCATCAAAGTCCAATCATTTCATGTTTTATAAGATGGTAACAGGAGTGATGAAACTTAGTACACAAGCGCAGGGTAAATACTTGGTACACAAGTGACAGAAATACCACAGAGACGTCAACAAATCTTACCTCTGTTGCTGAGTGTCCAATAGTAAAGTCATTCAGTATATACACACTTCCCATGCACCCTTAATCCTATACCCCGTTTTGGGCCCATCACCCAAGATTTACCTTCCTTATTCTCCACTTAGAGCCAACACGTGTGGCTTTGTGCCATCTCTCATCGAGAAGCAACATATGAGACAACGCAATAACTCCCCATTGCTGCTCTGGTGGCCTTACCATGAACCCAGGCCCATTATGATTCCTCGAGAGTGGATAAAATGCTCCCAGCTGCATCCATCTTCTACAGAGCTCCTCCGAGACATTTCCAAAATAACCACAGATGTTGGCACCTACCTGAAGAATTAGCACACGTACAAGCACAGTGGTCAGGGAGAGAGGGGAAGCGCTGTGCACTTAAATGACAAGGGAAGAGTAGGTCTTATCTCCACCAGTCCATGTTTAAAGAGATCCAGAGTCCCTCCAGCCCAGTGAGAGAAGCAAACATGTTCAGGACACACTGGGGAGGAGAAGACTGATCGCTGGTACCGACCATGTCCATTGAATTGAGGGTTCTTCCTCAATGTTCATTTTCCAACTCATGTTTCCCTATTTTGATGCCCTCCTAATAGGATTTTTCTGCAAGACTTAATGTTATCCTATGGTGTCTCCTTTCTATGCCCAGAAATTCCATGTGAAAAAACCCCCAGTGATAAAGTTTCACCATTCTCTAATCAGAAGGCAGCTCACATTATATGTAGACATTGATTTTCCAATACGTATCACAGTGGGATATTTGAACTTCAGTTTTTTTCACATACCCTCAAATATTGGGAGTGGAAAGAAAGCCAAGGAGAGAAGGTTTAAGTTCCTTCCTGGGAACAAGGCTCACCATGGGGATACCAAACAGGTTGAACTCCAGGATACTGGGGATGGACCACCGGAGGTCGTCCCATGCAGCCGCATTATCCCCAAGCCAATGAGCAGCAAATTTTCCAGATCCAGCAAAAGTTGAGCGGGATAATATGAAGCTCCTATTATTTAGAAAGATAGCCTCCATGGCCCTAAAAAAGAAGAAACCAGTGGAGTTGAGGTGAACTGTGAACATCTGGGACTCGGGTTATACTAATGAGCTTTCCAACAAAATGAGAAAATCAGGTTATCATAAACCAGTTGTACAGTTCCGTATTTTCTTTTTGTTTCTCAAGGATTCTGTTTATTTATCTGAGAGGTAGAGTTACTGACAGAGAGAGAGAGAAAAACAGAGAGAGAGGTCTTCCATGTGCTGGTTCACTCCCCAAATGGCCACAATGGCAGGAGGTGAGCCAATCCAAAGCTAGGAATTAGGAGCTTCTTCCAGGTCTCCCACATGGGTGCAGGTGCCCAAGCACTTGTTCCATCTTCCACTGCTTTGCCAGGCCATAAGCAGAGAGCTGGATCAGAAATGGAGCAGCCGAAACTCGAACCTGCACCCATATTGGATGCTGGTGCCACAGGTGAAGGCTTAGCCTACTGCACCAACACACTGCTCCCTCTCCCCCCCACCCCCGCCCCCACAGCATTTTCAAGAATTGCCTTCCTGGGGCTGGTGCCATGGAGCAGGTTAATCCTCCACCTGTGGCGCTGGCATCCCATATGGGTGCTGGTTCTAGTCCTGGCTGCTCCTCTTCTAGTCCAACTCTCTGCTGTGGCCTGGGAAAGCAGTGGAGGATGACCCAAGTGCTTGGGCCCCTGCACCCGCATGGGAGACTAGGAAACACCTGGCTCCTGGCTTCGAATCAGCACAGCTCTGGCCATTGTGGCAGTTTGGAGAGTGAACCAACGGAAGGAAGACCTTTCTGTCTCTTCCTCTCACTGTCTGTAACTCTACCTCTCAAATAAAATAAATAAAATCTTAAAGAAAAAAGAATTGCCTTCCTGCCTCTTGATAACATTTCAGATCTCTTATAAGGCAATACAAATACCTATATTCCAGGCCCCAAGAAATTTCTGTAGGCCCCTTTCTTTCTAATTATGTTTTCTCCATCTTGCTGAATCTGTTGTGTTCTGACCCTTTTTATCAACAATATATTAGAATCAAGCCATAAGATCTTGGTTCCATCTTCTCCCTCTGGACAAAGGTGTCCTAACATCTCTTCGTTCCACACCTTGCTGCCCATGGGCAATCCTGTGGAGCAAACACCAATTCAGGTTGTCCACTGTGCCCTCTGCTTGACGGAAGGGAGAGCTTGCACACCACAGTACGCTTCTGAAACTTCAGAACTTATTTGTAGCCACCCCAAATGTTAGCGAATATTAACCTGCACAAAACTGGAAAGGTTAAGTCTCAGATGATGACATGTGATCCTTTCTGTAAAAATTGAAAACTAAAATGAAAATATTGTTTTCGCCGGCGCTGTGGCTCACTAGGCTAATCCTCCACCTTGCAGCGCCGGCACACCAGGTTCTAGGCCTGGTCGGGGCACAGGATTCTGTCCCGGTTGCCCCTCTTCCAGTCCAGCTCTCTGCTGTGGCCAGGGAGTGCAATGGAGGATGGCCCAAGTGCTTGGGCCCTGCACCCCATGGGAGACCAGGAGAAGCACCTGGCTCCTGCCATTGGATCAGCGTGGTGCGCCGGCCACAGCGCACCGGGCACGGAGGCCATTGGAGGGTGAACCAACGGCAAAAGGAAGACCTTTCTCTCTGTCTCTCTCTCTCACTGTCCACTCTGCCTGTCAAAAAAAAAAAAAAAAGAGAAAAAGAAAATATTATTTTCACTGTGCTACATATAAAATATTTGAGATCAAGTAAAACTACATAATAAAATTGGAACCAAATGGATTAAAATGCAGAATTCAGAATGATAACCACTTTCAGGGCATGGGGCACATATAAGGTGCAATGGTAAATGGTGAGGTCAAGTCTGTCTTACTGGATTTTACTGAACTCTTCTGTTTAGCTGCTTTCTTGAAATGAAAGCATCCTGTAGGATAACGCCTGGGCCACAGCCGTTGCTGCTGTCTGTAGGCAAGCTCTTGTCTTTCTGTCCACTACAAGATCTGTAAGTTTCCTTTCCTAGAACTCTCTCCACAGATCTCTGCCACCAGGCGGTTTCTCAAGACACCATCACAAAAACCAGTGCCTCCCCACTTCATACTCCTGGGGGTGCTAGGAGTCTGCAACTGCAGAATTGGCTTGTGTTGGCAGAAAGGAGAGAATTCTGAAATAGACTGGTTTAAGAAAATGCAGTGAGCCGGTGCCACGGCTCAATAGGCTAATCCTCTGCCTTGCAGCGCCAGCACACTGGGTTCTAGTCCCGGTCGGGGCAAAAAAAAAAAGTGCAGTGGCCCATTCTGACAATTTACAGACCAAAAAGTTGACCTGCTGGGGAGAAGGCTCACCCCTCATCTGCAACCCTCCCCTCCCCTCGATAGACACTAGAGGACACTGCCTTTATTACCATGGGCTGCAGGTTTATCACACTCTGCAGCAATAATTCATGAGAGAAGCAGACACAGTCCCTCTAAAGTGAAACCAAAACAGGCATGATGATATGTGAGGCACAGTTGAGAGCCAGCCATTATAGCAGCACAGATTAGATAACAGGTTCTTACAGCTTAGAAGAAAAACCTCCTTCACACTCTGTCCGTTTCTCTCTTCCACCCACCAAGTCTGCGCTCTCTGCTCTCCCTCTGCTTTCAGCCTGGAAGCTGGCCGTTTTCCCCGCCCACTCAGCCCAGTAACCACTGTCCCCACACTCAGCTTCTGGTTTAGGTTGAGCCGTACATTCATCAGACCAGTGGCTACAATTCTTCTGAGGTCAGGATTCCACTGGATGAAAATTTTATCCCTTTAAATACAACTCTGCCTGCGGGCCGTAGGCCAAGTTCCACTTATCTCCACTGTTCACTAGGAATTCAGAGCACCCTGCTCACCCAGACAAGCAGAAAGCCATCTTCCACTCACCCAATCAGTTACCTATTAGCAATTAACCACGGCTCTGAGAATATACAACGAAACAATTAGGGATTTTTATAGCACTTTCATCACATGGCAACAGTGGCAATAAGGCAATCTGAGACTCCCTCCCTCCTCCCCCACCCCTTTCTGACCTTTCTGTCTGGCTACGCACTCACTCTCCCACCACCTCTCCCATTAGACAGGAGTGGCTAAGAGTGAAAACTGATCAGGACAGGAAGAGACTGTGGGGAAGCATCGCATGCGAGTAAGAGAAAGAGGGCATGATGCAAAGCTTCTCACTTGTGAGTCTGGGATATAGGGTGGTGCTGCCATCAGCCAGCACAGGCAATTTCAGATTTTTAAACTGATCAGCCAGAATGTGGAGATCAGGTGAAGAAAGGTAACAGAGCCAAGTAAATGGTGTGTGAGATACTTGAAGACATGTGAAATAATGAAACCCCTTAGCCATAAGCCATAATGCTGTACAGTAACCGGGAGTTTGTACAAAAGGACTCCTTAAGTATCCTAGAAGATTAGCCCTTCTACATCCCCATAACTGTAAAAATATTTGAGCAATATACTAATGAAAGAGAAGAGAAACTCTCCATCTCCCCCCTCCCTAAATCTAGAACCAGGGCAAAACCACGTGCTTACGAGTCTGTGGCTCTGGCCATGGAGTAGCCATACAAGCTGTGGACGTCATAGTGAAGACCGGAGTGAAACTCTGTGTCCATGCAGAGGGTCCTTTCAGAGAGCCGACCGCCCAGGACTCCTAGGGGGGAACACCGTCAGTGTAGCACTTCCCACCAACCAACTTCAGCCAAAGAGCCACCCAGCTCTTTCGTGCTCGGTTACTGCACATTTCCCATCGATCGCCACCTTGACAAAATCCTAAAAGCCACTTCCCACATGCAATCTAGACTGAACCTCCCATGGAGATGGAGCCCGAAACTTCATCTGCAGTCCCTTGAGCTCAGAAAATGTGGTTGTGAGCAAAGCAACTGAGAGCAATGGGCAGTGGACCTGCGGTGACGTAGAAAGCATGTGGCTTGTGCCTGATTTAATAAAAAAGAGCTGACCTACAGTGCACGGGTAGAAGAACAGTAAAAGGAAACACTTTCACTTTTATATTAGAGAGCACACTTTTTAAAAAATGAGATATAATATTTGAGTGGTTTCATAAATAAGAACCCAAATCCTTCCTGGGAGGATCTACACTGTTACTCATTTTCTCTTTCTCAAGCCTAATACAGTCACTCTTCTCTGTCCCATGGCCTGCAAATTTCATTCCCGTCTCCTCCTGTGGACCCATAATTGGGGCCACATCTGCCTTCCTTCATGAAGCTGGGCCCACGCCTGGGCTTTAGGATGGGATATAATTCAAGAAAGTGGTAGAATTGGGAAAGACAGGTTGAGATTTTCTCAACAGCCTAACAGAATCAGAATAAAAAATTGAATCAGAAATTAAGTTATATTAAAACACAGAAAGAAGATCGTCTTCCTTGCAAAGCTTAATTTATAGAATGGCATTCACCACCATGTGCACTATATAAAAGGGCACCAAAGCTCCCCAGCACTCAGGTAACTGTCTAAATCTTCATCATGCTAGGTGTGCACTAGGCAACCCTGAAAGGTGATGAGGGGAAGTGGTGGGTCATTTGTGAAGAGATAACATGTTGAAGGGCTCTGGGGAGGGATGCTTGCTAGAAGCAAGCAGCAGGTGATGGGGTTGAGGTTTTCTTTAGGAAAAACAGAAGAAGACTAAGAGATTCAGAACAAACCTGATAGGGACGAACATTGTGGTGTGGCACAGAGGGTTAAGCTTCAGTGTGTAGCACAGGCATCCCATAACCGAGTGCTGGTTCAGGAGCCTGGTTGCTTTGCTTCTGATCCAGCTCCTTGATATGCCTGGGAAAGCACTGAAAGACGACCCTGCCACCCACGTGAGAGACCCAGATGGAATTTCAAATTCCTGGCTTCATCCTGGCTCAGCCCCAGGTGTTCCAACCATTTAGGGAGTGAACAGTGAAGGGAAGATTCTCTCTCTCTCTCTCAAATAAATAGTTCTTAAAAAAAGTAAAACAAAATAAATTGTGCAACAGGAAAACCGAAGTGGGTGGCAATCAGATGAAGCAGAAGTCAGTGAATATGTTATGGAAGCAAACAGCAAATTTTGCAAGAGATTAAATGGCTTGAAGTCAAGACTCAGGCCAAAAATTTCATTACTTCTTCAGTGACCAAAAGGAGGCAAAGAAACAGGCAAACCTTGGTCTCAGAGGGTTACCAGTGGTCTGGGAGAGCCTGCCTAGGTGCCCACAGGCAAGAGTGCTTTCCTGGGAGTAGAAGGTTATGCTGAAAGGTGAAGGCGTCCCCTGAAGGCAAGCTGAGGCTACGTGGTGACTGCTTCTGGCAAAGGAGAAGCTGGCAAAGGGCTCCACCCCATTTCCAGGCACTTTTCTTGCTCATTTACTGCGCAAGTTCGGAAATTCTCATGAATTTTAAAGTAGCACCACCTGAGGGGCTTAAAGCAGGGGAACAGGATGAGTCTGGGACCCTAGAGTGGAAATGTTAGGTAGGAAGTCAGAAACTGAGCCTGTGTGTGTGTGAGAAGGGCCTGGAGACAGCACCCACTGGTAGCTCCAGAGCCCAATCTTGCACTTCAAGTCCTGCCCAGACCCTGATACCTCCCAGGTGGTCCCAGCCCTTCCCCCAAGGAAAGCTCCCAGGAGAATTCTCTCTCCTCAGGACCAAGTGGGTTACCTGACCTGATGACACGGGGCAATAAAACCTTCACAGACACCCTAAGGGAAGCCCCTCTGCTCTGCCCAGCACCAGCAAATCTGGGGAGGAATTTGATAATTTTCACCCAACAAACCCTTCAGCTAGGACTCCCCATCCTTTGTCCTGGAGGAGAGGGGGAGGTAGGTAAACAGACTCCCTTAAAAACCTAGGGAGTCCGGCCGGCACCGTGGCTCATTTGGCTAATCCTCCGCCTTGCAGTGCCTGCACACTGGGTTCTAGTCCCGGTCGGGGCACCGGATTCTGTCGATTCTGTCCTGGTTGCCCCTCTTCCAGGCCAGCTCTCTGCTGTGGCCCGGGAGTGCAGTGGAGGATGGCCCAAGTGCTTGGGCCCTGCACCCCATGGGAGACCAGGAGAAGCACCTGGCTCCTGTCTTTGAATTAGCACGGTGCGCTGGCTGCAGCATGCCAGCCGCGGCAGCCATTGGAGGGTGAACCAACGGCAAAAAGGAAGACCTTTCTCTCTGTCTCTCTCACTGTCCACTCTGCCTGTCAAAAAATTAAAAAAAAAAAAAAAAAAAAAAAACAACACCTAGGGAGTCCAAATGGACTGCGTGCTCAGCCCTCTGCCTCTCTGCTGAGCCGCCCCCCTGGCCTGCCCTGGTGTACTGTCTCCACTCAACCATGTAACCTCGCTCTCCCCTAGTCTGAGTGACTGGACACTCTCTCTCTCTGTCCCTTCCATCCTGATGGATGCCCCAAGAACCCACGGCTTCCACAGTGACAGAAAGACAGCCAGAAGAGGTCCCAGGTTCAGACTACAATCTGTCAGCACACTGCCCTTGTAATATGACAGCCAAAAGGTAATCAGAGGCCAAACCACTGCAGAGGGCCAGGGAAATGGAGAAAGCAGTAGGAAGGATGTTGGGGTCATTCCTTGGACTGGGAAGTGAACTGCTCTTGACCACACCGAGTAGGCTGGGGACTGTCTTACATCATTAATGAACAAGGGAAAACTTACTGGGAGTGAAAGGTGGAGAATTCAACCTGTTTGATTCACACTCATGACCAGAACCTTGGAGAAGGCTGGACACTTCATCCATTTCCTTCCAAGACACAAAATATACAAAATAGAAAATGTTATTTACACATGATTAGCTATTGAAAAATCTTACTGAATCAGAATACAGGATATCTCGAATCTCCTCAGTTAACTGGTGTTGGGGTTTTGAATAATCTCCCCAACATTTCGTGGGCCCGGTTTCACTTCTTGTAAAACAAAGTCATTGATTGGATTAGGCCACAGCTAAGGTATGTTCTAACTTCTAAGAGACATCTGGAAATTTCACTTTTTTTTTTTTTTTTTTACTGTTACGAGCAGAGTAGACAGTGAGAGAGAGAGAAAGGTCTTCCTTTTGCCGTTGGTTCACCCTCCAATGGCCACTGCGGCCGGCGCGCTGCGGCCGGCGCACCGCACCTATCCGAAGGCAGGAGCCAGGAGCCAGGTGCTTCTCCTGGTCTCCCATGGGGTTTACAAATTGATTTTAATCAGTTAAGAAATATCATTTTAGGGGCTGGTGCTGTGGCACAGTAGGTTAACCCTCTGATTGCGGCGCCGGCATCCTGGGTGGGCACTGGTTCTAGTCCCGGCTGCTCCTCTTCCAGTCCAGCTCTCTACTGTGGCCTGGGAAAGCAGTGGAGGATGGCCCAAGTGCTTGGGCCCCTGCAGCCACGTTGGAGAGACTGGGAAGAAGCTCCTGGCTTCGGATCGGCAACACTCCTGCCGTTGCTGGCATTGGAGAGTGAACCAGTGGATGAAGACCTTTCTCCCTGTCTCTCCCTCTCACTGTCTGTAACTCTACCTCTCAAATAAACAAATAAAATCTTTTAAAAAATCATTTTAAAGTGGCTTTCTACTGAACTATCTGTTGGTTTCCTGTTTAGTGGAGGGCTTTAGATTGTGATTACAAAGTAACTTGAAAGTATGTCATGTAAAAATTGGAAGAAAAATAAGAAAGGAAGGAGAATCGAGGGTATAAGAAGAGGGGAGGGTGGAAAGTATCACTATTCTTTTGAAATTGCATATATGAAATACATGAATTTGTTCCTTTTAATTTTAAAATTAAGAAAGTTTCATTCTTGTCTTATAAATTATGAAGGTATTATTATTGGTATTGCTGCTTGAGTATTATCTGAAAGAATCTAACACAGAATAAGATTTCTATTTTACAGTTTTCCACCTTTTCTTCCACTGAGGCACAATAACAGAATACAATTGCTATCACATTCATCCATTCCTTTAAAATGAATTAAAAATAAGTGATGAGTCATTTTGTTAACAAATATGTTTTTCAAATTCCAGAAAATTTCTCTATTGGTTCCCCACCAAGAACAAAAACAAACAAGAAAACACACTCACAAAGGCCTCATTAAATTACTCACTAATGATTAACTAAAAATTTGCATGAGAAAATACTACAATTAATAGCAATTCCAACTTTTAAGGAAGCAGTATTTTAATGTTGGAATTCAGTTAATGGAGGAAAAGACAGGGCCATGAGAAAACAAAGGACCTCATCAACATGAAATCTGCAGTTGCCCCCAGATTCAACATCAGAACCTAGAGCTGCTAGGAGCCTAGTTCAACTTTATGAGCTCAGCGTTAAGTGGAAGAGTGTTGAGTAACACTACACCAAGCAGACTATTTTCTTATGGATTAGATTCAAAATCATCTGAAAATTAGGCGAATCTGTTTCCAAAGAAAGTTTAAGCTGGAATAAGAACTTACAATCCACACTCCATCAAACTCTAGCTGGTTATGAAACTCAGTGAGCTGCTCCGTCCACCACTGAGTGCCCTCGGGATTGCTGTAGTCAGGAAAGACTGCTGGTCCAGGGTACCCCTGGAGAATAAACAGGAAGGCTGAGGCCATTAGCATGTTGGGGGCCTCAATTATTCATTTAGTATCAGCTGCTATTTCTTCTACTAGTAGCCTCATGGGGCTTATTACTTTAAAATTTCTTGCTCTGCAAACAATGACAAAACAATGAAATACACACAAGAAACCAAAGGAAGAAAAAGAAGCAACAACTGATTATATAAATGAAAGCAAACTTATATGCTTTTCTATGAAAACAAATAAAGATTCATTATATCAGGCCAATTGGGAGATGAATTGCTCAAAATTCTGGCAAGTCTAACTCCTCTAATTGAGAAGCAATATAAAATTAGAAGTAAATTCCACTACTTAAGGCCTCCCTGTCTCAAAATGTTGCTTCTTTCCAAGACAATAAATATGTAGTATTACCAAGTCAGAAGCTAGCTTTTTAAAATCCTCAAAATGTTAATATTTTGTTATTACAACTATTGGTTTAAAAATAATAATAAAAGAAACTCTCATGAAAACAGTAGTGGTATTGCAATTTGTCTTTAACTCTTCTCCATACCAAAAGTACAAACTTCCCAAAATGACTTTAATTCACTTTTTAAATTTATTTTTATTTTTTAAACTTTTATTTAATAAATATAAATTTCCAAAGTACAACTTTTGGATTATAGTGGCTTTTCCCCCCCCATAACCTCCCTCTCACCCGCAACCCTCCCATTTCCAACTCCCTTTCCCATCCCATTCTTCATCATGATTCATTTTCAATTATGTTTATTTACAGAAGATCAATTTAGTATATATTAAGTAAAGATTTCAACAGTTTGCACCCACACAGAAACACAAAGTATAGAGTACTATTTGAGTACTAGTTATACCATTAATTCACATAGTACAACACATTAAGGACAGAGATCCTACATGGGGAGTAAGTGCACAGTGATTCCTGTTGTTGATTTAACAATTGACACTCTTGTTTATGGCATCAGTAATCACCTGAGGCTCTTGTCATGAGTTGCCAAGGCTATGGAAGCCTCTGAAGTTCACAAACTCCGATCTTATTAAATCCAAATGGCCAACAGACACATAAAAAAATGTTCAGGATCACTGGCAATCAGGGAAATGCAAATCAAAACCACAATGATGTTCCACCTCACCCCAGTTAGAATGGCTCACATTCAGAAATCTACCAACAACAGATGCTGGGGAGGATGTGGGGGAAAAGGGACACTGACCCACTGCTGGTGGGAATGCAAACTGGTAATTCACTCTTATCTTTGAGAAATTACCTCCCCAACAGCAAAGCCATGGTTATCCAAGATCCATACTCTCTTTAGGCTTCCATTGTTATAGGCTGTGTACTCAGGGCTCCTGAAGATGCCAGGATTCTAATAAGGAAACAAAATATAAATCCTATTATCGTTATTTTCCTTCATACCTTGAAAGCAATAAAAGCCATATTTGTTTGAGCATACCATAATAATCATGTACTTCTGTCCATTGTCATGTAACTCCTTGGCAAAATCTGAGAGGCCAGGGTAAGCTCCTTCATCAATAGTGAAATCCTTCTTTCCATCCATGTAGTCTATGTCAGAATACTGGACATCCTGAAAGATAACTAAGTCTGGTCAGTCAGAAGCTAGGAAAATCACTGCACTGATAGGAAGCACGACTGCTTTGAGGCCATATCTTGTCATGAGCCTCGAACTTCCAGGGTTCAGCTACCTCTTAGGAATAAATAAATCCTCTTGGAAAAACGCTGCTGTTCTTAGGTTGCAATTCTACCTTCTATTCCTGAGAGACGCACGTCCAAAGGCATTGAGAGGAACTTGAGGACATCCTGTCCAGCTGTGTACCATGAGAGCTTGGATGCCTGATATAGAGCCAGTGCTTTTCATATGTGTGTTTGACTGAACATATTAGTAATGTTATAACTTGACCCCCAAACATGATGTCAGAATATACCGTAAGAGGAGAAAATGGTCTGTTTGCACTACTAAACTGCTAGAGTAGAGATCGTGACAAGTGTGGGAAGGACGGTTTTAATTCATCAAACTCTCAAACTGCTTTTTGAATTTTCATACCAGTCTGTGAGGGGCAGGTGTCAGTCTTGGTGAGGAGGCTCGGATGTGGAGGGCTGAGTGACGATTCTCAAAGTCACGTGCTTGGTAGGGAGGAGGGGGTTGACTGGGGCTTTGGTGAGGCCTTTGGACTCCAGGTGTTCCTTTGACACCCGTCTGCCACACAGCTCAAACATAAACAGAAGTCATCCGTGTGCTTCTCACCAGACCTTGGCTTACTGGCCTGCAGGGAAATGAGGTCTGGGCCATTGCCCTATGTGGTATCATCTCCTCTCATCATGGACAGTCATTTAGGACCCATGTGTCCTCCACAGTCCATAGAGGGAAAGAAGCCATCCAGGGACGAAAAGTCCATTTGTTTTTGAACTGGCAACACCTCAAAATAGCCCTTCCATCAGAGACAGGAGAGCTTGGAACCCGCTCCACATGTAGTCAAAGGAATTGCATTTGAATTCTGATCATGCCGCCCTACAGTGCGTGACCTGGAAACATCATTAACCACACAGTATCTTCATTTCCTCATTTGCAAAATAGTGCTATATAGTGCTAAATGCGGGCCACTTGGAGACATGAGCAGTCTTTCCAGACAACACAGGCGTGGCCAATTAGCTGTCTGGCTTCCTAGAGTGGGGTTTTGGCAGATAGTGCATATGGGAGAAGTAAAACCAAACACAATTTCCCCTTAACACCAGGCAACACAGTGGGCATCTGTTTTCTCACTGCAAAAGTTGTTCTCCCTGCCTGCCCTCATCCCTGCTCTTAGAGCGAATGAAGAATCCTATTCCAGGCCGAAGTCATTTCTACCCACACAATCGTCCCTCAGATGTTAACACACATATGCCTGCACCAAATATCCAAAGTTCAGGGATTGGTCCAAACTATCTCACTTTGATAACTACATTATCCACATCTTATGCACATCCTGGAGGAGCACATTAAGTGATATATGCTTAAGAATCATCTTTTGATTTACTGGTGGACGTTGAACATTGTAAATCCTTTGCAGCCTTTGACTTTTAACATCACCTCCTGGTACATCTTCAGGAGTACACAAGGTCACTGTGATAAGCTCACTCACTAGAAGTCATAAAATAATCATCAGTTCTTATTGCCCACGTCACCTCAGGTGTTGCTTTCTCTTAGAAAACAGCAGCTAACGTGATAGTTCATCGTCTGTGCACGGTGCTTTACACGAATAGTGTGAGGCATTCCTTATTAGCAGCCAAAGTAAGTCTTAGATTCTCTCCTATAAAGGTGGAAACTATGATTCAGAGATGTTAATTAACTAGCCCAACAATGACAACAGCAATGAAGTGGTAAAGCTAAAATGTCCAACCATATCCAGTGGGCTCCATAACTCTACACTTTCCATAATTCTGTAGGTATGCACATTTCTGACAATAAGCCTATCTGTATTTTTCTTCATAAATTTGATACAAAAAATGAAGGGTAGGAATTGATGCCTAAGGCGTGATAAGAAAAGTCCCAACTTACATAGGGAATCCCAGCTCTGCGATTCCGGTCTACCACCTCTCTCAATCCATGGATGCCTCCGTAATCCCTTCGACTAAGCTGGAACCCAAGACTCCAGTAGGAAGGCAAGAATGGCCGCCCAACCAACTGCAAGGAGAAGCAAAGCATGTGAGGTTTTGGAATAAACGCTCTCTGTGGCATTATGTCAAATACTGAGACACGAGCTCCGTCCATCTTCCGTAAAGCTCCGGTCAGTATTCTCCTAGGGTACTGTGTGAAAGTCCACAAATTTATAGCTTTCTTCACTAGGAACCTAAATATATTCTCAACAACTGCAAGAACAGACAATAACAGGACTTTCAGAAGATGCTTGAAAAGTATGTTATTTTGCAGGGAAAGCAGTAACATTCATTCCTTGACTAAGTATCTTCTGGGACCGTGTTGTGGTGTAGTAGCTTACGATGCCGCCCTCCATGCCAGCATCCCACATGGGCACCTGTTCATGTCCTGGCTGCTCCACTTCTGATCCAGCTCCCTAATAATGTACCTGGGAACACAGCAGAGGATGGCCTAAGCGTTTGGGCCCCTGCCACCCGTGTGGGAGACCCAGATGAAACTCCCAGCTTCTGGATCCTGGCTTCAGCCTGGCCCAGCCCTGGCCGTTGTGGCCATTTGGTGAATGAATCAGAAGATAGAAGATCTCTCTCCTTTCTAATTCTCTTCTCTCCTCTCTCCCTCTTTGTGCTTAACTCTTTCAAGTAAACAAATCTTAAAAAAATTAGTACTTTCTGAGTCTTTACAATATAGCAAGGGCTCACGTAGCTACTTGGGATATAGTGGCACAAAGCAGTTGTAGTTCCTACTCTCATAGAGCTTAAAGGAAAAACTATATGTCTAATATAACTTCAGTAATGGCAACGCTAAAGACAAAGGAATAATACTGATGGGATCAAGAGAATGATGAGTGAAGAAATACTAGCATATGTTTAGAATCCAAGATTTTCCAGTGGCTAGGGCCAGCACTCTGAGTCCAGAAACAGCCGCGTCTCAGATTGTTCCCTAAGAGCCCTGCCCTTATTGTAAGGATATTTCCTCTCACACCTTTGAATTCCCCTAAGTTTATCTGTACATTGTGCAAGCCAGTTACTATAAGATACGGCATGCTCTAATTTGTCAGGCTGTGTCATGTTTCTCCTAACTGATCATAAATTCCTTAGCGCGCAGAATCATACTTCATCTGCCAATATGTGCTATTTTGTATGAAATACTTCATCTTTATGGACCTGAACTTTTCATCTATAAAGTAGGAAGTTTAGGCTAAATAGTATCTAAAGTGACCCCCCCGTTCTTTGGCTTGAATCAAATACAAACAGCTAACAAAGTTCCTTTCACATAGTTACTTTTCACTGAATTTTTAATTCTTCAGTGAATGAATAAGCTTTGATGACTTACGATCTTAAGTCTTTGGAATACTGATCACATGTACATTACGATTTCCTTGAAAGCAAGAAAGTATCTGACATAGTTTTGCATTTCTCCAGTTTTGCACAATGCCCCTTTAGCATGAAGAAAGAACCCAAAAAATGTCATCAAAATAAACCAAAAAAAGGAAGGATGGCTCACAATCCCAGCATTTATATTCTATACACCTTAACTTTTTTTTCATTCACAGAAAATTTACAGAGTACTTACTGTATCTCAGGACCTGTGCTACATATATAGGAAACAAAGATGAACAGAATAGAATCCTTTTCAGGAGGAAGGCCAGTGGAACACAGTTGTTGGACATGATTATGATACAATGAAGTAAGAGCTACAGTACAACTAACTTTCCTTCTTCTCTTGTTAATTTATAAGGTGGTTGACACAGCAGCAATAAACAATGCCTACCTAAATGCAAAGCCATACCTCCAAGTACTCCTGAACCACTTGTTCTGGAGTGTTTCCCAGGAACACATAGAAGTCGAGAATGCCCCCAATTGTTCGGTAAGTGACGGCAGGAGCAGGCTGAAGGGTGATCTCTGAAAGGATTAGCAGGCCAGTGATCAGAATCTCATGGTTGGAAACACACTTTACTCTGCAATAAAAATGCTTAAGCTACCTAAATCCCAGTTCTCATTCTGAAAGGGATGAAAAATCACAAGTGTGTTTGCATTGGAAGACTGCCGAAGTGCATCAGTAGATTGAATCCTAAGACAACAGTAGATAACTGAGTTTGCTTTCATTGTTTGAGAGAAAGAAACAAACTATATTTTAATATGAACATACAAAAGGGATTTAAGCCTAAAGAAAAAATTTAAATCTTATTTGATGAATTTAACTACAACTGGGTATTTTTAAATAATTAAAAAAGACGTATTAAGTACCATCAATCCAGGACTTGCAGGAGGAAGATTCTGGAGCGCGTTAAGAATGGACTATCAGAAACAGTCTACAGAACACAGCCTCGTGGCTTCAGAGCTACAGGCATCTTGGGGAGGGTACACCAGTGGGTCTTATTATCTACAGAATATTGAGGGAAATAGCACATTGAAAGAGACCTCTGAAGCCTGAAGTAATTTGCTATGAAAATAGCTTTAAGCATGAACTGGATTATTGGACAGGTTCGTCTGCTTTCAGGTTCCAGTTTCAACAGACGTGTTGTACATTCAATAAGCATTCTGTTAAATAGTGATACCACCATAAAAGTATTTTGCTAGAAAAACACTCAAGGACTTGTTCCAAAACTGGGGTATGGTGACAACTGCGTCTCAGAACGTAACATCCATGCAATACAAAAAGGCACTTCCTACCCATGGCATTGCTGTTCATCAGAAAAACTCCAAACGAGAAGCCACTGGTGTCCTCTAGGCACAAGAAGAAGGTATGAGCTCCATACAAGTTAATCATGCCCTGTCAATGAACAAAAATATTTGTGTTATGTGTTTAGCATGTCTTTATTCACCCTAAAAATAAAATAGAAAGCCATGCAGAATATGTTCTTGGTCAACATTTGTGCCAAAAAGACATTGAAACATGACCATCAACTAACAAATGGATAAACCGTGCATTCATATAACGGAATATTTTTCAATAATCAGAAATGGAAATACTAATGCACGCTATAGCATGAACAGACCTCAGAACTGCTGCTGGCACAAAATATCATGTGTTGTATGATTTCATTTACACGAAATGTCTGGAAAAGTGACCTACAGTAGAGACAGAACAGAGTGTGCCTGGGGCTGGAGTAGGCACTGGGACAGGAACAGAGGAGGCCACAGGGAATCCCACCAGGGTGATGACAAGGTTGTAAAACCACGTTATGATGATTGACAACTCAGTCAATGTACTAAAAATCACTGAATTATGCACTTCCAACAGGTGACTTTTACGCACACAAATCATACCTCAATAAAACTTTTTTTTTTTAATTTTGAAACTATTTGCTGTGATCAAAATTTTTAGAATGTGATTGTGCTGTGGGCAATTTAAATTTTTTTATGTCTAACTGTATTTTCTATGTAAGCTATAGAATAAACATACAATAAGCAGTAAGGAAGCTTTAAGAAAGATATGAAACCTGCCACAAGGCTATGACGAGCACTGGTAAGGAAAGAGATAACGCGCATGTGTGTAAATAAAGGTGCTATAAGATATATGAGATTAAAACATGGAGGAGGTTGCACAGGTTCCCTGTGAGGTGGTGTCACAGTCTTAACTCCTTTAAGGCGATAGTACCGATAATGATAAATTGCAATGGAGGAAGAAAAAAGGCGATAGTACCGATAATGATAAATTGCAATGGAGGAAGAGAAAAATAATCAGCTTGACATGCAGCATATGGAAGACCAATGGCCCAGACTGGCTTTAAAATTACAGCGATGGGATGGGCCAGGTGCTTGGGCCCCCGCACTCGCATGGGAGACCAGGAGGAAGCACCTGGCTCCTGGCAAGCGAAGCTCCAGCCGTGGTGGCCATTTTGGGGGGTGAACCAATGAAAGGGAGCCCTTTCTTTCCGTCTCTCTCTCTCACTAACTCTGTGAAAAAAAAAAATTACAGCCATGGAGAGGCATGTGGCATAGCAGTCAAGCTGCTGCTTGGGAAACCTGAGAGAAATACCCAGCATCAAGTCCAGACTCCATTACTAATCCAGCTCCTGCTAAGCATACCCTGGGAGACACAGGTGACGGAAGGCAGCAGATGACAGCTAAAGTACTTAGGTCCCCACTATCCACGTGGGAGATCCAGATGAAGTTCTGAGACCCTGACCCAGCCCCAGATGTTGTGAGCATTTGGAAAATAAACCAGCATATGAAAATGATCTCTCTCTCTCTCTCTTTCTCTCTCTCTCTCTCTCTGTGTGTGTGTGTGTGTGTGTGTGTGTTTCCCTCTCCTTCTGTACTCTCAACAATTAAGATCAATTTTTTAAAAGCATGGGGCCGGCGCCATGGCTCACTTGGTTAATCCTCCGCCTTCAGTGCCAGCATCCCATATGGGCGCCGGTTCTAGTCCCAGCTGCTCCTCTTCCAGTCCAGCTCCCTGCTGTGGCCCGGGAGGGCAGTGGAGGATGGCCCGAGTCTTTGGACCCCTGCACCCACATGGGAGACCAGGAAGAAGCACCTGGCTCCTGGCTTCGGATCGGCGCAGCTCCGGCCGTAGCAGCCAATTGGGGAGTGAACCAACGGAAGGAAGACCTTTCTCTCTCTCTCACTGTCTAACTCTATTGTCAAATAAAAACAGAGTGTTTAGAAATTCTTTCATAGTAATTTAAAAGAGTAGTTCCTTTTTAAGGTCTACATTTAATTATTAAAGACATAGTTGTTTTGAAGAATTATTGTCTAGTATATACAAATGTATAAATGAGGCTTTAATATAATCATTAAATTGTATGTTCCATCGAGCATTTTTTTAAATTCTGTAATTCTAATTGTGAATTGGTAAACCCCAAGCCCAGGTGTTTCTCAGCACAGACACACTGAAAGCGGGCAGCAGAGATGTTGCTGAGTCTCCGCAGGCCGCCATGCTGCAGGAGAGTGAGGAGCAGCAGGCAGGGGGCCTCACCGCCGTGGGCGTGGTGTCCCGGGTGAAGATGGGCCAGGTCTTCCAGGTCATGTTGTGGCGGTACTGCTGGTGCACATGCTCCCCTAGCCCATACACGTTGGCGCTAGGCAGTCGGAACGACAGCTGGAGGTACTGGTGGGCAAACTGGAGGGGCCCAATGCTCGTGTCCAACCTAGGCCATAGGGTAAGAGCAAGAGTCACCAACAGCTGTGTCTGCCAGGGAATCGGCAGCTGCTGTCCACACACACCTGGGATCAGCGGTTTCAGGTGCTATGAATTCTCATGCCGCCTTTGACGGCCTCTCTAGGTTCTTTGAATCTAGAAGAACACAGCACTGTTAAGAGGACACAGGGAGTCAGGATGGGGAGCGAGAGCAAACGGGACTCTGTTAGCTGAGCATCTACTGTCTTCTAACCACCACTCGGTGCTCTACAAATATTCTCTCATTGCTCCTAGCAGAAGGGGGTATCTGTATCCCCTCTTTACAGACCAGAAAACTCATGGTGATGAGGCCAGGCATGCTGCCTAAGATCACACAGCTGACTGGTGTTTGCTCATGCTGCAAGGTGGACACAGGTTTGCAGACACTGACGCTTGCATTTTCTCCAGGAGAACTTGTGGTTTAACCTCAAACCGTTCTTAGGTGCTGGACACTAAGAGTCACAGGAAGTAATAATTTGGAGTGATGAACAATAAAGTATGAGTACCAGAATGCATGATAATTCAGAACAATAAAATTTCCTATTTGTCTAATATGTGTGAACCACACGCATATTGATACTTCTATGTGTGTGTGTGTGTTACATAACTTAAACTGATCTACTACATTTTCATGTTCTTTACAATCAAAACAGATTACCGGCACTAATTATTTACACTGAAATTGTAGACATTTTTCTGCAGTTCAAACATTTTCCCAGCCACACTTAGCTCCCTGCCCAGCCACAGTAAGTCAGATGAGTGACGTGAGATGCTCACAAGACTCGCTGGTTGCTTGTCCTCAGTATTTTGAGGCTGAAGGGTTTATCCGTGACCTCCACACGATAGCTCAGACTGGAAGGATCAGCAGTCCCATTAAGCGTCTTAATGTTTTCATGAGGGACTTCGTAGCGCATGTTATTGGAATCGGTGATCTGTCGGAAGAAAAGCAGACGGGACAACTCCAGGTAAGACCACCTCCTCAGAGAACTCCAAAAGACGTCCCTCTCCAATGCACCCCGGCAAGAATAGGTGCTGATTCTTGACCCTGTGGGGGCTGATCTGTAGGAAGAAATCACCCAATCATGTGTCCTCCTGCCCATCCCCCCAGCGATTCCCAAGGAGAGGGACAGAGGCGTCTCCTGCCCCTGCAGGAGCATGATGGGAAATGAAGGAAGCCGGGAGTGGGGCACTGCTTTCTCCAGACTGGAATTCGGTGGCACTTCCAGACCAACCTTAAAGCGAAAACGACTGGGTGTCTGATTTTCAGCCGTGAAGAGAGCGTTGAGGACATCATTTCCAAACAGAGATGGGGATGGCACCCTTGTCAGCTGAGCAGTGAAACCTAAGGGTGGAAGGTGGAGGGAGAGAGAGAGAGCAAGAGCCAGTGGCTTTCAGCATGGATCTTGCAGTCGGTTTACCCCGGGCCACAGCGAGCGTCCTCGGGCGCCACCCGGGGAAGATTCACCTGTGCTTGTGTCTCTGATGCCGTCGCTGACTTCGTAGCCCCAGTTCCTGGGGAAGAAGCACACGGGGACAGCTGCATCGGCCACAGGGCTCCAGCAGCACTTCAGCTGCTGTCTGCAGACTTCCTGTAACAATGCACAGAGCTCACATGATGCAAAACGAAGGAGAGGTGTTGGTCTGCTCTTCCGCATCCGTCTTATTCCAAGGAGAACTTCAGATACGCGACACACTCACTCACTTGTTCTTCCCTGGTTCATACGTTCACCCAACCTCTCAATACGCGACTTTGTGTGCCAAAGAACTGATAACCCAGACATAAACAACACAGGTTTGCCTTCAGCAAACTTACAGTGTAAGGAAATCCAGATAATTACAAAAGCAATTACAAGGGCAGGCCTTTGGCACAGAGGTTGATCCCCCTTAGAACGCCTGTGTCCCTGACAGGGTACTGGGTTTCGGTCCTGCCTCCACTCTCAATTCTAGCCTCCTGCTAACATGCACCATTGGAGGCTGCAGGGGATGGCTTAATGGCTCTAGTACTCGCGGCCCTGACACCCACACGGAGCCCGGGTTGAGTTATAGGCTTCCGGCTTTGACCTGGCCTAGTCCCAGCTGTGGCTGGCATTTGGTAAATGAACCAGCAAACAGAAGATCTATCATTGCTTGCCTGTCTGTGTGTCTCTCTCTTTCAAATTAAAAAAAAAAAAAGTAAATAATTTTTAAAGGATTTTGAAAACAAAGTCTGATGATATTAGTGTTCTAACAGTACCTAGAGTGGAGAGAACAGACGCACCAGCATTGAACCTGAGCTGGCAGGTTGGTAGTGAAGTAGGAAGAGTTTCAGGTGAGTGAAAGCTAAGTCCAGGCCTGAGGCACCAGGAAGGGTTCGACAGGTAAGCAGTAGGGCAGTGTTCTAGGCAGAGAAATCCCACATCTGGGTTAGAAAGTCCACATTCCAAATGTGAGTGCCTGGGTTTGACTCCCAATCCAGCCCCCAAGTCCAGCTCCCTGCTGGCCCTTCACTAACTGAGAAAAGAGCAAGGAAATAAAATCCCTTAGCAAGTCCAATTTTGACAAAAATAGAAAGAGACAAGATTAGAAACAGAGGCCAGCACTGTGGCATAGTGGCTCAAGCCACCGCCTGCAGTGCCATATAGGTGGGTTCTAGTCCTGGCTGCTCCTCTTCTGATCCAGCTCTCTGCCATGGCCTGGGACAGCAGCAGAGGATGGCTCAAGTCTTTGGGCACCTGCACCCACATGGGAGACCCAGAAGTAGCTTCTGGCTTCAGATTGGTGCAGCTCTGGCCGTTGTGGCCATCTGGGGAGTGAGCCAGCAGACGATCTTTCTCTCTCTCTCTCTGCCTCTGCTTCTCTGTAACTCTGCCTTTCAAATAAATAAACAAAGCTTTAAAAAAGATTAGAAACAAAAATGGAAAATGAGAACAGGATTTTTAACATGGGTAAAAGTTATAAACAACTATTTGTATAAATATTTGCCAAGGAATGTGAAACTCCAAATGAATCTTTTTTTTTGTTTGTTTGTTTGTTTTTGACAGGCAGAGTGGACAGTGAGAGAGAGAGACAGAGAGAAAGGTCTTCCTTTTGCTGTTGGTTCACCCTCCAATGGCCGCAGCGGCCGGCGCGCTGCAGCCAGTGCACCACGCTGATCTGATGGCAGGAGCCAGGTGCTTCTCCTGGCCTCCCATGCGGGTGCAGGGCCCAAGCACTTGGGCCATCCTCCACTGTGCTCCCTGGCCCACAGCAGAGAGCTGACCTGGAAGAGGGGCAACCGGGACAGAATACGGCGCCCCGACCGGGACTAGAACCCGGTGTGCTGGTGCTGCAGATGGAGGATTAGCGGCGCCGGCCTAAATGACTCTTTATGCAATATAATATTAAGTAATTAAAATTTGATAAGAAGCTGCAGAAAACTTGAAATGTAACTATGAAAAATTGTAATAGTTAAGAAACTTCATCTAAAAGATGATGCCTTGCCCATACGGTTAAAGGAACAGCATTTTCCTGATCCATTTTAATCTGGGTGGTCATTCCAGTAACAAACCCAGTAACTACAGTCTAGATAAACAGGAAGCAAAAATGTATGAAGAAATTTCATTTAAAAACATCGATGTACAAAATTTTAATGATTTAAATGTTTTAGTCTATTGAAATAGGGAAAGCAAACTTGCAAGTAGTAAAAGACAGAATGGTTCAAAATTAAGAATTCTTAGTGAGTTTCACAATGCTTACAGAGAAAGTCATATTTCAAGGAACTGGAATATTTTTATTTATTTATTTATTTATTTATTTATTGACAGGCAGAGTGGACAGTGAGTGAGAGAGAGAGAGAGAGAGAGAGAGAGAAAGATCTTCCTTTACCGTTGGTTCACCCTCCAACGGCCGCTGCGGCCGGCGTACCGGGCTGATCCGATGGCAGGAGCCAGGTGCTTCTCCTGGTCTCCCATGGGGTGCAGGGCCCAAGCACTTGGGTCATCCTCCACTGCACTCCCGGGCCACAGCAGAGAGCTGGCCTGGAAGAAGGGCAACCGGAACAGAATCTGGCACCCTGACAGGGACCAGAACCCGGTGTGCTGGTGCCGCAAGGCGGAGGATTAGCCTATTGAGCCGCGGCGCTGGCCGGAACTGGAATATTTTAACAGTGTAGTAATGCATTAAATTTAAATGTCAAAATTAAAAACAAGTTGGAAATATATAATAAAATTGTGTTAAAGCAGACACAAAGTGTGTGTATACACACATGTAGATTCTATGCCGAAGCGTAGAACGACCAGGAGAAGGCAAAGGGCTTGTCACTAGGCTACCGACTTTATCCTCAGGTGGGGACTTGGAGGTAGAAAGAAAAGATCAAGCATTTTCCCGTTTTATTCTGTACATAACTGTAACGTATGAATCTTTCTCATTAAGGAAGTGTATTCAGTAGAGTCTGTGTGACCCAAACAGCAACAACACAAGCCCATATCACAATGCCACCCCTTCGAAAGAAGTGCAGTACTTGTTGTGAAAAATATTTTAGATGCTCACATCTGATTCAGTTTCTCTGAAAAATCTCACATGAATATAACTAAAATCACTGCTTTATACCTATAAAAGAACCAAAACAATCGCATGATAATCGTTAAGTCTCCAAATTTATTAGTGTCTAACTGACTTTCCTGCCCCATTGTAACAGAGAATGCTGGAGGGGGTTCCGGATGGCCTGAGTCAGGCAGACACTGGGTACCTTGACAGCTCCGAAACTGACGTCTGCGCCGGTCAAAGTTTAGTTTCATTGTCGTAATGGTTTCAAAGTCTACCGATCCCCATCAAAACCAGCAGGCATTCGGGGCACCTGTGTGTACAGTCTTCCCTGAAACCCCTTTGTGTGGTTTCAGCCACTACCAGTCCCAGGCACCAGAGGTCCAACTTCAGAGATAATTATTTCACAATACCAGTCCCAGGCACCAGAGGTCCAACTTCGGAGATAATTATTTCACAATCTTTCAACCTCCACATTCTTCCATGTATGTATGTACATACGGGACAGAAGACTTGGGAGTCAACTTCTGTGAGCCACACGAGAAGGATTTTTTCTACTTCTACGGTCCTCTCAATAACAGAGATGCTCATAAACTCAGGCTTGAACTATAGTGTTTTTTTTTTTTTTTTTTTTGGACAGGCAGAGTGGACAGTGAGAGAGAGAGAGAGAGAAAGCTTCCTTTTGCCGTTGGTTCACCCTCCAATGGCCGCTGCAGCCAGCACATCACGCTGATCTGAAGCCAGGTGCTTCTCCTGGTCTCCCATAGGGTGCAGGGCCCAAGCACTTGGGCCATCCTCCACTGCACTCCCTGGCCACAGCAGAGAGCTGGCCTGGAAGAGGGGCAACCGGGACAGAATCCGGCGCCCCGACCGGGACTGGAACCCGGTGTGCCAGCGCCGCAAGGTGGAGGATTAGCCTAGTGAGCCGCAGTGCCGGCCGAACTATAGTGTTGATTCGCAACATCTCCTAGTGTCTGTTCTGTCCTTAACACCAAAATTTCCAAAGAGAACTCTCTAGCCACCTTCCAAATAGTTTCATATCACTTATGAATCAAGTCATTACTTATTAACAGAATTAAAGGATTGAAAATTTCCTGGGAAATTATCCAGTGCAACTTCCATTTGAGCTAAGAATCTCTTCAGTAGCTTCTCTGTACATTCTATAAATGATATGTGCAAACTTCTTCCAAAACCGATAATTCCACCCTTTATAAATTCAGTATTTTATTGCAGTGCTAATTCTTTTTTTTTTTTTTTTTTTTTGACAGGCAGAGTGGACAGTGAGAGAGAGAGAGAGAGAGAGAGAGAGAGAGAAAGGTCTTCCTTTGCAGTTGGTTCACCCCCCAGTGGCCACTGTGGCCGATGTGCTGCAGCCGGTGCTGTGCTGATCCGAAGCCAGGAGCCAGGTGCTTCTCCTGGTCTCTCATGCGGGTGCAGGGCCCAAGGACTTGGGCCATCCTCCACTGCCTTCCCGGGCCACAGCAGAGAGCTGGCCTGGAAGAGGAGCAACCAGGACAGAATCCGGCACCCCGACCGAGACTAGAACCTGGGGTGCCGGCGTCACAGGCGGAGGATTAGCCTAGTGAGCCACAGCACCGGCTGAGTGCTAATTCTTATCTTTAGCTAAAATTGTTCTCCAGAAAGGTTCATTTCTTTAAGCCTACTATAGTTACATATTGCCTTGTGAATAAACTAGCTAAAATCATATTGGAAATTTACAAAGAAAAAGGCACTTTATTGTTATAAAACAAAGAAGAAAACAGGCTGTGTTTTTTAGGGTCCCCTAAATGTACATATGTTGGAATATTGGTCCCCATTGCGATGCCAAGAGATAATATGGAAACTTTAAGAGATGGGATCCGTGGGAGTCCCACATATCACTGGGGCATAGCCCTCAGGAGGGAGCACTCCCTGATCTCCTAGGTGAGTTCTTACAAGAAAAAAGTTGTTATAAAAGCCTAAATCTGACCCCGGAGTCACTCTCCAGCTTCTTGTGCTGAGATGGGCTCCTACCTCCCACACACACTCCTGCCGTTGATTGTGGAGTCCGCCTTGGCCAGAACCGGCTCCATTCTGTTCAGAATTTCAGCCTCTACAACTGTGAGTGGAATAAACCTCTTCTCTTGTAAAGTTACCCCATTTCAGATGTTTTATTTTGGTAACAAAAAGCAGCCTGATACACTCAAATGAAGGAAAAACCATTCAGCCATACAAAGAATAATCTAACATGCACAAATATTGATGAAACTCAAAAACATGCTAGATGAACCTCGACAACATACAAAGAATGGAAATGGAGAGATGTTCTCTGACCTCTGTCACCACCCGGCCAGGTGCACAGTCTATCCTTTCTGATTGGGAGATCTCGGGGCACTCCGGAGTAAATGAAGAATCTGCATAGAAAAGTTAAAAACAGGTACTATAATCACAGCTCCAGGAATGAAGCTTTCAATGTTACAGACTTTCCACCAACTCTCCATCGAACAAGTCACTAGTAGCTGGTATTTATATTTGCATATAATGTATAACACTTATTTTGGATTTTGTCTAGTTTTTTACAGACATAATTCACATACTATAAAATTACCCTTTTAAACTGTACAATTTGATAGTCTTTAGTATTTTACAGAATTGTACAGCAAATTACCATCATTCTAATTCCAGAATAGTTCCATCACGCCGAAAAGGAATGACATATCCATCTGTGGTCACTATTTTCACTGCCTCCCAGTCTCTGGAAAACCCTAACCTATTTTTATCCCTGTGAATTTACCTATTTGGAACATTTCATATACACAGAAACCTAAATTATGTTACCTTTTGTGTCTTGCTTCTCTCACTTAGCAAAATGTTTTTGAATTTCATTGATGGTATACTATGTATCAGTGTTCCATTTCCTCTTTTTTAAAAAAAGAATTTATTAGGGCCGGTGCCATGACTCACTTGGTTAATCCTCCACCTGCAGCAATGGCATCATCCCATATGGGCACTGGGTTCTAGTCCCGGTCGCCCCTCTTCTGGTCCAGCTCTCTGCTGTGGCCAAGGAAAGCAGTGGAGGATGGCCCAAGTGCTTGGGCCCCTGCACTTGCATGGGAGACCAGGAGGAAGCACCTGGCTCCTGGCTTCAGATCAGCCCAGCACCAGCCGTAGCGGCCATTTGGGGGGTGAACCAACAGAAGGAAGACTTTTCTCTCTGTCTCTCTCTCTCTCTCACTGTCTAACTTTATCTGTCAAATAAATTTAAAGAGAATAGATTTTTGTATTATGCATGCAATTTTATTATTTAAGCATAATATGTGAGCAGAAGAGAAGGCACTTGTTTGATCCTCTGTGTGTGTGTAATAGAACAGTTTCTGATAACCTCAGAGGGATCTGTGAAGAAATCAGAGCTATTCAATCATACTATGAACTGCAGCCTAATTGCGATTGGTGTATTTAGGTCAACTTTGTCTTCAACTCCCTATAATCTAATTTCATTTTCCATAACATCATGTAGTTGGACACTGTGACCTTAACTGTTTTGTTGTTGTTGTTGAAGGCTCTATTATTTCATGACTCTCGACTGAGGCACAGATACTTAGGTAAGCATCCTGTTAAAACTGCACTGAATAAGGCTGGGGAGACTCTGAATATCATTATCATTTAAGGTTTAGTTGCAGAAAAGGGAACACCTTTTGGAGACTGGCTTAAATTATAGATATGCACTTTGAATGCTGCAGTGACGTGCTGAAGAGTGAAGAAATAAAATGATTCCTTCTTCATATACAAGAAATTTCCTTTACCCATCCTCCCAGTTCATCAGCCAAGCCTGTCTCTTACCTGAAGGGTTTTCCAGTAGGAGAATCAGCAAGAGGACATCTGCGATGACTACAATTACATCGAAGGCAATCAAAAGGGCTTCCAACAAACTGAGCTTCCTTGCCATCTAGATAGACACAGATAACTGGATTAAAACCAACCATAAAATCCCATCGATGTAAGAGGATACATAAGCATTGTGAACTCACTTCCATGATACCACTGATTATCTACATTTCTCTTTACATAATCCAGAGAACATTTGTTTTCACTCATCATAGCATCTCCAATTAACTCTAGTTTGTGCACCCAACACCTCTAGGGCTCTTGCCTTTTTTATCTGCTAAGGATTTATAATGTCCAAGGAAAAGTACATCAGACATAAAGAACTGGAGGAACAGAGGAAGTAGAATGACACACTAAAGAGAGAGGACAGGTTGACACGGCTCGCAAAGCCATTGTAGATTCCACTTGGATCTTCTCACCTACGTTGTGCAGTAAAAAGAACAGTGTGCTCAAATAGTGAAAGTAGCAAACCAATACTCACAGCTGCTTCTGAGGTGTATAATAGGTCACTGATCCTTTGAAGAATTTGGCAACAGAACTGAACTTGATCCTGATCCCCAGTATAATGCTTGCTGGTGTGTTCACAGCAAACAAGCTCTTATAAATTCAGTGGTTCACAGTAATCCTGAAAATCATACAGTGACCCCAATTTTTATTTATTTACTCTATTGGAAGATGTCCTGAACTGGGAATCAAAGAACGTAAATTCTTCTTTCAAAAGATTTATTTATTTATGTGAAAATCAAAACTACAGAGAGAGAAGGGGAGAGAGAGAGAGAGAGAGAGAGTGAGAGAGAGAGAGAGAGTCTTCTATCTCCAGTTTCACTACCCAGGTGGCTGCAATGGACAAGGTTGGGTCGGGCCAAAGCCAGGAGCCAAGAGCTTCATCTGGGTCTTTCACATGGGCGGCAGGGGCCCAAACGCTTAGACCATCTTCCAGGCCATCAGAAGTGGATCAGCTGGGACATGAACCAGCACCCACACGGATGCCAGCATCGCAGGCAGTGGCTTTACCTGCTATACCACAATGCCGGCCCCAGAGCTTGAATTCTTTTCCTGGTTTTCTTAGTACCAGATGGGCTGTTTGCCTTTTTGTGTTTGTGGTGCTTATTTTTTTCCTTTTCAAAATATGTGTGTAGAGTGACAGAAAGACAGGGAAAGAGATCTTCCATTCACTGGTCCCCTCCCCAAATGGCCACAGCAGCCAGGTGTGGGCCAAGACAAAGACAGAGCCGGGAACTCCATCCTGGTCTTCCACGTCGGTGGCAGGGGCTCAGGTACTTGAGCCATCCCCTGTTGCCTTCCCAAGCACATTAACAGGGAGCTGGATCAGAAACAGAGCACTGGGGGCTTGAAGCAGCACTCAGATACAGGATGCCGGCAGCACAAGCAGTAGCCTAACCCACTGCACCACAACACTGGCCAAATGTATTTGTGTTTCTTAAATGAGAGGAGATTCTGAAAGTATTCTCATTTTTCTGCTCTAACTGTAGTAAATATAGCATCATCATATACCTCAAAGTTTCATGACAGTACTCAGCGTTGGTTAGATTCATTGCCACCCCATTTCCATCACCTGCTATGTTAGCTACACCCTGGAATTGGCCATCCTCCAGGTTTATTTCATACTTGAAACCTCACACCTTGCTTCTCACTTTGGTCATGAGCTTTATTCTTTTACTCCTTGATGGCTCACTTCAATTTTCCTTATTCCTTGACCTGTGAAAGTTGGTAACAATGTCTCCATTTTGTGACTCAGACCCAATCTTGTGCTGTAGTGACTGCTCTGGGTACTTGCAGATAAGGAATATCCTAAAGGTTGTATAAATTAAAGCATTTTTCTAGAACAATGGTTTGATCTGAGCTGGTCCATACTAGACCTGTTGGCTACAGAAATGGATTTATCCTCCAATTATGATTCTTGACAAATAACCTATGTCATTCACTTAAATTCTCTTTGTACCTGGAAAAGGACCCTCTAAATCCTTCACTAATGGGACTCATTCCAGTTTCCACTGGAATTGTGCCCCCTGAATTGCAATTCTAAGACTTGATATAAATAACTTTATGCTTGGAAGGTCATCTTAGCTTTTTTGTTTGGATGACGCATCACATCAAAGCCTCTATTCCTTTTCTACTCTCTGCCTCTCCTGACTTTTATCCCTAACTGATATTGTCTCAATAGCTCTTCAATTTTTTTTAGATTTATCTGCTTATTTTAAATGCAGAGTTACAGAGAGAGAGAGAGAGAGAGAGAGAGAGCCTCCATTTGCTGGTTTACCCCATGAAAGGCTGCAACAGCTAGGGCTGGGCCAGGCTGAAGCCAGGAGCCAGGAGCTTCATCTGGGTCTCCCACATAGGTGGGGTGCTCAAGTACTGGGGTCGACTTCTACTGCTTTCCCAGGCTCATTAGCAGGGAGCTGGATCAGAAGTGGAGCAGCCCGGACATGAACCAGCATCCACATGGGATGCTCACAGGCAGCAATTTAACTCACTATGGCGTAATACCGGCCCCAATAGTTATTATTTAACTTGCAGTTGATCTTATCTTCCTTGCTCCCCTATCTGCCACCTGAATCTAAATGATGAAAGCACTGATCCAGACATCTGCCTCTGTGTTGAAGGACCTGGCTCAGTGTGGCTACCACGGGGGATCAAAATCTACCAAAAATGCTGGGCCTACACACTGACTGATGATCTAGCAACTCCTCTCATTTTTCACAGCAGCATTTTAAAAATTTATTCTAAGTTCAGCCTTCTCCAGTTACGCTCTTATTCTCGCTAATTATCACCTCAAGTGTCACTGAGAAAGTAATTATTCTGCAGCAAGTATTTCATTTTGCAGCTTTTCAACTCAAGCCCCTCTGTAAAACATTCCTGTTTTAAATTTATTTATTTACTTGAGAGGCAGAGTTACAGAGAGAGGGAAAGAGAGAGAGAGAGAGAGAGAGAGAGAGAGAGAGAGAGGTCTTTCATTTGCTGGTTCACTCCCCAAATGGCCACAACAGCCAGAATTGGGCCAATCCAAAGCCAGGAGCCAGGAGCTTCTCCCGTTTCCCACGTGGATGCAGTGGCCCGAGCACTTGGGCCATCTTCTACTGCTTTCCCAGACCATCAGCCGAGAGATGGATTGGAAATGGAGCAGCCAGGACTCCAACAGGTGCCCATGTAGGATGCGGCACTGCAGGCCCCCGAAACATTCCTCTTCAGTTACACGTTTATCCTTTCCCCTCTGATCTCAATGGAGGAGCTTTCCTTTATTTTTATCTACGTAAAATTCTTGCACCTGTTCTCTAGGTCGCACAGTCACTGAATTTCTCAAAAATATTATTCCCATTGATTATCCCCTCTCTCTTTCTCTCATTACTTGTCTTTTCCTCTGAACTGTTTTCTTCCTTATGAATTATCCCAGTCACCCTAAGCTGCTGCTGATGCCGTGTTCCTCTCTAGGTCCTACTACAAGTCTCTCTCTCATCTCCTAGCTAATCTTCAAGAAGGGTACTTCCACATGAACTCCTATTACTGGCATGGCTTGTACTTCCTGCATTCCACTGCTGGCCTTTTGTCAAGGTCCACTGGGGACTTACTTTCAGAATACAATGGACACTGTCTTAATCACCTGCCTCTATCAACCACTCCCTCCTGGTTGAAACCTCCACCTGCAGATTTCTTGCTATCATCAAGTTTTGGTTTCTACCTGTGTTTCTGGCTCCTTTTCAATTTCCTTCTAGACTCCTGCTTCACAAAATGCTGATATTCTGCATATTTTAAAATAAACCCTCTTTTTAAGCCACCCACTCTCCTTGAGCAATCTCTACGATGCATGTAACTTCATACGACAACCCAACCTGTGTTTCCAGCCCAGAGGTTTAGATGCCTAATTCAGTGGCCTGGAAGTCCACTGAATGTCTTGGAAGTCCCACAGACTCAACGTGTTCAGACACGAAGTTGTCCTTACCACACTCCAGCCCCAAGTTCTGATAGCTTGGAGGACAAGATCACAATTTCTTAGAAAATCTAGGATCAAGGAGCTGTACTGCTTTGTTTAGTTTTGACTTCTTTCTTTCTGCTAGTTCTCACGGCCACTTTCCAGTTCACCCATGCTACTTTCCCAGTGTCTTTGGGAAATGACCCAGAACATATAAGGTCATTTGAATCTCCTATGCTTCTCTCCACTATAAACTCCTGTGAGATCAAAGTTTTCACATCTCCTTCACCCAGCTGTGAGCCTCTGTTCAGCCATGTGCCCTACCACACTGAATCAGTACTGACGCACAACAACTGTAGATCAAAGTAGACAAAGAATTCTTCCTTCTGCTTTTTGATTTTGCTTCTCTACTCATTTTACAATTCCTATACTCCTGCTGCTCAACGCCACTCTAATATAATGATAGTCCTATTCCTTTTTCACTTTATTTTAAATTTTAATTAGTGTTTAACATATTAATGTGCTTTGTAGAGGGGCCTGTGCTGTGGCACAGCAGGTAAGGCCACCGCCTGCAGTGCCTGCATCCCATATGAGTGCCAGTTCTAGTCCCGGTTGCTCCTCTTCCAGCCCAGCTCTCTGCTGTGGCCTGGGAAAGCAGTGGAGGATGACCCGAGTCCTTAGGCCACCTTTTGCTCTTTCACAGATACATTAGCAGGGAGCTGGATCAGAAGTGTAGCAGCTGGGGCTAGAACTAGCGTTCTGATACGAGATGTCAGCTTTGAAGGCTATACCTTAACCTGCTGCCCCGCAATGCTGGCCCCTACTTTTATCATTTCTACAAATATTGTCATTTAAGTGTACAGCTTCAATATTTAATTGAGCCAACCTTTAATTTATTCTATAATTACCTTTCATTTATTGTATAATAATCCAAAAAATGAACACTTTAATAGCGTAATGGAGGTAAGGAGTAAATATCCACAGACACCTTGCCAAGAAGGGTTTAAGAAGAGCTGTTAGCTTTTGGAGAAACTGAGGCTTGGAATTGAAATCACAATTTATAAACTACATTTCCTTTTACGCTAAATCCATCAATTGTCTCTCTTCTAGTCTCAGTTATGTTGAAGGGTTCACTGCCATCCCCATGAAGATACTGTGCTGTCATCAAGTCTCTATCAGCATTGATCAGGCAGGCATCACGATTCGTGTTTGATGGATGAGCCACCGTGTCCTAACCTGACAGTCAGGTACTCTAGTCACAACACCTCCTAGACTGCAAAGGTAAGGCTCCAGCGGTGGAATCTCACACAGAGGAAGGAATCGGGGGCCCATTCTACACACACCTCACTCCTGACTTGGTTTCTGGTACACACAGCAAGCACCTTCATCAGCCTCCTGCTTCAAGTGCCATTTCTGTCCTCAAGGAGCGCTGGCTATAAATCAGAAGCAGGCACCTTCACACAGCCCCCGTCCAGCACACAGTGCACGAAGTCCAGGAACACCCGGGGCGCTCCCAGACACTCAGCAGCCAAAGGAGCTATTGTCATCCACGCAGAGAACAGGAGTGGGGATCCCTCAAAGTATTCCCTGCTAGAAACACACAAACGCGTGTGCACACACACAACACACACACATGCATTTCCCTTCTTCATGCACTACACAACTTAATAGGGAAGAAAACATCAGGTTCAGAAGAAAACCAAGGGTATCCAGAGTACTTAACAGAGCAGATAATCAGCAAAATTACGAGAGGGATCCCACTTGGTCAAAGAAAAATCTGTATATAGACAAGTACTCACCTCATAGCCTTACTTTTGTCTTTGTCGCGGCTGCCCTTCAGTGACTCATGAAGAGAACTGAGCAAAGGTGACGGGGCCAGTGAAGTCACCTTCTGCTGCGATCGATTTATTACCCTATAAAGTTGACAGCAATTGGAGGAGGGGAGTGTATTTCCCAACAAATCGTAAAAGAGGCCTTTCTCTATTCCAAGAGAGAACGCTCCATCTGTTAATACAAGGGCAAGGCAGGGACTTTTCCCTAATAGTTGTCCCCCTCTGTGGCCCAGGTCATATCTGAGACTTTCCTTATCACACTGTACTATGCTCCCTGTCTGTTCATGTAGCGCGGAGAGTTCACGAGCTGCCAAGGCTATGCTTTCTGTGCTGAGCACTCTGCCTGGCCACCACAGATATTTTACATATCTAAGCTATGTGCTGAGTGAGTGAAGGAATGGAGAGCTCTCGGTTCATCCCATTGTTTTGTTCTCCATTTTCTCCTCCGAAGTTCTGCTGATAACTCAGCTTTTCATTAATTCAGTAGAACTTCCCATCATTACAGTCGAAAGCACGTCACCACCAAGTGGGACAAGGACTCTGGTACACACTTGTGTTCTTGCACTGCTCAGCAACTTTAAAACCCTCCCTCCACACACCCTTAAGAACTTTCTCGCCTTGGGACCTGTCACCCAAGAATAAGGTGAGAAATTCTCTTCCATGGTTGCCATTCAGTCATGTTAGAGTCAAGTAGCCTGGGCTTGGCCAATGAGATATGCCTAGGAGTGATTTAGATTCGGGAGAAAGTGCAGAGAAGGAATGATGAGGGTGGCAAGATGTCTCATCTCGAAGGTGGCAAGGAGGAGGGACTTACTGGCATCCTAAACCAAATGCTGGCTGTGCAAGCTGCCGGACACGTGCCAAGGGCAGTGGCAGTAGGATCTTCCACAGGTAGTAGAGGTGCTGTCCCTTAACATATAGCCTATAAATGACTGTCTGTCATCACTGAGTGGCAGTGAGATGCTAATGTGTGTTTTAAATTTCTGCCTAAACTAGGCAAAACAGAGCTTTTAAATTGAGATATGAGGCTGGCGCCGCGGCTCACTAGGCTAATCCTCTGCCTAGCGGCGCCGGCACACCGGGTTCTAGTCCCGGTCAGGGCGCCGCATTCTGTCCCGGTTGCCCCTCTTCCAATCCAGCTCTCTGCTGTGGCCTGGGAGTGCAGTGGAGGATGGCCCAGGTGCTTGGGCCCTGCACCCCATGGGAGACCAGGAAAAGCACCTGGCTCCTGGCTCCTGCCATCGGATCAGCGCAGTGCGCCGGCCGCAGCGGCCATTGGAGGGTGAACCAACGGCAAAGGAAGACCTTTCTCTCTGTCTCTCTCTCGCACTGTCCACTCTGCCTGTCAAATAAATAAATAAATAAATAAATTGAGATATGATTCACATACTATAAAATTCACCCTTTTAAAGTGTATGTTTTAGAGATTTTTTTAGTGTATTTACGAAGTTGTGCAATCATCACCACTACTTAATTCCAGAATATTTTCATCACCAAGAAGACACTACATGTTCATTGCAGGTCATTTTCTATTTCTCTTCCCCCCCAGCCCTGGATTTACCTATTCAAAATATTTCATTTAAATGAAATCATATGCTCTGTGGCTTTCACAGCTGGCTTCTTAGATTTGCATAATGTTTAAGAAGTCTGTTTCACTGTGCCAAGTACCAGTACTTCATTCCTTTTATGTTTGGATAAGATCCATCTTTTGGGTTGCCACCTTGTGTTTATACACTCACCAGCTGTTACACATCTGGATAGTTTCTCTTATTGGCTACTAGGAACAATGCTGCTGTGGGCACAAATCACAAATTGTTCTGTGGACATGGAATTCCGTGGATTTCAATTCTCCTGGGAGTAAGCACCTAGGAGTGGAATGGCTGGTTACATGCCACGTGTATATTTAGCTTTTTGAAGAATGTAAGAATGATTTTCTAAAGTGGCAACACCATTTTTAATTCTCATTCTCACATCAAGTAATATATGGTGAACCCGTGAGTTCTTTTGATGGCATCAAACAACTATAAGTAATAATGTCCATAGTACTCCTCAGTGTTTGCTTCAAATGTTCACAATGCAGGCAAACACATACACACACACACACATTGAGAGAGAGAATAGGTTTCTGAGTTTATGAACTCATGACATGCCCACCTGATTACACACAAAGACAAGGTCAAGTTAGTCCTTTTTAGAGGGGAAATGTTCCTGGATCTCATTTCCAATTGGGAAGATATCTTGACAAAATATCAAGGAAGGAGATTTATTGTGAAACAAGGTCGTTCTGTTCTTTGTGTGGTAATTTACACTTAGCTTCCCACATGCCTTGTTCATTGGTGACATTATTGTTGTTACTATGGTAACAGAGAATCCCAGCCAGTCTCCAAGCAATTTCCTAAAGTGCAGAAAATAGCATCCCTCCTTGCTAACTAGCAATTGTCATAGATTGTGTTGGCCAAAGGAAAAGTAACAGAGTAATTTTGAAGGGCAAAGATAAGCATGTGACCTACCACCCTCTAGTTGATAATTATAATGAAGGAATGATGACATTAGCACTAGCAGAACCCTAAAAAATTATCAAAGCAAGCAGGTGGCTGAAATCATCAGGTCAGAAACCAAAGGTGTCTATAATCCTAACTTTTTGAGCAACATCCTCCAAGCTCAAACACAAAATCTTCGATGGCTGACTCTGATGGTATCTGCCAAGGCCAACACAATCTTATCTTTGTAGGTGTATATGACAATTAATGCTACAACATGAATCTTAAAAGGAATATATTTCTTCCTACACAAATGCACGATTTGGGGTGCACTGTGGCACAGCAGATAAAGCCACTGCCTGCAATGCCAGCATCCCATATGAATGCCAGTTTCTGTCCCACCTGCTCCACTTGCAATCTAGCTTCCTGCTAATGCACTTCGTGAAACAGCAGATTGTCAAAGGGCTTGGGCCCCTGCCATCCACGTGGGAGACTGGGGTGAAGTTCCAGGTTCCTGATTTCAGACTGGCCCAGACCCAGCCATTGCAGCCATCTGGGAGTGAATCAGTGGATGGAAGATTCTCTCTCTCTCTCTCCTTTCCTTCCCTCTCTCTCCTTCTCCTTCCCTCTCCCTCTCTCCCTGTATCCCTACCTTTCAAATGAATAAGTAAATCTTTTAAAAAGGGTTTGGGCTGGTGCCATGGCTCAATAGGCTAATCCTCCACCTGCGGCACCGCCACATCAGGTTCTAGTCTCGGTCGGGGCGCCAGATTCTGTCCCAGTCGCTCCTCTTCCTGTCCAGCTCTCTGCTGTGGCCCAGGAAGGCAGTGGAAGATGGCCCAAGTCCTTGGGTCCTGCACCTGCATGGGAGACCAGGAGAAGCACGTGGCTCCTGGCTTCGGATCAGCGCGGTGCACTGGCCGCAGCAGCCATTGGAGGGTGAACCAACGGAAAAGGAAGACCTTTCTCTCTCTCTCTCTCTCTCACTGTCCACTCTGCCTGTCAAAAAAAAAGAAGAGGGGGGTGGAGGCTGGCGCTTCAGCTCACTAGGCTAATCCTCCACCTGCGGCGCTGGCACCCTGGGTTCTAGCCCCGGTCGGGGCACCGGATTCTGTCCCGGTTGCTCCTCTTCCAGTCCAGCTCTCTGCTGTGGCCCTGGAGTGCAGTGGAGGATGGCCCAAGTCCTTGGGCCTTGCACCCGCAAGGAGACCAGGAGGAAGCACCTGGCTCCTGGCTTCGGATCGGCGCAGTGCGCCTGCCGTAGTGACCATTTTGGGGATGAACCAACGTAAGGAAGAACTTTCTCTCTCTGTCTCTCTCTCACACTGTCTAACTCTGCCTGTCAAAGGGAAAAAAAAAGGGTTTACAACTTTTTTTTTGTGGACAGCTTATGAAGAAATAAAGTGAAATTATATGATCTGGAGAAGAGAGAATATGTCAAAGAGCAGAACTCCAACTTTTGTCTTAATAGCTGGCTGCAGTTACACGTGTAAACTCTCGGAGCAGGGACTGCTCTAGGAGAGCCACAGATGAATGTGAAGTGATTCTGCAAGTGCGGTCTGAGGTTTGAGGACCAACCTGGGGGCGTCCCTAAGACTTTTCAGGGAGGTTGTGCGGTAAACCTGTTCCCATAAAAAAAACAGGAAGACATATTTCCTCTTTATTCTCTTTCTGCTGTAAATATGCAGTGAAGTTCTTCAGATTATAGTCATGTAACATCTGACGTCACAGATTAACCAGCAGATATGAAAAACCAGTTTTCTTCTATGAAGCCAGACTTTGAAGAGATTTGCAAAAGTGTAAGATAATATGGCTTTTCCAATTACCTGCTTTGAAAACATAGTTGGTTTAATTTTTAATATGAGGGACACCAATAATTACAATAAGCAAAAGATCTTGGGAGCCTTGATCACTTTTAAATGTGTTCAAAAGTCCTGGTTCCACACATAATATCTGAAAACTATTGATACACATTATGTATTATTGATATTAGTATATAATTTTAACTCCTTTCTTCAAATGGGATTACATTATGTAAAGAACTGAGAGACCTAAGCCAAGCTTGGAGCCCAGAACCCTGCCCATTTGCCTTATCCCTAACCCTAGTGAGCTATGAAGAGACCAGGGGCTCTATGTGGCTCCAGTTTGGAAATCATCACTTCTTTCTGACATTGGTAGTTTTCAGATGAAGAAGACGGATCTCAGAGAAAGAGACACAATCAAGTCTCCTGACCCTCGAAATCGATTTTGTTTTTACTTCATCAAAGGAAGACAACTTAAAATACCCCAACCAGCGGCCCTAACACCTGTGAAGTGGAGGAGCAGGTTGCGACCTTCTACTTACAGATGGACAGCTCTGCTCCAGGCAGAGAAACTAAGGGATCCTAGATCCACCGCTCCACTGTCTTTTCTCAGAACTGTTAAAATATTTCTAATCCTAGGCTCAAGTTCTGCACGTCATTGTGAGATGGGCTGCTTAAAAGCCACAGCTTTCTAGATACTTAAAAATTGCCAAGTCTTGGCCGGCGCCGCGGCTCACTAGGCTAATCCTCCGCCTTGCGGCGCCGGCACACTGGGTTCTAGTCCTGGTCAGGGCACCGGATTCTGTCCCAGTTGCCACTCTTCCTGTCTTCCAGGCCAGCTCTCTGCTGTGGCCCGGGAGTGCAGTGGAGGATGGCCCAAGTGCTTGGGCCCTGCACCCCATGGGAGACCAGGATAAGTACCTGGCTCCTGCCATCAGATCAGTGCAGTGCGCTGGCCGCGGCGGTCATTGGAGGGTGAACCAACGGCAAAGGAAGACCTTTCTCTCTGTCTCTCTCTCTCTCACTGTCCACTCTGCCTGTCAAAAACAAAACAAAACAAACAAAAAAATAAAACAAAAATTGCCAAGTCTTTTCATCACTAAAAAGGTCTATGTGGGGCCGGCATTGTGACAGAAGTTTAAGCCTCTCGCGTGATGCCAGCATCCCATCAGAGTGCTGGTTCAAGGCTGACCCAGCTGCTCCATTTTTATTTTAATTAAAGATTTTTATTTATTTATCTGACAGATGGAGTTACAGAAGGGAGAGGGAGAGACAGAGAGAAAGGTCTTCCATCTGCTGGTTTACTCCCCAGAAGGCCGCGAATGCTGGAGCTGAGCCGATCTGAATCCAGGAGGTTCTTTTGGGTCTCACGTGGGTGCAGGGTCCCAAGCGCTTAGGCCATCTTCCACTGCTTTCCCAGGCCATAGCAGAGAACTGGATCAGAAGTGGAGCAGCTTGGAATAGAACCGGCACCCATATGGGATGCCGCCACCTCAGGCAGAGAATTAACCTACTATGTCACAGTGCCAGCCCCTGCTCCACTTCTGATCCAGCTCCCTATTAATAGGCCTGGGAAAGCAGTGTAAGATGGCCCACATGCTTGGGCCCCTGTACCCACGTGGGAGACCTGGAAGAAACTCCGGGATCCTGGCTTCAGCTTGGCCCAGCTCCAGCTGTTGCAGCCACCTGGGAAGTGAACAGCAGATGGAAGGTCTCTCTCTCTCCTCCTCCCTCTGTAAGTCTGTCTTTCAAATAAATATTTTAAAAAGGTATCTATGTAAGGTTACAGATATGTTACTTAACTTGGTTTCACACATTATGCAATTATATACATGTTACCAGAACACATTATACATCAGAAATACATAACTTGTTTTTCAATTAAAAAATAACTTTTTAAAGCTAAAAGTGAATTCAAGAGAGACATACTGATGCTTGGGCGATCTGACCACAGCTACAGCGGTATGGTCTGAGTTGCTGAACTGGATCAGTCCTCCAACCTCCCAGGGGGACACGATGTGACTCAGGGAATCTGGGAAAAGAGACAGACAAACGCATCTTTTCCCCAACTAATTTCCAACTGCATACCCTTAGACTGTGAATGTAGATAACAGAGTACAGACACGTTCACACGCATCTGTCAAAACGGGAATCACGGAACTTTTCATACCACATTATAACTTGTGAAGGATACCTCAGAATCGATCATTCGGACCGTTGCTTTGAAATTGTGGCATTATCAGTTCCACTGCTAGAGCTTCTTATTTAATGTCAATTTAAATATATATATATATATATATATATTTGAATAGGTACATTTTGATATGATATGTTTCCTTTAGAGAGTCCATACCTGATGCCTTGAGAAAGCTGTTCTGGGGTGGGATTCCCTTGGGGTCAGTCACCAGGCTCTCACTGAGGTCCCTGGCACCACAGACGGTCACACTGCTGACTCGCCTCCCTGGGAGCCTTGACCGTCATGATCTCTAGTCAGAGGCTTCTTCTTGAGCACTTTAGTGCAGCCACATCCAACTCCCACCGAAATGTCCTCAGTGGTATCACAAAATACTTCTTAAACGTCAGCTACAGACACTTTTGTTCTTTAGCTTCCTGACTTGATTAGAGATTTGACAAATGTCCCATCATTTTTAATCAAAGGATTCCTGTGGTTGCTTTTCTACATTTCAGTAGTTTCCCAGTTAACTCACCTAAAAGACCCCGATCCAAAATTCCCTCACTTTGACAATCAGTTCTAGTTGGTTTTGAGCCAACTTAAACATACTTTCTGTGTGTAGCCTCAGGCAGCTGCTGACACGAGTGGAAAAGCAGAATGGCTTCCCGGGATCTAAAACAAGACAAGACATAGGAAAGTAAACACATTTATTCCAAACATACTTATTTTCAAGCAATACTAAAGTAAATATACCCATTGAACATCAATACATAATTTCTTTATCTTAAAATTTGACCATTTAATGCTTTAACTTATAACATTGCAACTCCTACTTTGGTCAAGGCTGATATTTTACCAAATATACCAACTGCTGGGAGGACTAAACAATCACTTCCCACCAGGTTAAATCTTAAATTTGCTCTTTGCAAAGATGGAAGGGGAAGGGTGGGCGATCCTACCTGATGGTTCCACTGTGGGCTAGGCTGCAGGCACTCTGGGGCCAAAGACAGGCAGAAAGGACAACTCACAGGAGTGCTACGCGAGAAGCCTTCGCACGAAACTACTGGCACCCACAATCAAAATACCCCAGAATTAGAAATCTGCTGCACATTTGGTTATCCCACCCCCCACCCCCCCACCCCCGGCATACAAATTGCAGTGTTTGTGTGATCTGTGGTTATATATCAGGCGTGGGTAGACACAACTTCTACGTTTCAAAGCACACCAAGTGAAGACATTTTCTACTCAGACCCTTTCCTTCATCTTGGCCTTCTTAAATCTCATCCTCAACTCTTCTCAAATGCCAAGACTTTCCTCTATCCCCGCTTCTCCCTCTAAAGTGAGTTGACTCCCTGTCTCCTCCCAGAGGAGATCATAGTTGTTTAATGTTCTTACTGTGATAACACTGTCCACCACATTCTGTTTCCTCCCATCTTTCCTGCACAGCTTTGCTGTGTTTCTTTTTTCTTCACATCATTCTCTCAGCACGTTGTCCCTCTCCCTACAGCCAACAGCACATGTTCTTTCTGAATACTTTTTTGAGGCGTTGGTTAACTTTAAGACCTGGAATTGTCCTGGAAAACTTTATATTGTGTATTTAGCCAGAATGAGGCCTATTCCATGATTACACACACACACATGCACACACATACACACATGCATAAACACACTTCATCATGAATTCAGCTCTCAAGTAAATATCACATGACAAATAGTACCATACGAATCACACAGTCATTAAGGCATTGATAGATTTTCCACACCTCCATACTGCCTATCCCACAGGGATAAGATTAAACCTCTGAGAGCCACAGAAAAACACACAGTAAAATTAATAAAATGTTTTATTGGGCATGAGACAATTAGCAATATACAATCATTCTATGCGTATGAAACACAAGAGATTCCATAATTCATATCAGGCTCTTGCGCTGAGAGCTCGTTGTGCTTCTCCATGTCAGTGAGATGAAGTCATGGAGGCTGACGTTACTGCCGCTCACATCGACACGTAACACCTGTCAGGGACAGAAAGGAAAGGATCAAAATGTCCTGCACATAAACAAATCAGGCACAAGTCAGTGGAAATTTTACAATTCATGACTTAGCGAACAGACTGCTCTCAGATTTTAAGGTGAGTAGAATGTTTTCTAATTTCTTTGAGTACAAAGATTATTCAGTAATAAAAAATCTGACTACAAATTAAATAACAAAAGATAAATGTGTGTTGCAAATTGGTTAATGTAATTTTTTAAAAGATGTATTTACTTATGTATTCAAAAGGCAAAATGACAGAGACAATGAGACGGAGAAAGAGAAAGGGAGATATCTTCTAGCTGGGGGTTCACTCCCCAAAAGGCCAAAGCAGCCATGACTGGGCCAGAATGAAGGCAGGAGCCAGGAACTTCACTGATGTCTCCCACATAGGTGGCAAGGACCCAAGGTTTGGACAAATATCTGCTGCTTTCCCAGGTGCATTAGCAGGAAGCTGGGCTGGAAGTGAAGCAGCCAGGACTCCAACAAGGTCTCAGGTATGGGATGCTGGTGTAGCAAACAGTGGCTTAATCCTTAGGCCGGCACCGTGGCTCACTAGGCTAACGGCGCCGGCACACTGGGTTCTAGTCCTGGTCGCGGCGCCAGATTCTGTCCTGGTTGCCCCTCTTCCAGGCCAGCTCTCTGCTATGGCCCAGGAGTGCAGTGGAGGATGGCCCAAGTGCTTGGGCCCTGCACCTGCATGGGAGACCAGGAGAAGCACCTGGCTCCTGGCTTTGGATCAGTGCGATGTGCCGGCCACAGCACGCCAACCGCAGCGGCCATTGGAGGGTGAACCAACGGCAAAAGGAAGACCTTTCTCTCTCTCTGTCTGTCTGTCTCTCTCTCACTGTCCACTCTGTCAAAACAAACAAACAAACAAAAAAACCACTGTGCCACAACACTGGTCTAATGCTTCTCCAGGTTCAAGGTATTCCTCTAAATTATTCTGATGCAGAAACACCAATGTTATCTCTACCTAAGATTTTCTTCTGTATTATCACATAAAATATTCAGATAAAAGTCTGTATCTACAGAAGTTCAAAAAAGTTTTTCATAGGTTTAAAATAAAACATTTGAGTGATAGAAAAGTAGTATATCCTACTTCAATAGTTCTTTTTTCTTCTTCCATGCTACATTAAATAATGAAGCAAAGTGTAGAAGGTGTACTACATTTGATAAATATGGTAGTACAAGTTTTTGGGTGGTTGATCTCTGAGAAAGGTAAGAGAATAACGTTTTCCACAGGTTTGCAGACAAGAAGACAAAATGGAAAGTAAGGAACTAGACCCTCAATTCCAAGTGGTGATGAGTCACGGAGCACTGGGGTTTCTGAGGGAATTCTGGGTAGAGGACACCATTTGCGAGGGAAACAGGCAATGCACTGGCATGTCAGTGCTGGGAGACACCAGAGCCCCTTTCACTGGTCACAAACCTGTGTGGCAGGGTCCTGGCTGAAGAAGGGGGTTACGTCCATGTTGCTCAGAGTGATGCTGACACTGGTAATGGAGACACTGCTTACTCCCCAGATTTCAATGTAGCCCAGGTTCAAAGGGTTTGCGTCACTGATGTAATTGTTAAAAACTATGTGGCTCTGCAGAGTATTCTGTCGCATCGGAGAGAAAAGAAAACAGAGCGGGGACAAACAGCAAAATTAATTTAAATGTTTCCCAACCTCTTCATAGGCAGAAATGTAATCATGAGGTAAGACAGCTTCAGAGTCCCCAGCTCGCGTTTGTGGCGAGTGGAAACCATGATTTCTGCACTGTCACCAACTTTGCATCGACAAACACGGTCTCTAGGATTGCCCTCATCGGTCTTAACTATTGAGAAATTTATATTCTACACATGGAAACGCCACACCGTGTGCTCACCATTCCCAAGAGACACAGGGAAACAGAAACAGTCTGCTTATCTGTGAACTCGTAGGCTAGAGTAAGTCGCTGATGAGAAATGAATAGGTTAGTCACAGAACACATCCTGAGAGGTCTTGAGAGAAGGGAGGATGTAAATTCGCAAGGTGCGCAGTTAAATAGTTCTCGGTGGTATTCTACACCCTGTAACAACCCGTGTTCTCCATTCACACTCACCTGGCTGGCAGAGAAGTTGGCCAAATAATAGAGTCCTTGTTCATAGGTATCTGCAAACAAACAACAAGGTAAGCATCACCTGAACCTCGTGTCTCCATTAAGAGGGCACAGACTGGTTTTGTCTGTTTGCTTTCATTTTCTCCCATACAGAGTTCTCTTGCGTAAACAAAGTCCTCTTGGTGGAGACTCATCAGACCGCACTCAGCCCGAGCTGACAGAAGGCATTTGAAATGAGTGCACAGATCCATCTGGCTACACAGTCACCCCTGAACACTCCTAACACATCTCCAGCCACTCCTCTTCCGGTGGTCTCCCACTTGTGAGATCTTCCTCGCCACTCTGAAGTTTCCAGATTCCTTTTGCGGGACGCACACATATGTGCACATACATGCACCCACACACATACAAAAGAGTTGGTTTATCTTCGGGGATATTAGGCAACTTGTTAAAATGTAATCTCCAAAGCACAAAGAAAACCAAGAGAAAAGCTTTTTCCCTTCACCCTCAGTGCATGCCACAGGCCCAGGGAGCCTATGGATGAGGACCATGCACTTTAAATAACAAATAACGAACATACACTTTTTTACGTGGGAAAGGAAAAATTAGGCCTGTAAGCAATACAGTATTGGTAGTTGCCACCACTGGCAAAAATATAGTATTAGCCATTGCCAGCATCGGCATAAATCCCAGGTGACCCTCACTCACCAATGCTTTGCCCATCATCCCAGAAGAGCCAGCCCTCGGCAGTCCCTTCGTCATCCAAGGCAACCTTGAAGCCCAAGAACTTCTGGCGGCTGCAGTGAGGTGGGAGAGGGGGAAATCAGCTCTAAACAAAGCTACAGCCACAAGCCCAGGTTTTCAAAAAACAAAGGAGCAAAATGAAGTGCTGAATGGGATACAGGCAGGGTACTAGGTTTCAGGAAACAAGTGGTCTAGCTCGGGTCATCTCCTTCTAGCTGTATGAGGGATCTTCAGAACGTTCACAGCAAACTCATACTATTCAAAAGCTATGCATGGATTTTCAAAAAAATTTGCACCAAAATGTAACTTACCTTTCAATTCCATTTTCCACGAATGTTTTGAAAGACCTTTGTGTGACTACACATCAGGAAGGAGTGAGTTAGTAGTGGATCAATGGGAACTTTGCTTTAAGGCTTGTAAAGAGACTTCAACACTGTCCCCTTTGTGAAGAAAACCTTGATGCTAAAATCTGACTCGTCCCACGATCTAATCTCCTAAAACATGCACACTGAGTTAGACATTCCTCAGTTTTATCTGAGTCACTGCAGTTACACGAGTAGGGGTGTAAGAATTCCAGAACTGATGATAGTCCCCTTCATCCACCTACTGATTGTGTGAGTCCTAGTCAGTCACTCAGCCACCCGAAGCTCTCTCTGTTCCTCTGCAAAACTGGGACCAAAATGATATCTATCTCAAAGGGTTTACTCTCTTTTCTTGTAATTAAGGAAAAATAGATAAAATCCAAATAGAAATATCCATATTACCACAGGCCTGGCACAAAGCAAGCAGTCGACTTACGTTGGTTAGTATTAACTGTCACAGAGACCTACATTTAGAATTCTTAGATCTTGTATGTAAGGGCCGGCGCCACGGCTCACTAGGCTAATCCTCCGCCTTGCGGCGCCGGCACCCTGGGTTCTAGTCCTGGTCGGGGCGCCGGATTCTGTCCTGGTTGCCCCTCTTCCAGGCCAGCTCTCTGCTGTGGCCAGGGAGTGCAGTGGAGGATGGCCCAAGTGCTTGGGCCCTGCACCCACATGGGAGACCAGGAGAAGCACCTGGCTCCTGGCTTCAGATCAGCGTGGTGCACCGGCCGCAGTGCGCCGGCCGCGGCGGCCATTGGAGGGTGAACCAACAGTAAAGGAAGACCTTTCTCCCTGTCTCTCTCTCACTGTCCACTCTGCCTGTCAATAAAAAAAAAAATCTTGTATATAAGACGTCTCAGTGTCAGGCATCCACAAGTTATAATATGGTTAAATATCTTTTCGGCAGTAGTTTTCTTAGGAAAGAATCAAATAAGATCTAAACAGTCTTCTAAAACTACCATGAAGCATGGCTGTCCCTATTGTGATTTCCATTTCAAAGGTGACCTCTGACACCTATCATCTCTTCCACTTAGATCTAAAATAGCTGTTAAAAATTGCTCAGAGTGCAGATTTTGAAAAAGGCTTATACACAGACGAGCAAACACACACAATATGGGTGTTGAGTGACACTGTGTTTGAGCTGGAGTGATACTTTCCTGCTGGTGGGCTGCCTTACCAATGGATGCACTAACTGCTATGGAAAGAGGATCCCTGGTCCCATCGCTCACCTCTGGTTGGTGTTCAGCGCAGGCTCCTGCCAGGGCAGGATGTAGCCGCCACGGACGTGAAGGTTGATGTGGTCAAGAGGGGCGGGCAGGACCTTCCACTCTCCCCTTGCATTTATATCCACACCCTGTTAGCCGGAAGAAAATAAGAGATGATGAGGAAGTAGACACAACGAAGTGTTTTGCCAGCAGTCTCATCCACAGATCTGCAAATGCATCGCCCATCAATGTACACCTGTACTACACTCCCCACATTCTCCCAGCTGCTGAATAGAATCTAGCATTACGGCTACATCATTTCTGAGACAATCTTGCCATCGGGGGCCTTACTGCTCACATGACATAAACCGTTAGGGTCATGTGAGGGTCCCTGCTCCCCTCACTCCACAGCCTGTCTCTGTGTCACACGGCATGGCTGCAGGAGGAGAAACAATGCATTTATCCACTTCCACTTCGTGTAGGTTCCTGATGCATCTCCACAACGACCCACACACACACACACTTAACTGTGACTCCTTCACAGCAAAGACCAAGGTGAGCTGACTGATTTTAGGAACAATTATCTTTAATTACTGCACCTGCATCTATGTCTGCCTCGTGTGTGAGGTGCTCGCTGGCTCACATCATGGACCTCAGTTCCAAAGGGACTGCCACACCACATCTTCCAACTAGAGCAGGCTTCTCAGGTTGACACAATTAACAGTTGGGGACAGGTAACAGTTCACTGCGGCTGCCCTGTGCTTTTCTGATGTTTGGTAGCATTCTCAGTGTCTACTCAATAGATGCCAGAGGCAACGCCCCACACTCTTCTGGGGCAAAGAAAACTGTCTCCAGGCATTGCCAAATGTCTCCTGCTAGGCAAAGCCCCCCTCTTTGAGAACTGCTACTCAAGAGGTAAGAAGCAGTTATTGTGGCCAGAGTGCATAACTGTGTTTTAATAAAACCTTATTTACAAAAATAGGCCACGGCTAGATTTAAACGTAGGCCATAGTTGGCCAATTTCAGCTCCAGAACAAAGAATAGGTGCATAAAACTTGTAAAAATTAATAAATGGCAGACTTTAAGAATTAAACCCAACATAATCTTCAATTTAATTAAACATCAAAATTTTCTCTTTTTTACTCAGTGGCCTACTCCATAAGTTTTTGCCATTGCACATCATTTCCTTTGTCTTTCTTCAATGAAATTCTGGTTGAAGAAAGTTATCATCTATTTAAATGTATAAAGAGAATCAGCCATTCTAGGACAATTTTCTTTATGAGCTCTCACACTTCACTTTCTTCAACGTAGTATATGTAATTATTTGCATACATACAAGGGTACTTCAAAAAGTGCATAGGAGGGGCGATGTTGTGGCATAGGGAGTTAAGCTGCCACCTGCAGTGCCAGCATCCCATATTGGTGCCAGTTTAAGTCCTAGTTGATCCATTTGCAATTCAGCTCCCTAATAATGCACCTGGGAAAGCAGCCAGGGGATGACCCAAGTGCTTGGGCTCCTGTACCCACATGGGAAACCCTGATAGAAGCTGATGGCTCCTAGCTTTGGCCTGGCCAAGCTCCAGCTGTTGTGGCCACTTGGGGAGTGAACCAGCAGATGGACTACCTCTCCCTCTCTCTATCT